GCCAGCGGCATGCCGTCTACCAGTCTTGCGTCGATCTCAGGTAAACACCTGTCCAGTGGCAGTCGCAGTTTTCGTGCTGTGGCAGTGTTGATGAGGCTGTGGCTGGCTCCCCCGTCTACGGAGATTTTTACTAAGTCCGTCCCAATTTTCCCACGAAGCAGTATGGGGCTGTCTAACGTAGTCCCCTCCTTATTCGGCCGGGTGTGGTCGATTGCGTGAACCGGCACAATCACTCGGTGAGGGTCGGTTGGGTCGGGCGAGCGGCGTGACCTGTCAGTAGAGGGTTCGTCTGCTACTGACTCCCAGCGTTTCCCTGCTGCTTGGTCTGTTTCTGCTTCTCAGCTTCCCCCTTTCCCTTAGCGTTTTCCGGGCATTCGCTCTTGCGATGTCCCGGCCGAATGCACGCAAAGCAGCTCCCTTTGAACGGTGCGGCAGCGGCATTTGCGGCGACGGCACGTATCGTGGCGCCCTCGTTCGTCCCACGAGGCCGATGTCCCCAATGGCTGCTTCCGTAGGGCCCCGGTCTCGGTCGGCGGAAGAAATCAAGTTTCTCCGCCATAGCGAGAATTTCTTGAAAGTCGGTGACGCCGCGAAGCTGGATTTCCTGAGCGATGTCCTGCTTCAGGCCGCCGATGTAGCGGTCGATGCGCTCGCTCTCGTGCATATATCCCACCTGCTCGCATAGCGCCAGAAATCCGCTCGTGTAGTCTTGGACGGAACCGAGTTGGCGCCAAGTGCGGAGCTTCTGTCGCGCCGCGATCGAAGCCGCGATTGGCTCGAAACGAGCGCGCAGACCTGCGCACCACGCATCCCACGTGCGATACTGGGGCACCTCCACGAAATACGACGGCGCCCAGGGTCCGGTTTGTCCTTCCCGTGTCGGTAGAGTCGCGTAGTCTAACGGCTTCGTGACGATGACGCGCCACCAATCCATGGCGGGTCCTCGCAGCAACGACACGGCGTAGCGGATTTTCGCCGTATCCTCCGAGACGTAGTTGGCGTCGAAAAACACGTTCATCGTGAACAACCACGCCTGAACGGTAGGACCACCCCGTTGGCTGGGATCGAAGCATGGCGGACGCTGCGGCTTCAGCGGCATCGGTGACGGCAGCGCCGAACCGTCGGTTGGTGCCGAAATTGTGACGCGTGGCTGGCTTTGGGCCGCATTCGTCGCTTCGGGGTGTGTCGTGTCGTGGTCGTCGTCTCCGTCGGGGCGGACGACGCCATCACTGGCCGCGCTCGCGGGTTGCCCCACGCTTCCGTGTTGTGATGCCTGTGGTGCGGGCTGTTCCGGAGTGCCAGGTGCTTGAGATTGTGCCTGTTGTGCTCGTGTGAGGTCATTTTGCAAGGACGAGCGTTCTGCCGTCAGCGTCGCGATTTCCTTGGCGCTCTCGCGGATTTGCCGCAGCAGATCGTTCAAGTGCTCCTGCGTGAGCGTCGTGATATCAATGTGCTCGGCCATTTCGAAGGGCGTCGGCTCGTCTTAGTCTAGGTGTAGTCGTGGCTGCACGCGTTTACGAGAGAACGCGAGGACAGCGGCTCCTAGGTGCTAAGGTGCGTGAGTCCCTTCGAGTGAAAAATCAAAAGTTGATTTCCTGGGGTGCGGAGATGCGCGGTCCGAAAGAAAGGGGCTCTGAATACCAAGTGTTACGGGTGCAATGAATCGAGGTAGCGAGAATTGCACTAAGGTGTCAAACGAGTACAAAGATGTGAGCGAAGGCATGAGCGAACATTTATACGCGAACATGCAAACGGTAACGCGGTGCGTGCGAGCTAGCTAGCGCTACGCTGGCAGCGAGGCTCGGGCTAGTCCCGAAGCGTAGGCCGACACGGCCGGGCCAGCAGTGCGAGGTTTGGCAAAACAGTGCGCGCGAAGTTGGCGAAGTCCCGTTAGCAGTAACGGGCGAACAACGGCTGTTGCTGTACGCGATGTAGTCGGGCTCCGTAAGGAATGCCGAGAAAATTCCTTACAGTATTCTATGCTGCATCTTGTATCTACAAGTGCCAGTATTTGCTATTGCGACGAAAGGGCTCGCGTCGCGTCGTGTTGAAGCAAACGGGTTTGCAGCATCTTCCAGTGGCGGCGATGACTGGCGGGCAGGGAAACGAGGCAAATTTCGCATCCTCCTTGCCACGAAACTCGCACCGCACCCCATGTTAGGCAATTGTTTGACATTTCGCTGCGGGCGCGGCTCGGTCGGTGAGTCTGCCCGGTTTACTCGTCCCCCTTCATACTACACTGCTTCTTCCTGCTCCTTCATGCCCTCCTACTTCGGCTCCTCATTAACCTTCGTTACAATCACAGACATTATCTGTACCCTCCCCTCTTCCCACTTGCTTTCATCCGTTTCGCGTTATCCCCAACTTCGCTACCAGGGCGCGGCTCATACCTTCACCGCTTTCTTGCTCAACTACTATCAGAAATGGGAGGTGCGCTTTTGAGTTGAGCCGTGTCATCTTCATCATCACACGTTCACCCTTCCATGACCAACCACGCCACGAGTCTTCGAACCTGTTCTTTTCCCACACGAAGTTACAACGCCCGTGTCAGGGGCACATGGAGCTTAGAATGTGAGCAGCTCGCTAGTTCTTAGCACTTGGAAATAACAATTCCATCGACCGTCAGCAAGGCAGAAGCAGCAGCACCACTCGAGCAGATACGATACGAGGTTGTTCAATTAGCCCCTCGGCACGAGCTAGGTCACTCTAATCTGTCCGGCTCTTTTTTACTCGCTTCCCCAATGTACGGTACATCACTTTCGAGATTTCTCAAAGGTAGCTAGCTGCTGCCACTCTCGATCCCCCGCTGTGCGCCACTTTCGAGATTACCATGGCCAGGCCACCCTTCCCCCTCGTGTATGCGAATTTTGAGGCGTCTCAAATGATTTCTCAAATTTCCCCCTCGTCTCAAATGATTTCTCAGAGGTAGCTAGCTGCTGGCGCTCTCGATCCCTGCTGTGCATTACCATGGCCACCCGTCTCCCCCCTCGTGTATACGACAGCTGCTCTAGTCCTGTGAGCCAACCGCGCGACTGTAGCACGCGTGCTCATAGCATCCTTGCTTGTAGTACGCGTGCGTATAGCACGCGTGGTTACAGCCCTGGCGCGCGACGCGGGGCCGCACACTGTTTCTCAGTGTACAGTACGGCATCCGCCCGTTGTAAGACTCCCGTTCGCTATGATACATCTGTTTGCTCGTCTCGCGTCGTTTCCACCCGTACGCGGAGGTTACATCGACTATTCTTGTTTTGGACCTGGAACCTCGCTGTACTGTCACTCGTTACTCTCACACCGCATGGCAGCGACGTTCGTTCGTTTGTCGCAACCGCGTCGCCAGAAGCGACAATCTCCCAACAGACGACCCGCTTAGAAAAGCGACAGCAGCAGCAACTTCAAGAGCAGGAGCAGGAGCGGGAGCTGGTGCGTGTCCCTCCCTTGTTCCGCCTCGATCGCTTCTTCGGTTCCGCCTCGGACAGCATTTGGAAAACGCCGGGCGGAAGCGCAAGCGATGGCGGAAGCGTTGGCGCAGGGGAGAAGAAACGGAGGGAGGCGGATGACGCAGTGGGGGAAAAAAGTGGGGGAGTGGGGGGAGGAGAAGGGGGAGGAGATGCCGGCAATTATCTGATAGACCCGGGAGACGGCACTAGCGGGGACCGCGCGGAATTCCCACCCGCGGAGCTCTTCACCGCGCGGAACTTCCCCGTGAGGCTGCCGCGGCGGAAGGGGAGGCGGAGAAAGGGCGATCGGGAGGAGGATGTGGGAGGAAAGACGAACCCAGGCACGGTGGAAGGCGGTTCGGTGGGGCAAGATTCTTGGGTGCTCCCAGTAACGGGGGATGGTTTTCCTATGACACCGTACCAAGATGTGATTGAAGCGGGGGAGAAGAACGTGGACTGTCCGTACCGGTCGCGCGGCGCGGGAGAGAATCTGTACAGATGCGCCATGGGTTACGCCGCACTTGCCGGCGTGACTGGCGGGCTGGGGAAGCCGGTTTATGTGGTTACCAGTGACGTGGATAGGGCCGAGGACGTTCCGGAAGGCTCGCTAAGATGGGGTTTAAGTAATTATCCTGAGGGTGTGATTATACGCTTTAATAGCTCGATGCTGATTAGGTTACAGAAGCGGCTGTTTCTGCAGTCGCACGTGACGATCGACGGTCGCGGCGCGAATGTGATTATACGCGGAGGCATGGTTCTGCAGAACATCACGAATGTGATCATACACAACGTGGCGAGTGAGTGTAACGGTTGAGAGCGATAGCGGGCGAGGCGAGGGGGAGAGGCGAGGGGGGGTAGGGGGGGGTGGCGGGGAAGTGGGGAGAGGGTTGTTGTTTGGTGGAGCTTGTGTATAGACGGAGCGCGGAATTGAGCAGGGGAGGATGGGAGCGGGAAATTCTCGAGGTTGAGCGGTTTGGCGTCATGGTATTTTCGTCGAGGGGTTTGGCGAAGGAACACGGAAGTCAGGGGAACGTTTTTCTTACGTTTTTCCGCAGTGGGGTTACGAGTCTAGTGGCGGACGAGGTATGCGCGCAGTCTCGCGCACCGCGTCCCCTCCCCTCCTCCTCCCCTCTCCTCCCCCCCCCTCCTCCTCCCCCCCCCCCCGCTTCACCAGCCCCCCTCCCCCCACCCGCCCCCCCTCCCCGCAATCGCTAACTGCATCATCCGCTTCCCCCGCTGTTCTGGCGTTCCGCCATCTCCTTGGCAGTCCGAAACCAGCGCAACGATGCGCGTCGCGTGTCGATGCAGTCGGCGATCATGACATGTTGTTGCACATCCCAATGAGTCGGCCTCGAAGTCCCCCTCTCCCTTTCATACCCCCCATCTTCCTCGCTTTTCCCCAAACCCCCATGAGTCGACCAGCGCGGCAACCACGACGTGGTGCACATTGCAATGGGCTGACCCCGAAATCCCCCTTCTCTCCATCCACCTCCCTCCCCCTCTCCCCCCCCAACCCGCACAGTCGGCGACCAGCGCGGTGACCATGTGGTGCCGCACGACAAAATGGCCCGATCCCAACATCCCCTTCCCTCCCACACACCCCCCGTTCTCCCCCCTGCAGTCGGCGATCAGCGCGGGGATCACGACGTGGTGCACATTGCAGGCACGACGCGCGTGTGGGTGGACCACTGCCAGGTGTACAAGGCCATACGCGGTACAGTGGACGCCGTTTACGGCTCAACGGACATCACCATCAGCAATTCGTATATTAGCAACCGGTAAGTAGCGCCTCATACATATTTCCGTACATGTACATGTACTGTACACATATACATGCACACACGTACCTCCACAATGCTGCTATTGCCTGGGTTGCCAGAAGTAGCTGCTCACCTGCTCCCCTCTCACCCACCTTCCCTCATCATGCTTCCAGGAGCAGATGGCGATGGCGTATACGGCGTGGACATGATGGTCTCTGATGTGTGATGCTGCCCCCCTGCCTTCCACTCGTGTGCCCGAGCAGCAACCTCACCATGCTGCTAGGAGCAGAAGACGACGGGGTATGCGACGTGGACGTGCAAGTAACGATCTACCCCCCCCCCCCCCCCCCCCCCCCCCCCCCCCCCCCCTCCCCCTCCCCCCCCCCTCCTTTCCTCTTTTCCCCCTTCATATACACCCATTCCCCTGCTGGCTCTACTCCGCCCCTTCCCACCCTCACAGCAACCTCACCATGCTGCTGGCCGCAGTTGTCGACGGGGTATACGACATGAGGGTAACCTCTACCCCTCACCCTTCAACCACCACCCCCCACATATACCCATTCCCCTGCCTCCACTCCCCTACCTTCCCACCCTCACAGAAACCTCACCATGCTGCTGGGTGCAGAGGACGATGGGGTATACGACGTGGACATGCGGGTAACGCGCTACCGCAACTGGTTTGACAAGTCGGGGCAACGGCAGCCCAAGGCACGGTGGGGGAGGGAAGGGTCCACGTGGCCAACAGCCTCCACATCTAACTGCACCTGTACTCCTGCCTCTGCGGTCGTATGACATCTTCTCACCTCTCTACCTCCCTCTCCCCCACCTTCTTCCCCTCATGTGCCCATCCTCACAGCAACCTCACCATGCTGCTGGGTGCGGAGGACGATGGGGTATACGACGTGGACATGCGGGTAACGAGCTACCGCAACTGGTTTGACAAGTCGGGGCAACGGCAGCCCAAGGCACGGTGGGGGAGGGAAGGGTCCACGTGGCCAACAGCCTCCACATCTAACTGCACCTGTACTCCTGCCTCTGCGGTCGTATGACATCTTCTCACCTCTCTACCTCCCTCTCCCCCACCTTCTTCCCCTCATGTGCCCATCCTCACAGCAACCTCACCATGCTGCTGGGTGCGGAGGACGACGGGGTGTACGACGTGGACATGCGGGTGACCCTCTACCGCAACTGGTTTGACAAGTCGGGGCAGCGGCAGCCCAAGGCGCGGTGGGGCAAGGTCCACGTGGCCAACAGCCTCTACTCCAAGTGGTCCTATTACTGCCTCGGCGGCCGTATGTACGCTGCAATTCGCTCCGACCGTAATATCTTTATCGCTGGAGACGCGCGAAAAGAACTCACCCCGTGGTTTGGGGAACGCGCCCTTTGGACGGAGGGGTTTGATACGACTCCCGTGATCCGGTCGTTTGGGGATTTGCTGGTCAATGGAGCGACTTTTACCGAGTTTAACGCGGATTTGTCGATTTTCGACCCGCCGTATCGGCTGCCGATGCACACTGCGGATAGAGAGCTCGCGCACTTTATACGCGTTAATGCAGGGCCTAGAAACGGGGATGTTCCTGAGCTGCCGTGCACGCCTCAAACCTGCTTCCAGTGAGGCTGTAGCAGAGTGGAGAGGGGTTGAATGGGTGCAGGGATGAATGGATGTAGGGATAGAGGGATAAAGAGATACAGCTGCCCTCTTTGTTTTGTACCATGTCCCATCCAGTACTCATGTGAAGCTGGGAATAAATGAATGCCACGCCTGGTGGTCTTTCTGTATGGCTGCTTTTGCTGGTTCTGGTTGTTGTAGCACCTTGTAAAGAGTACAGCAAATCTGGCGTCTTCTCTCAAATGAGACTGATGTAGCTGCTGCAAAGCTGTTTCTTCTCTGGCAAAGGCTGCCTGCCAAGTACCGTACCGGTGCCATACCATTTCCACTCCCTTGTGAATCAACCATTTCTTGAGCCCCGCCAATGACACCAGAATCCGAACCGCTACAGTACAGCACAGTACAGCACAGCACAGCACAGTACAGCACAGTACAGCACAGTACAGCACAGTACAGCACAGTACAGCACAGTACAGCACAGTACAGCACAGTACAGCACAGGCCGGCCGGACAGGCAGACAGCACCTCCTACCCTGACCAATCCAGCCCATTGGCTCTTGTGATTACCGTATACCATCTCATTGGAACAGAAACTTCACAGTACCGTATAACATCTACAATTCCCAACAAAAGCTGCACAACTCTGAACCACAACCCCAGCCTAACATACTTCACCCAGGCCTTCTGCTTCCGTCCAAAGATCAATTTCTGAGTCGACTCCAAGATCACATTCCTTTGATTGGATCAATCATCCCAAATCAACCAACTCCGATCAGTTTGTTTTCTTTTCCACCTTGGCAGCATCTGAGCCAGCCTTGATCGTCGCCTGCTTGAGTTTTTTCTTTGAGCTGCCCCCCTCGCCGGGCAGGCAGAGGAAAGCCAGCAGAAGGCCGATGAGGAAGGCGGGCTGGATGGACGGTGGTTGCACCTAGGAGGAACAAAGGGGATGAGAAGGAGGGGTAGAGACGTGCTTTGAGGCGGCTGAAAAGGTGAGAGGGGGTTGAGAGGAGGGGACCGATAAGGAAGGCGGGCTGGATGGATGGTGGTTGCACCTAGGAGGAACAAGGGGGGTGGGAGGAGGAGGGAGTTCGAAGGGGTCAGGGGGGTGGGAGGAGGGAAGGGGTAGAGATGAGTTTTAAAACGCCTTAAAATATGACAGCAGCAGGGTAATGAAACAACCTGGGCTGGATGGCAGGTGGTTGCACCTTGGAGGGCCAGGGGGAGGAGGGGGGTCAGGAGGGGTAGTAACGAGATTTGAAATGCCTCAAAACATGGCAGAAGCAGGTTGATGACAGAAGGCGGGCTGGATGGCAGGTGGTTGCACCTCGGAGGGCCAGGGGGCGGAGGCATGTAGGGGAGGAGGCATGTAGGGGAGGAGGCATGTGGGGGAGGAGGCATGTGTGGGAGGAGGCATGTGGGGGAGGAGGCATGTGGGGGAGGAGGCATGTGGGGGAGGAGGCATGTGGGGGAGGAGGCATGTGGGGGAGGAGGCATGTGGGGGAGGAGGCATGTGGGGGAGGAGCACAGAGCTTAAAATACTAGATCGATACAAAAAAAAAAAACAAAGAAACAGGTACAGAGGCGAGTTTCTGAGTGTATTTGATAAGGGGCCTTGTCAAGACACGAATTCGTGTATACAGAGGCGACTTTTGATGCACCTTGAAGCTGACAGTGGGCTCAATGGAGGCTGGAAATTAACCTTGACGAGGCCACAGTCCCTCGGTGGCGTGAGGGTACCTTGGATGGGTCGGGAAGGTACCTTGGATGGGTCGGGGTAGGTGTGAGGGAGCAATATGGGGCGCAGCAGCCCCCAGAGCAGCAGCAGGTAGCCCAGCAGCGGCATGCGGGCCGCTCTGAACTGGGCTGCTATGGCTCCCCCCACCGCGAAATAGCTGCCCACCACCAGCTGGGGAGGGGGGCAGAGGAAGGGAGGGGGTCAGGAGAGGGTTGTTGAGGTGCACTTTAGAAGCAGCAGGGTGACTTCTGAGTCGACTCAAAAGGGGTCAAAAGAGGGTTGTTGAGGTCGACTTTAGAAGCAGCAGCAGCCTCCAGAGCAGCAGAAGGAAGCCCAGCAGTGATTTCAAAATCTTATCTTCAGCACTAATTTCAAACCCTGATTAGAGCCTCAACCAGAACAGAAACCCAGAATCCTAATCTTCTCACCTCAAGGGGCAGCAGAGGCAAGCCGGGGTCAGCGGGATCCTCTGGCCCAACAAAGGGCTTCTCGTACTGCTCTTTGTCAAAAGGCCCCAGAGGTACTGCCTGCCACGATGGCAACCGCTGCCACAAACGTCGCAGCCCAATTCCTCCCGCTTGTTTCATAACCCAACCCTGAACCCTGAACCCAAACCCAAGTTTCAACCCCAAACCCAAGTTTCAACCCCAAACCCAAATTTCAACCCCAAACCCAAGTTTCAACAACGAACCCAATGTTTAACCCCGAACTTTAGTCCCCTCACCTCAAGGCGCAGCAGAGGCAAGCCAGGGTCAGTGGGATCCTCTGGGCCTTCAAACGCCCTCTCATACTGCTCCAACACAGACTGCTCCAGGGTGCTGCTGCTGTTCAACCCTGAACCCAAAACGCCTACCCCAAACCCAAATTCCCTCACCTCAAGGCGCAGTAGGGGCAGACCGGGGTCAGTGGGATCTTCTGGCCCATCAAACGCCCTTGCGTACTGCTCCTGAAAAGACTGGCCCAGGGTGCTGCTGCTGTTCAACCCTGAACCCCAAACCCCTAACCCAAACCCAATTCCCCCACGTCAAGGCGCAGTAGGGGCAGGCCGGGATCAGTGGGATCCTTGGGACCATCGAACGCCCTCTCGTACTGCTCCAGCACAGAGTGCCGCAGGGGTAATACTACAGCTCCAGGGGGTGCTGCAGCTGAACCCTGAACCCTGAACCCTAAACTCTTCATCCCAACCCCAAACCCGAACCCCCTCACCTCAAGGCGCAGCAGAGGCAGGCCGGGGTCGGTGGGATCCTCTGGACCATCGAACGCCCTCTCATACTGCTCCAGCACGGAGTGCCACGCTGGCAGGCGCATCACCGCCGCCACGTCACCGTCCAGCAGGGCGGCGCCCACGTGGCGCGCCACCTCACCGGGGTAGACGACGGCGGAGAGGAGGACAGGTGGCAGCCAGATGGGGTGGCAGAGCTGTGTGATGACGACAGCAATGGGTGAGTCCACCTGGCGGTTGGATATTGTTATGCTGGCAGCATGGATCAACAGCAGGACGGGAAGGGAAGGGGAACGCAGGGGGAAGGGGAAGGGGGAGGGGGAGGGGGAGGGGGAGGGGGAGGGGGAGGGGGAGGGGGAGGGGGAGGGGGAGGGGGAGGGGGAGGGGGAGGGGGAGGGGGAAGGGGAGGGGAAAGCAGGGGGGAACGGGGAGGGAAGAGTGGGGATGCATGGCAGGAGGGAAGAGGCAGTGCTGTGTGATGACCACTGCTATGGGTGAATCCACCTGGCGGTTCGATATGGTTATGTTGCCAGCATGGCACAACAGGACGTGGGGAAGGGAGTGCGTAGCGAAGAGTGTGGGGCGAGGGAGAAAACGTGAGGGTGTTGGAGGATAGGGTGAGGGTGGCTGAGGGGGGAAACGGATGAGGGAGGGGAGGAGGACAGGTGGCAGGAATATGATGTGCCAGAGCTTCGTGATAACGACGGCGATGGGCGAATTAACCCCGCGCTTGAGTATGGCGTGCTGACTTCGAAACCGAAACGTGGGGACGAGACTCGGGGGTTCGGGACGAGGGGAGATGGTTTGTGCGGGACGCCGGGGGGGTTGGGGGAGGGGGCGCGGACTGAAAGTGCGACCGAGGAAAGGAGATTGAATCAGTCGAGCAGTCGGCACGAAGCTAAGTGGAACAAGGGCTCACACGAATCAAGAAAGTAGAGATTTTAGGAGTTCCCTGAAAAAGAGGCGGTTTGGATGGAAACGCAATTAACGATTTGCCCTGACAGGAGGTTCTCCTGAAGAGCGACACATGACATAGAACCTACCTGAAGAGAGGTGCTAGACATGGGGATTATCACCTGAAGGAGCACGATGGATCTGCCTGAAATGCGGCACTTGACACTTGGATCCACCTGAAAGCAGTACTACACCTGAAGAGCGGTACTTGTAGTATGACCAGCAGCAGCAGCGCCTGCGGAGCGAACTTCTTCAATCTGTTCCATGCCACCCCCATGATGTCTCCTCTGCCTCCTCTACCTCCTCTGCCTCCTCGTTGCAATAAAAGGCGGTTCTTTGCGATGCTGTGTCCAAAATGCTAGAGAACGCTATATTTGAAGTGTATCGCCCGTTGGAGGAAAAGGATTGTTTGCTGTGTGAGAACTGCTTATAAGATGGGTACTTCAATCCAGTATGGGAGCGATCGGTGGAAAAATGACCAGAGGGAGGGATTGGAGAATAGATGGTCTACGTCCTAAACGAATGAGGGAAATGCAGGATCGAGGCCGAAACAAAGCGATGAAAGAGCGGACGGGAACGGTGACTGGAGCTAAAAAGTTTCACTTCCAATCTCTCGCTCTCCTTTTCGTACGCTCCTTCTCGTCTTCTACTCCCTAGATTCTTCAATATGTGGTCTCAACGGAATATTCGAATTCCGCGGCAGTTGAAGGCTTGCAGTTGCGTTTGAATCCCAATCTGACACCGTGGCAATACCCCCGCCAACGCGCGCTTCTCGATACTAGTGAGGTGAGGACAAAGAGCAGCGAAGGTGCTTCCAAGGCGCCTTACAAATATCACATACCGTAGCATTTTCAGCAGGTCATTTTACACTTTTAGTAATCCTTCTCACACATGAATTCCAGTTAATACATGAGAGTGGATTAAACAGAATATAAAGGATATATTGGGATAATATGAAGATGTATTAGTTAGATTTTAAGAAAAAACACGTATCGTAATTTTCTGCTATGTAAATATAAGAACATCTTCATTCGGAACCCTGCTATTGAGAACGCTACACCGACTTTATCGAATCATACAATAACTTTGTGTTCTGGTGTACGCGATCCCAGGTTTTCGCGTCAGAATTGCGTGTGCCTGACACCATTCTGCGACGAAAATAACCATCCCATCTTGACACCGTCAAGTTGATTGTTGACTTGACTGGTTCTCACGCATCAAGGTGGCATTAGCTTGTGACTATTTTACGCCTGTTTCTGGAGCCTCGACATTTCAAAAACGGTAGTTATATTTTCCCGTCAAAGAATCTTCTTGGCCTATTTTAAAAATGGATGACTCCTTAAGACCCAAGGACTTTCGAGAGCTAGTTCAGAGAGTGACAACGAGGTGTCGAGATACGTGCAGCCAGCATGCGGCGGAGCTTTTGGGCGAGCAAGATAAGTCTTCGAATGTTATACCTAAGGCAGCGCAGATCGAGCTGAAGCAGCTCTCGTCACGCCTAACTTCTGCCATAGACTCCGTCGCTTCTGTTACGAAAGATCAAGGTCTACAGGAAACAGCTTTTTCGGGCCCCGACGACAACCAGCTTTTAGGTAAGCTAGTAGCGGAGGCGAACAGTTTAGTTCCTTATCATGGATGAATTGTACTCACTTTGATTCACTCTGTGCTGGTCTGTGGTTGTACGCAGCGTTATCCAAGGCGCAGGCGGAGGCTCTTGAGTCAGAAATAAAGGAGCTGGCTGTATTAGTAAAGCAGCGACGGACGAAGGTTCTGGAGAAGGTCCGAAATAAGCTGGGAATTAAGCTGGAACGATTGAAGAAGTCACAGAAGATAAGGAAACCGTGTGGTGCTGTAGCTGCGAAATGTACACAAGGTATTTTTGTAATTCTGACCGTTTTTTCGTTCTTCATTGCTCTTGCTCTTCAGAATCACGTTTCAGCTTCTAATGCGCTAATGCTTTTCTGTATATCATGCCAGCGACGAGCGCGATTCGATTGCGTATGCAGTCCCTTCTGGAACAAGGTGAGGAGACGACGACCATGGTTTCAGAGGTTGCTAAGAAGGCTGGTTCTGTGGCGTCCCGGTTACATAACCTAATAACATCAGCCAAGACTGAAGCAGCACGGATACCATCAACTAAGGAGAGGCTAATTGCGGGAGAGATAGCTAAGGAGAAAAGCTGCAAGCAATGAGCAGTTTTAACAGAACAGGTATAGGGAGTGGGATTGGAGTTGCAGGGATTGTACAGACTGGTAGAAGCTAGCAGGTTTTGAAATCTACCGTAGCATGCTGGAACGCCTTCAGGCTTCAGTAGTAGGGTTCTTTGCAACCATATGCTGGCAGGTTATCATTTAATGTTGGCCAGGAAAGCTAGGGTGAAATAGGTTGGCTCTCAAGTTTATTACTATGCTTAGTCTTGAATGCACATTTTTTTCGAGTTTGCCTGCTCCCTAGTTATTGTGATATCTTCGAGATATACTCTCGAGTGTACAATAATTGACAAAAATCTGACAGATCACCTTTCTGTTGACGAGTATATTTGAGCAGCAACCAACTCTAGCAAAGCCACGTCATGGCTGATTCCTAACCCAAGGGAACCCGAGGTTGCCAAGCTGGAACAAACTCGGAGATGAACCCAGGATACCAAAGATGATCCCAACCAACCCAAGGTGATCCACTGTCTCCTCTCGCATCTCCTTCCCCGTCCCCACTACTTTCAGCCAGTAGTAATCAATACTCCTCCACTTCTGCCTCAATAGTGGTTTGGGAGGCCTTTTCTTGTCGACCGCAAGTGCCCGTTGCGACTCGACACGCGGGCCATGCTCGAGTCGCCGCTCTCCGCGGTGTCAGCTGCATCGGCTGCTGTTCCCGGACTTCCCGCGGAAACCGGGATGTTCCGATCCGCGCTACACGTGTCCGCACGGCAGCTCCGGACCGCGATTGGTGGAGCTGCTCGGCTTTCAAGCAGCCACGTCGGCAGGCAAGTCAACAACAAATAGCTGGACGTATAGTTTGGCTATAGTATGAAGATATCAGTATAAGCGGGAACAAGATAAATTTACATTACCTTACAATTCAGGTTACCTCCCTTTTAGGGTTCACGCAAAGGTAATGTTGTAGTCCATCGCCGCGCTATGATAGCCCGTTCGAGGCCTCACGCTCGTGCAGTTCTCGGTCCCTCCTTAGAGCTCACGTCGCTCGGATCCGCAACGTTTTGCGACCGTCACAAGAGGTAGTTAGACGAATGCTCGACGACCGTCCTGCATTGGACGGTTAGTGAACGCGTTACGCGGCATTTCAGCGGGGAAGGCTATGTGCATCTGGAGTGTATTCTGAAGCTACGGCTTCCCGAGGTTCCTTTCCAACTTATAACTGTTTTTTTTTTTGCAGTGCCTTGACAATGCGCATGTCGCAACCTACCTACTCCTGGTAAAAATTCGTCTTTCTCCATCCCCTCTCCTCCCCTTTTAATCCCCTGTCTGCCCTCAATTCCCTTCCCACCAGGCTCCCCCTTCCAGCCTCCGTCGTTCCCTTATCCGCCACCCACCTCCCCCTGCACCCGCTTCCGCTCCTCTCCCGCGCCTCCCCTTCCGCTCTATCCGCCTCCGCGCGCCGTTTCCCCTCCCGCTTGTCCCCGCCGTACGGGGCAGGTCGGGCGCGGAGCGTCGCCGCGGCCTCCGCAGCCGCGGATGGGTCCGACGCCGCGCCTGCAGTAGCTGTTGCTGCGGACGAGGCGGAGCGCGTTAGCGGCGCTGGCGCCGCTGACGGTTCTGTGCCTGCAGAGGGAGGTGCTAAGGCGAAGGGGGGGAAGAAGGGCGCGCGGAAGGGGGGAAATGGCGCAACGTCTGGCGCAACTGCTGGTTCTGGAGGGGAGAGCGCGGGGGAGGATGACGTGGAGGTGGAGCTGCCACGTGAGCCGCTTCCGACCAATGAGAGCTCGGAGAAGCTGCTGCGGATCAGACACACGGTGAGTGGCGCGTGGGGCGAATGGGGCGTTTTAGGTGAGTTTCGCGTGAGATGAAGGGTGCTTGGGGTGAGTGGCTCGCGGGGTGAGTTAGACGCGGGACAAGTGGGGCGAGTGAGAGACTTGAGGGGTGTGCAGCTAGTTATTGGCAAGATAGGCGCTTGAGACGAGTGGGCCGTTGCGTCTGCCACCGTCTCTGCACCACCTTTGTTTCCTCCCCCTTCTCCCTCCTCTTCTCCCTTATCCATTTCGCCCGCTTCACCTCCCAGTTCGCTCACGTTCTTAGTAGAAGAAACACCCGAAGGTGTGTCTGTGATGGCGATGGCGGTGCAGAGGCTGTTCCCCAAGACGCAGGCCTCTCTTCCCTTTTCTCTTTCCCCACACTCTTCCCTCTTTCTCCCCTCCCTCCAACCACCCCCCCCACCCCCAAAACCCTAGCAGTCCGCGCACGTGATGGCGATGGCGGTGCAGCGCCTGTTCCCCAAGGCGCAGGTGACCATCGGGCCGTAAATTCAGAATCGACCCATTCCTTCCCCGTTCCCCCTTCCCCTTCCCCCTCCCCCTTTCCTCCCTCCCCCCAGTCCGCCCATGTGATGGCGATGGCGGTGCAGCGGCTGTTCCCCAAGGCGCAGGTGACGATAGGGCCGTGAATTCAGAATTCGACTCATCCGTTCCCCTTCCCCCCTCCCCGTTCCCTCTTCCCCACCCGTCCCTTCTTCTCCCCTCCCCGCCCCCCTCTCCAGTCCGCGCACGTGATGGCGATGGCGGTGCAGCGGTTGTTCCCCAAGGCGCAGGTGACAATCGGGCCGTGGATTCAGAACGGCTTCTACTACGACTTTGACCTCGACCAGCCGCTCACTGACAAGGATCTCAAGAAGATCAAGAAGGAGATGGTGGGTGGGTGCGACTGTAACGGGTAATGGGTGTGATTGTAACGAGTAGTGGGTGTAGATGATCGGGCCGTGGATTCAGAACGGCTTCTATTACGACTTTGACCTCGACCAGCCGCTCACTGACAAGGACCTCAAGAAGATCAAGAAGGAGATGGTGGGTGGGTGCGACTGTAACGGGTAATGGGTGTGATTGTAACGAGTAGTGGGTGTAGATGATCGGGCCGTGGATTCAGAACGGCTTCTACTACGACTTTGACCTCGACCAGCCGCTCACTGACAAGGACCTCAAGAAGATCAAGAAGGAGATGGTGGGTGGGTGTGACTGTAACGAGTAGTGGGTGTGTCTTCGACGAGTAGAGGGTGTGAATGAGTAGAATTAAGGGTGCGTGAGACTTATGTGAGGTCAAGCTTCCTATGTCTGCACAACACTGACTTGTTTTAAACAATATCTTACTCTTCTTCCCTGATTTTTTTTCCTTTTTTTCTTTTCTTCTTATTTTCTTCCTCCCACCCACCCTCAGGACAAGATCATCTTCAAGAACCTTCCCTTGCGCCGGGAGGAGGTGTCAAGGGACGAGGCAGCCCTTCGGTTTGAGGCGAATGCATATTTGTTTTTCCGTTCCTTATCCCCCTCCCCCTGCCGCCCCCACCACCCTCAGGACAAGATCATCTTCAAGAACCTGCCCCTGCGCCGGGAGGAGGTGTCGAGGGAGGAGGCAGCACAGGCGAATGAGTCTATGTTTCTTCTACCTTTCCCCCCTCCCCCTGTCGCTCCCACCACCCTCAGGACAAGATCATCTTCAAGAACCTGCCCCTGCGTCGGGAGGAGGTGTCGAGGGAGGAGGCAACGCGGCGCATCAAGTTGGTGCTTCTTCCTCCCAACCCTTCAATGGCATAAGAGCACGAAAGAATCATTCCGTCTCCTTCCTTCCCCCCTTTACAGGACAAGATCATCTTCAAGAACCTGCCTCTGCGCCGCGAGGAGGTGTCACGGGAGGAGGCAGCGCGGCGCATCAAGGAGATCAACGAGCCGTACAAGCTGGAGCTGCTGGACAGCATCAAGACGGAGCCCATCACCATCTACCACATTGGTACGCTAGGCGTGTTAGGGTTGCGACCTGTACACATGGGCATGGGCGCATCAGGGAGATGAACGAGCCGTACAAGCTGGAGCTGCTGGATAGCATCAAGACTGAACCGATTACCATCTACCACATCGGTGCGTTAGGCTCGTTTGATTAACCTGTCCTGACCGATCCACTCTAGCCCATCACCATCTACCACATTGGTACGTGAGGGATGGAATATGGGCATGGGCGCATCAGGGAGATGAACGAGCCGTACAAGCTGTGATACGAGCTGGTTCTTGAGGAAAAAAAAAAACGGAGTCAACGAGTGCCACACGCTCGGATGGGTGGCTGCTGGCACCTGACTGACTCCCGGGGCTTTGAGCTGCCGTTTTTTTAGCCTGGGAACAGCCAGCCTCTCCCCTCCTCCTCTACCCATTCCTCTCCTCCCCCTTCCCTTCCTGATCCCCTCCACGTTCCCTCTTCCACAGGTGACGAGTGGTGGGATCTGTGCGCCGGGCCTCATGTGGAGAGCACAGGAAAACTGCCCCGCAGGGCGATCGAGCTGCAGTCAGTGGCAGGGGCGTACTGGCGGGGGGATGAGACGAGGGCCATGCTGCAGCGCATCTACGGCACGGCGTGGGAGAGCGAGGCGCAGCTGCTGCAGTACCGGCAGCAGGTGGAGGAGGCCAAGCGCAGGGACCACCGGAGGTTGGGCAAGGAGCTGGGGCTATTCTCCATCCAGGTACGCGCCTCCTGCTGTGTTTGGCCGTGCTGGGTACGCCTTATAGGCTTTTGAGACGCCTCAGGAGAACAAGGGGTCTGGGCAGTGGGACAGCGGGACTAGAGGGGCCGGGGGGATGAGCAGAGGCCATGCTGCAGCGCATCTACGGCACGGCGTGGGAGAGCGAGGCGCAGCTGCTGCAGTACCGGCAGCAGGTGGAGGAGGCCAAGCGCAGGGACCACCGCCGGTTGGGGAAAGAACTCGGGCTGTTCTCCATTCAGGTGAGCTGCTGCTGCTGTGAGGTGTGCTGCCGGTACTGCAGCAGGTGGAGGAGGCCAAGCGGAGGGACCACCGGAGGTTGGGCAAGGAGCTTGGTCTCTTCTCCATCCAGGTACGCGCCTGCTGCTGCTGGTATTGTCTGTATTGAGTTTTTTTAGGCCTTTGAGACACCTCAGAATAAGGCGTGTGGACACTGGGAGTGGGGGGCGGGGCGAGGAGCAGAGGGCCATGCTGGGGCTGGGGCTGTTATCTATCCAGCCAGGTAGGCGCCTCTGCTGTGTTTGGGTGGGGAAGCTACTATATGGGTGAGAGTGAGAGTGAGAGTGAGAGTGAGAGTGAGAGTGAGAGAGCAAGGGAGACAGGAGCGGAGCACGTGCGGGGTGGGGTTATGCGACGAGTCGCTGTAGCCTCGCTGGAACACGAGCTGAAGTGTCTCCCTTTCCCACACACCCGTGTCCTTACCCTGTCAAACCCTTCCATTGCAGGAGGACGCGGGTGGAGGACTGGTGTTCTGGCACTCTCGGGGGGCGAGAGTGAGGGCGATGATAGAGGAGCGTTGGAGGAAGGAGCACCTGAGGCGGGGGTACGAGCTGAGCTGCGTCAACCCCTCCACTCATATGCTTTCGTTACCATGTGACACACCCATTCTCACAGGAGGATGCAGGTGGAGGACTGGTGTTCTGGCACCCTCGGGGGGCAAAGGTGAGAGCGATGATAGAGGAGCATTGAAGGAAGGAGCACCTTCGGGGGGGGTATGAGCTGCTGTTGCCTCCCTTCTGACAACCCCTCTTTCCGCCTTTGTAACACCCTCTTGTTACAGGAGGACGCAGGGGGCGGACTGGTGTTCTGGCACCCTCGGGGGGCGAGAGTGAGAGCGATGATAGAGGAGCATTGGAGAAAGGAGCACCTGCGGCAGGGGTATGAGCTGCTGTACACGCCGCACATGGCCAAGCTGGACCTCTGGAAGACCAGCGGGCACTACGAGTTCTACCGCGAGAACATGTTTGACCAGGTGAGAGAGTGGCGTTGACCAGCGTTGACTGGCGTTGACTGAGTGCGAAAGCGTCAGGTGATTCGGGCGTAAACGCAGTTAATATCGTGCACGCTCACACATTCACTCAGATGCCCGCTTGCCGTTCCCTTTCCCTCTCTCCCCAACCCCCCCTCTCTCATTCCCCATACCTCCCCATCAGATGGAGGTGGAGGAGGAGCATTATCAAATCCGGCCCATGAACTGCCCCTTCCACATCCCTCCCTCCCGCTTCCTTCTCCCCAACCCTTCCCTCCATCGGCCCCTCCCCTTTCCCCCCTCCCTGTCATCAGATGGAGGTGGAGGAGGAGCATTATCAGATCCGCCCCATGAACTGCCCCTTCCACATCATGCTCTACAACGACTCGCTGCACTCCTACCGTGATCTCCCCATCAGGTCAGCGCAACCTCCCCATCATCAGGTGCGACCGCCCCATGAACTGCCCCTTCCACATCATGCTCTACAACGACTCGCTGCACTCCTACCGTGATCTCCCCATCAGGTCAGCGCAACCTCCCCATCATCAGGTGCGACCGCCCCATGAACTGCCCCTTCCACATCATGCTCTACAACAACTCGCTGCACTCCTACCGTGACCTGCCCATCAGGTGGGTTCCACCCCCCCATGCCATGCTATGCCATGCCATTCCATGCCATTCCATGTTATGCCATTCCATGCCATGCTATGCCATGCCATTCCATGTTATGCCATTCCATGCCATGCTATGCCATGCCATTCCATGTTATGCCATTCCATGCCATGCTATGCCATGCCATTCCATGTTATGCCATTCCATGCCATGCTATGCCATGCCATTCCATGTTATGCCATTCCATGCCATGCTATGCCATGCCATTCCATGTTATGCCATTCCATGCCATGCCATGCCAGCGCACCCTGTCCTCCTCTCTATTCCACACCCCACATTTCATCCTCACACCATCCATTACACCCCCATCCCATGCCATCCACGGCTATGACCGTTGTAGACTTGAGGCCTATTCATCTCTTCCCCCCCATCGACCTCCCACACCCCATCCTCTTGTCCTCACCCCCGAATTCCCCCCACAGGTGGGCGGAGTTGGGCACAGTGTACCGCTATGAGCGTTCGGGCACGATGCATGAGCTCTTCCTCTGTTTCTCCCGCACCTCTCTCGTTCTTATTCCTCCCCCCAACACCCTCCCACACCCCCCACAGGTGGGCCGAGTTGGGCACAGTGTACCGCTATGAGCGTTCGGGTACAATGCATGGGCTCTTCCGCGTACGCGGATTCACCCAGGTCCGTGGGCGCTGAGGTTACCTTATGAAAACTCTCACAGGCCATTTGGCTGCAGTCATACAGTTGGTTATTCAGGTGTGATCACTCAGGTGATCATCCAGCTGTTTATTCGGGTGGTCGTTCATGTGATTGTGGCGACCTTTCAGGTGATCACTCAGGTGATCATTCATGTGCGCACTGCCCCAGTGAACGTTACCAAGTGTGTAGTTGCTGCCTTGAGCCACTTCCACCTGTTGCAAGTATCCGTGCCTTGTGAGCCCTTTCACATTTGGGAGAAGTTCCAGGGGGTGCTTGCTGGACCTCGCAGAGACAAAGCTGAAACGAAGCACATTTGCCCCTTGAAACGAAGCACCTTCTATCCCATGCACCCCACTTCCCCCACACACACTTCATCCCTCAAACCCGCTTCTCCCCCGCCCCCACCCCCCCCCCACAGGATGACGCGCGCATATTCTGCCTGCCGTCTCAAATTCGCAACGAGATTCGCGGGGTGCTGGACCTCACAGAGGCCATGCTGACGGACTTGGCTTCCACACGCACACACACACACACACACACGCACACACACACACACACACACACACACACACACACACACACACACACACACACACACACACACACACACACACACACACGCACATGCCCATCCTGCATGCCCCACCCGCCCCGCTCCCCCCGCACAGGACGACGCGCACATCTTCTGCCTGCCATCGCAGATCAGGGACGAGATCCGAGGGGTATTGGACCTCACCGAGGCGATGCTGACGGACTTTGGCTTCCACACGCACACATACAGACACAAACGCCCATCCTTCATGCCCCACCCGCCCCGCTCCCCACCTGCACAGGATGACGCGCACATCTTCTGTCTGCCCTCTCAGATCAGGGACGAGATCCGAGGGGTATTGGACCTCACAGAGGCGATGCTGACGGACTTTGGCTTCCAGCAGCTGGAGATCAACCTCTCCACACGCCCGGAGAAATCTGTTGGAGATGACGCCATTTGGGAGCAGGCTACTCAGGTGTGTGTGTGGGTGTGCTTCCCCCCATGGATGCTGCCTGGTGTAGTGCCATGTGGACCTCACAGAGGCGATGCTGACGGACTTTGGCTTCCAGCAGCTGGAGATCAACCTCTCCACACGCCCGGAGAAATCTGTTGGAGATGACGCCATTTGGGAGCAGGCTACTCAGGTGTGTGTGTGGGTGTGCTTCCCCCCATGGATGCTGCCTGGTGTAGTGCCATGTGGACCTCACAGAGGCGATGCTGACGGACTTTGGCTTCCAGCAGCTGGAGATCAACCTCTCCACACGCCCGGAGAAATCTGTTGGAGATGACGCCATTTGGGAGCAGGCTACTCAGGTGTGTGTGTGGGTGTGCTTCCCCCCATGGTTGCTGCCTGGTGTAGTGCCATGTGGACCTCACAGAGGCCATGCTGACGGACTTTGGCTTCCAGCAGCTCTAGATCAACCTCTCCACCCGGCCCGAGAAGTCCGTCGGGGATGACGCCATTTGGGAGCAGCAGGCCACGAACGAAGGCAGGTGGGGCAGGCACAGGCAAAGGCACGCAGGTGTGCTCTTTGGCTTCCAGCAGCTGGACGTCAATCTCTCCACCCGCCCGGAGACGTCTGTTGGGGATGACGCCATCTGGGAGCAGGCCACGCAGGTACGGGGGCTTATGACAGCAGGCAGGCTACTCGGGTAGGGGAGGGCAGGCACAAGGGGTGTGCTCTTTGGCTTCCAGCAGCTGGACATCAACCTCTCCACCCGGCCAGAGAAGTCTGTCGGGGATGACGCCATTTGGGAGCAGGCTACCCAGGTGTGTGTGTGGGTGTACTTTCCCCATGGTTGCTGCCTGGTGTAGTGCCATGTGGACCTGGCAGAGGAGAATGCTGACGGACTTTGGCTTCCAGCAGCTGGACATCAACCTCTCCACCCGGCCCGAGAAGTCTGTTGGGGATGACGCCATTTGGGAGCAGGCCTCGCAGGTAAGGGGGTTACAGCAGGCTGCACATGTGAAGGGGGGAGGTTGGGGGGTGGGAGGGGAGGCACGTGGAGAGGCATGTGTTTCCACGTCACTTGGCTTCCAGCAGCTGGAAATCAACCTCTCCACCTGGCCGGAGAAGTCTGTCGGGGATGACACCATTTGGGAGCAGGCTACTCGGGTAGGGAGCTTATGACAGCAGGCAGGCCACTCGGGTAGGGGAGGGCAGGCACAAGGGGTGAGCTCTTTGGCTTCCAGCAGCTGGACATCAACCTCTCCACACGCCCTGAGAAATCCGTTGGGGATGACGCCATTTAAGAGCAGGCCACTCAGGTGAGGGGGTTATGACTGTAGGAGACACAGGTAGGGGGGGTTGGGATGGTAGAAGCGGAGGAGGGAAACACGAGTGGAGGGAGAGGTATGTGGTGTTCCCACGTGTCTTAGCCTGTTCACCCGACCCGACAAGTCCGTTGGAGCTGATGCCATCGGGGAATTCATTCTAGTAGGGGGTATGACAGCAGGCTACATAGGGGTGTGTGTGTGTGTGTGTGTGTGTGTGTGTATGTGTGTGTGTGTGTGTGTGGGTGTGTGCGTGCGTGTGTGTGTTTGTGTGTGTGTGTGTGTGGGTGAGTGTGGGGGTCAGGCCCTGGTTCATTCCGTGGATGAGGTCCTGGGCATGCAATGTGCGGGAGTGTGGGTTGTGGCGTGTGTGCAAATGTGTTGACACACTGCTTTTGTCTTTCCTTCCCTATCACTTCAACAGGCGCTGAGGGAGGCGCTGCAAGACAAGGGGTGGGATTACACCGTGGATGATGGTGGAGTGTGTGTGTGTATGATGCACATTCGTGTGTATGTATGTGTGTATATGCGTGTGCATCTCTGTGTGCGTTCTTTCCTTCTAAACCACTTCAACATGCGCTGAGGGAGGCGCTGCAAGACAAGGGGTGGGATTGCACCGTGGACGAGGGTTGCATGTACGCATATCTGTGTGTTGATGTGCCTGTCCATCTGCGTGTATGTCCTTCCCTCAATCGCTTCAACAGGCGCTGAGGGAGGCGCTGCAAGACAAGGGGTGGGATTACACCGTGGACGAGGGTGGGGGAGCGTTTTACGGGCCCAAGATAGATGTGAAGATCATGGATGCCATTGGGCGCAAGTGGCAGTGCTCCACCATCCAGGTCCGCTTTGATTCACGATTCCATGTCTTCATGTCTCCACATCTCACGGCAAGGGAGTTATTTACGCCGTTGAATAAAAAGCAAGAACTTTACACCATTGGAAAAAAAAAAACTTTACAACATTGAATAATAAATAAGAACTGCGTGACTCCCTTCCTCCAATAACCTTCTGCCAGGTGGACTTCAATCTGCCGCACCGCTTCAACATGGTCTATGCGGATGCGGACGGCACTCGCCGCCCGCCCATCATGATCCACCGCGCCATCTTTGGGTCCCTGGAGCGGTTCTTTGGCATTCTCATTGAGAACTATGCGGGCGACTTCCCCCTCTGGTTTGCGCCCACTCAGCTGCGCCTGCTGCCAGTCACAGACTCCGAGGTTCGAACTTCATTACCGTATCTGTTTTGATTGCACTTGGTTACGCGTTTATGTCGACCCCCCTCTCCCCCCCCCCCCCACCTCGTAACCCCCTCCCTTCCCCCCCTTTTCCTCCTTTGTGGAAGCCATCGACGCTATTGTCACCTGAAAAGACATAGCAAACGAACACTAATCTTACTGTTCCCTGTGTGTTTGCAATGTCTTTTCAGGTGCCCTTCTGCAAGGAAGTGGTGGCCACCTTATTGGAGCGGGGCATTCGTGCTGAGGTGGCGAGCGGTGAGAGGCTGGGCAAGCTGATTCGCAATGCGGAGACACAGAAGATTCCGGTGATGGCTGTGGTTGGCCCCAGGGAGGTGGAGTCTCGGAGTCTCAATGTGCGTACGAGGAAGGGCGCCGAGCTGGGAGTCCTTTCTGTGGACCAAGTGGCGAGAAAGATTGAAGAAGCAGTAGCTAATAAGGGTTATTTGTGACACTGTTCCTTTTAATCATACGCTATATTGATATTACTGAGACAAATTATCCAAGGAACTTCTTGTGGCTTTTTCAATTATTTTCCTGGGCATAGCTGTGAACATATATTTGGCGAGTAAGGCTTTTTTGTAACATCCCACATTCACGTGAAATCGCAGCTACGTACGCCTTCACATCTTCGCCTCTGCTGATCATCCCCATTCACAGTTGTTAGCAGTCGCAGCACTTGCGTCCTATCTGGTCACTCGCAGCATCAACACCCTCGCCTGTCCTAATCTGGGCCGTGGTCCCTCGCTGCTGACCATCTTTCTGCACTTGCTGCCCATCACTGCCAATCCCTGCTCACCCCTTCTCACCCCTTCTCAGTCCCGCTCATCCCCGACCTCCCTCCCCTGCTCTGGGCTCACCTTGGGATGATCAATGTCAGTTTCAGGCACAGAGCGGAACGTATGCTCGAGGATTGTATTGTAATCTGAAGCAGTTCGTAGAAGGAAAAATCCCCCATTTCACGGGATTGCTGTGCGTTGCACGGCTGTCTGGCACCATTCCACGATCTCGTTAGGCGGTACAACGGACGCAGTAGTACGGAGAGTGCGGGTGCTTAGTGAGCGTGTCTAGACCCTCTTTGTTGGAGCGTAGCTCGAGTTAGTCACGATGTCACTCGAGACTTATTGGGAGAACTTCCAGCAGGCGTTTTGGCAGATCTCACCGTATGCGTACGCCGCCATTGGTATCGCCATTTCTATTGGCGTTTCCGTCCTGGGTGCAGCATGGTAGGCAAGGCTACCGCTACGGATCTGCGGCACTCGTTTCGCAGCCGCACAGCCAGTCAGATATCTTATTTCATTTCTAATGGTTGTTTGCAGGGGAATCTTGATTACAGGAAGTAGTCTAATAGGCGCTGCCATTAAAGCTCCTCGGATCACGTCTAAGAACCTTATCAGGTAGGTGTTAGGATCTATTGTCTCGTCCGCCTCTCATTTTAGGGTTATGCTCCAATTTTTTCGCAATCTGTGTCCTTACATGTTTCATTGGTCTTCGTCCTTCGCCTCCCGTCAGCGTTATTTTCTGTGAGGCCGTGGCGATTTACGGCGTTATTGTCGCGATCATTCTGCAAACGAAGCTCGAATCCGTCGGCAAGGCCAGATTGCACTCGCCCGAAGCGCTCCGCTCTGGTTACGCTATATTCAACTCCGGAATCATCGTGGGTCTCGCGAACCTTTTCTGTGGGTAAGTCTCCATTTTCCAGACTGTGCGACCTAAATGGTCAACCACAAAATATGGCCTATCAGCACAAGCGCATTCGACTTGCTTCGCCACCCCTGGTCATTTGGGATCGGCTGGTCTGTTCATGTTGTTTTACGAAGTCTGCGTGTGCAGGTTGTGTGTGGGCATTATCGGCAGCAGCTGTGCGTTGTCGGACGCGCAGAACTCGACGCTATTCGTGAAGATCCTCGTTATTGAGATCTTCGGTAGTGCGCTTGGGCTGTTCGGGGTCATCGTTGGTATTATCCTATCGTCTCAAGCAACATGGGCTTGAAACGTCTCCTCCACGCTCTTCAGGTCCGGCATATTAAAGGGTTCGCCTTATTCCAGATGTGCACTGCAGCTGATCATCTGTTGCCATGAATTGTTGTTTTCGCTTCTTCGTACTCCTAAAGTGTTTTCTTGTGTATTCTCCTATTTCCTCGTTTTGTATCCTCTTGGCCTCTGCATGCTGCCGTCATCCTCTCTCCTCCACGCCCCGTTCCCCGTTTCCCCGCCTCCCCTCTCCCGCTGTATGTCATTCGTGTCCTATACTCCGACCTTATCCTCCTGTCCCTTTCACTCTCCTTTTGCACGCTGGGGTCATTCGTTGTTTTCCTCCTTTTTGGCTTGTGGTTTACAGGTTTCGTTGTACCGTCAGCTGTGGGGCCAATTGATACCGTAAGAAGGATGTGCTATGCGAAGACATGCATGGGATGGTCCGTGTGTAGCTGCTTGCTTCAACAGCATACCGTAATCTCTTATGGTAACCTGGCATCTTCACGATTTAGCTTTAGCGGATTAAGCACAGCATCAGATTGCACGGTGGTCAGGAAAGTCAAGGTTATGTAAGGAACTGCTAAGTTGGCAAGACCAATGTGGACACTGTATGTTGATGATACGGTAAGTGCGTTATTGGGTGAGTAGAGCACTTTTTTTTCTGTGAATTAAGATAGCGATTGCTTTGGTATTTAGTGGAAACCCGCAATAGCAAATATTGAATGCAGGCGATGTTGGCGCATCTAGAATCTTGCATATGCAATAGAAAAACCGGATTGGTTTACAACGTTTTCTTACACACTCCCACATTTTGGGAGCAGTCGAAATCTCTCCAGTCCAGACACGTGACCTGACGGGTGCCTTATGTAGAGTACACTTGAATGTCACATACACCCTTCCAATCTCGACCATCTACTAACTTAGCACGTATCTGGCAGGCTGACTTTGTTTTATTCAAAATGACTACTAATCTAACCATGCTGTTTTTTCACGTAATATTGCCCAAGTTTTTACCATGACAGAAAAGCTTCTTGCTTTCCGCATCCGAAAAGTGACGCGCATGCAAGCGTGGAGCGTGGAGCGTGAAAATGAGAGCGACCACCAAACCACTCGTCTCGTTCCGTCGCACTCGCCGCTCCGCTTTTCCATTCCTTCTCAGAAAGAGGCTCTCAGAGCCGAGCTGGTCTGGGCGTAGTGGCCGGCAGTCAAGTAGGTACGAGCCATCGCTCTGGTGGCTGCAGCACGACTCGTGCTAAAAATGTGAAGGCCAAGATCGAAACGTGCAGCGATTATTATTACTAACCAAGCAGCGCGGCGCGGCTACCTCAATCTCAACTCTCGCCGCGACGCGCGCGTGGCATTTGCACCCCGGCACGGCGCCTTGCAGGCCGCGTCACGGTGACTCGGACCGCCAAGATGCGTTTCACCATGCTCGCGCGCCTCTGCACGCTCGCCTTGCCGCTTCTCAGCGTCGGCCTCGGAGGCACTGATGATTGCGACCCGGCGATTCCGGCGCGGATGCCGGCCCTGCTGACAGCGCGCGCGCAACCCCTGGCGGGGCCGCGGTGCGTGAACCGGTTTCCGCAGAAGCCGCTGTGTAAGTTCGTCGACGACCTCGCCGCGTCGCCGCTCACCTTCCTCGACGCGCCGGCCGGCGAGACCATCAAACTCGGCGCGTATGACGTCTACCAGGCGAGTGCCATTGCTGTCTCATGGCTCAGCCGCGTTGTGGTGCCTCCAAGCCAAGGTATCACATTGAGAAATGGTGGGTGCCTGGAAGGTACCAGGCCTGGAGTCTGACGGCCGTTTGACGCCTGCGGCGCTCACAACTCAGATGCCAGTCATTCAAGCAATGAAAATCACGGTGTTTGTGAAAACATGCTAACGGTGGCACCGGTGTTACAATAATGGTTCTGCATTTTTGGAAACCCACACCAATCCCCTCCTCCCGCCTTCAGCCTCCCCAACCCCCCTTTCCCGCCCGTCTTTCAGGCTGGTGTCAAAGAGTCCTGCGTGACAGATCTAAGACTCTTTGATCTGTCACCGCAGGCAGAATTCCCCAAAGACTCATCTGGGATAGTTCGAAATTTTGCTGATAGTTGGAAAGTCTCTGGCGAGATGGTTTCAGGATGCTTTTGGGAGCAAACTTTTTTACCGATGCTGTTCTGCCTCCCCCCGGCCCGCAACGAGCAGAAGTTCCATCGCGACCTGCCCGACACCAATCCGCCCTCCCGCCTTCCGCCTCTCACACCCCCCACCCTCCCCCCCCCCCCAAACTTCCCCAACCCCCCCGTCCCCCCTCCCAACAAGCAGAAGTTCCATCGCGACCTGCCCGGCACCAAGGTGCATGCGTGCGGCGCCTCCCGCAGCTCACACAGTCCCCTCCCCTTTCAAATCTTCCCTCTCCCCAACCCATCCCGCCCCCCCCACTCCGCCTGCCCAATGCGAGCAGAAGTTCCATCGCGACCTGCCCGACACCAAGGTGTATGCGTACGGCGTCTCCCGCAGCTCGGCGCGCTACCCAGGCCCCGTGCTCGTCGCCAAACGTGGCACCACCACCAAGGTGAGAGCGGCAGCACGAGCACCAGCGAGGTGAGCACCAGCGAGGTGAGCAGCAGCAAGGTGAGCAGCAGCAAGGTGAGCAGCAGCAAGGTGAGCAGCAGCAAGGTGAGCAGCAGCAAGGTGAGCACCAGCAAGGTGAGCGCGGCAGTAGCGGCACCATGTCGTGAATCTTCCTCTGTCCACCCTCATTCCCTTTCTCCCCTGTGTATCCTGCTGACTTCTCCTTCTCTCCTTCCTTCCCTGCCACCCGTACTGCTGATCAGGTTCATCCCTTCTTCCTCCTGGCGTATGTAATCACTCTGTCCTGCACTCCTCCTGGTACCCCAGGCTTCCCGGTGTAGCAAGCGTAACACTCCCCCTCAGGGGCTCCGTCAAATTGCTTATAGCTTCTCCTACTGCTAGTTCCCTCTGGATTAGGAAAACAAATTGCAGTAAATGAGAAACATACAAGCAAAAAGCAAGAAGCCCGAGTGCTACTCCTGCCTACATCTATTCCCACCCCCTGCCTAGGTTGCTTCCTCCACAAGCAAGCTCCTGTGCACCAAGCGAGTCAGCCGGGCTGCTCGCGAGGTCTCCAAGGTGCTAGCTGTGTTCCCACTGGGCCCACTAGGCATGCACTGCCTTCCAACCTGGTGACTTCGAATTCAATTCCCAGGCTGGCATTGAATTCGCCTTCCAGCCTTGTGACTTCGAAATTGAATTCACAGGCTGGAATTGAATTCGTCTCCACCAACCTCCTTGAATTCGCCTCCCACTAACCACCTCAAATTCCCCAGCTACTCGGCTCTGCAGTACAGTACAATACACTCCAAGCACACAAATGAAATTAGAGTACAAAAGCGGTAAACTATAGTACACCCTCACCTTGGCTGCTGTGGTATTCACACTTAGTTGCCAGCTAAGTGTTAATAACGCGACAGCTGTCGTGAATCTTCCTCTGTCCACCCTCATTCCCTTTCTCCCCTGTGTATCCTACTGACTTCTCCTTCTCTCCTTCCTTCCCTGCCACCCGTACTGCTGATCAGGTTCATCCCTTCTTCCTCCTGGCGTATGTAATCACTCTGTCCTGCACTCCTCCTGGTACCTCAGGCTTCCCTGCCCCCTCCCGTGTCTCAGCGCCCATCTTTGCCGCTCGAGTCACGGGACCCACTGCCTGAGGCTTCCCTTGTCCCGCCCTGGCCACGTTGGTGATGTGTTCCTTGATGATTCCCCCTCGAATATCTTCCAGCACTAACACTCCCGAGCCTCGTATCTCTTTCACCTTCCACCGCTCCGATCCCACCGCTAAGTCCAGCGTGTCGCGCTTAGCTTTGCGAAGGTATACCTCCTGCCCTGCCTCCACCTTGTCACCCTTTCCCCCTATCCCTGATGCTTTACGCTGCTGGTATCGTCTTGCGTCACGCAGCTGCGCCACATGGAGGTTATCCAGAGCTGCCGGAGTCAGCTCCTTCAAATACTTTGCTCTCCTCTGTGCTAACTCCGCCCACAGGTTTGGCTCATCTGCCTCTATAACCGCAGAAAGCAGCTTCGGAGCATCGACCGGCAGCACAGGATCCCGCCCGAACAGTAAGTGGTATGGGGATAGGTTTCTCAGAGCCGCCTGCTTTGCGAACCTGTACCCCGCCAGCACCCACCTCCTTTTGTGGGACTCACTGTAGGCCCGTAGTCCTTTCTTCAAGGTCTGTATGAGCCTCTCGGTCAGTCCGTCTGATTGAGGATGGTACCTAGAGGTGACCCTGTGCGTGATACCCATCTCTTCCAGCAGCTCGTCGAAGCTCCCTTGAAATTCCGTCCCTTGATCAGTGAGTACCTCCCCGCATGCCCCATACCTGGTGAGCACCAGCTCCTCAAAAGCGTCAGCTATCAGTGCGCTGTTCTTGCTTGGTAACGCTCGCGCCTCCACCCATTTACTCGTGTGCTCAACCATCACCAGAATGTACTGCTTCCCTCCTTTCGATAGTGGCAGCTCTCCCGCGAGGTCCAACGACCACCTGTAGCCCAACCCGCGAATTGGTAAAGAATGCAGCTCATCTCTCTCTTTCTCCAGCCTTGCTTTATTCCTCTGACATGCCTCGCAGCTCGCCACTAATCCTGCCACATCCTTTCCCATGCTCACCCACCAGTACATGGTGCTCAGCAGTTGCCGTGTTCTAGTTATGCCGAAGTGCCCCAGCTTCGCGTGCACATTCCCCATAATCTTGGCTCTCTCCTGTGGTTGTGGCACCACCTTCCACCCTTCGTTGGTTCTCAGCTGCAGCTGTTCCTGAAACCACCTGAAATGCTGCCCTCGGGCCCTGGCTCTCTCGCTCACTCCTTCCTCTTCTAGTGGCTCCCCTTTGATCCAGCTCAGGGTCTCCTCATCCTCCCATATATCCCCTAACCGCTTCTTTCCTTTCTCCTGCCCCCAGGGTACCGCCGCTACTTGAGCCAGGGCTGCCAGCTGCGCTACCGGCTGCATTGGTGGCGGATTCCTTGATAACCCATCTGCGTGCTGCAGCGTTTTCCCAGGCCGGTGTCGGATCTCAAAGTCGAATCCCAGCAGCTTAATGGCCCAGCGAGCGTTTCTTCCCGTCAGCTCCTGATGAGTCATCAACCATAGCAACGGCTGGTGATCAGTCACAAGTGTGAAGCGCCGACCCTGCAGGTACACCTTGAAGTGAGTGATCCCCCATACAGCTGTCAGGCCCTCCCCCTCGTAAGAGCAGTAGTTAGCCTCGGATGGGCTGCAGCTGCGGCTGGCGAAGGCTACCACTCTCTCCTCTCCTTCTATCTCTTGGCAGAGCACTGCCCCCATTCCTGTGCTGCTCCAGTCGGTGTATAAGATGAAAGGGGCATCTGCCCTCGGTATCTGCAGCAGCGTTCCCGTTCGTACTGCTTCTAACAGGTCCTGCCTTGCCGTTTCCTCCAGCTCTCCCCACTGCCAGCTCCTCCCTTCCTTCAGCAGCTGATTCAGTATGTAGGTTCGGCGGCTGAAGTTCGGTACGAACCTCCTGTAATAATTCAGGAAGCCGAGTAACGCCCGCAGCCCGGTCTTATCCTTTGGTGCTGCCAGGTTCTCCAGCACCTTAACTTTTGCTTCCTGTATCGCCAGCCGGCCCCCTTTCACTTCAAAGCCCAGGTAAGCCACGGTCTGCCTTGCTATCTTGCACTTGTCTGGATGGCACGTCAGACCCGCAGCTGCTATAGCCTCTAGCGTCTGCTTCAGATCTTGCACGTGCTGCTCTTCACTGCTGCTGAAAATCAGTATATCATCTATGTAGCAGGCTGCTGCTGGAATCCCCTTCAGCACCTGATCCATGGCCCGCTGGAACACTGCAGGGGCGTTGCGTATCCCGAAGGGCATCACATTGTACTCATACAGCCCATCCACCCCGTGAAATGCCGTTTTCCGTTTGTCTTCGTCCCTGATGGCTATCTGGTTGAACCCCTGTCTCAGGTCCAAGGTGGTGAAGATGATGGCGCCTTCTAAGCGATCAAAGATGTCTTCTGCTGTTGGCATGGGGTACCTGTCCCGGCTGGTAATCTTGTTCAGCTCCCGAAAATCTCCACACATCCTTTTCGCCAGCACTTTACCCGTGATACCCTTCCTGGCAGCTACCACTGTGGCTGCTGTGTAGCTTGACTCGGACGGGCGGATAATCCCTGCTGCTAGCAGCTCCTCACACTTCTCCTTGCAGATAGCCGCATCCTCTGCATTCATTCTCCTTCTTCGTTGGTAAGTGGGTATCTCTGTGGTAAGGTTTAGCTCCAGCTCTCTTCCCTTGTACCTCCCCAATTCCTGCAGGTTATAGGCGAAAGTGCTCCTGTGCTGGCGCAGCACCTCTCTGATTGCTTCCGCCGTCTGCTCCTTGATGTCCGTACCTAGCTTCCATTCCTTACCCTGCTCAGCTTCTTTGCCCCCTGCTAGTGCCGCAACATTCTCCTTTCCTCCCGTGCCCTGCTCAACAGCTGCATACGCCGCCTGCTTCTCTCCTTGTCCTTGCCTTTTTCCGGTCTCTCCTCCCTTATCAGCTGCCCCCTTCCTCATCTCTTTGATTAACCATCTCAGCGAGTGCTGGTCTATGGCTCTTCCTAAAGCTGCTCTGCGCATCCCTTCCTCTACCCCTTCTGCTGCGGTTGCTCCTGGCAGGTATCCCATGGCTAACTCCCGCTCCAAAGCCGTCGGTTCCTCCCACTTCTTCTTCCGGTGATCGTACACCATCCCTGGTCCTGGTATTCCGTCCACCTCGATGAAACCTTGTGCCCTGGTGTATGCCACTAATGTAGGCCATGCCCTGCGAGCTTCCCCCACCCGGTTGCACTGGTACTGCCGCGGATGATCTGGTTTTACCACTGGTGCCGCCACCCTCCCTGGTTCTAAAATATCCTCTACTATCCTGCTTTCGTCCCTCTCCACTCTTGCTAGTCTTGCCCTCAGTTCCCCGTCTGGCAAGACGTTTTGCCAGTACTGCCGCACCCTATGACAGCGTGCCCCCAACTGTGCCCCATCATAGCTCACTCCTCTCCCCAGTTCTGCCTCCACCAGCTCCCTTACTGCCCTGACCGGCTCGCGTACGTCATTCCTCATATCCACATGCTCCAGGATGTAAGCATATTCTCCATTCACTTCACTCGTCCACTTCATTATGGTGAGTAGCTTGGTCACCATCCCCGTGCGCTCGTCCTGTAAGCCTTTCCCCTTTCCGGCCCTAGAAGTACCCTGACACTCCCATCCCGCCACTAACAAATCCACTTTACCCCAGCTGCTCACGTCTTCTTTCGTGAGCTGCCCCACGTCCCATTTCTTGTTTTGCATGGCCTCCCGTAGTACTTCTTTCGTCAGCTGCGCGGGGTACTGCTGCTGTAACATTTGAGCATGCTTCCATGCCATTCTCCTCACCTCTGGGTCCAATTCTACGTATACCCACTTCTTCACCCTCAGGCCTGCTTCCAAGGCTGCTGCCAAGCCCGCTCCTATTCCCCCGAACAACTCCACTAGTGTAATGCTATACTGATCCAGGTGAGCGCTGCCGTTGCTCTTCCCCACACTTCCTCCCCTCCTGCTGTTATTCCTCAGTCCTTCTGCTCTCCACGCCTTCTTGGGTTCTGTCTTAACAAACCGTACTGGTAGTTCACTCAGCTCCTTCCCTTCCTCCCAAAAGTCCGAACGGTAGAGCACCTGCTCCTGCCAGGTACAGATAGTGGTGCCTATCTTGAACAGCAGCTCCATTCCTAGTAGGATATCATAGTCTTCTGATTCTGTCAACCCACACTGCACTCTGATAGTGGTCTCCCCTTTCTCTCCCGGCTGTAAGGTTATCTCTATCAGGTCCCGTGTGCATGGCATCCACTTGGGGGCCCCTCCTTCTGCTGTCATGATCAGTATGCCCTTGCTTACAGTCTCTAGGTTCCCTTGCGCTCGCAGTTGTGCTTCTTCCCGATTAGGACGCTCTGTGCTCCTGTATCCACTACCGCGTTTTCTACCAAGATTCCTCTGACCGCCACGGCTTTCGGTTCCACCACTAAGGCTGTGGGCTGACAGACTAGCCTTTCCTCGGGGTGACGCCGTGCGGTGCTGACTTTCCCTTGATTCTCCTGCCGCCTGGAAATTCTCCGCTCTTGTAATTTCTGCTCCGCTCTGCCATCTGCCCCTCCGCTGCGCAGCCCCAGGTCTCCCCTCTCCCTTGGCGGCATAGCCATGGTCCCGTATTCTGGTTCCCCTTCCTCAGAATCTTCCCCTTCGTCATCCCCCCAAGCCAGCAGAGCTTTCTCGGGGTCTTCACTGATCCCTGATTTCTCCATCTGAGCTTTCAGTTTCGCCAACTCTCGTTCTAACTGCAGCTCCCTTGCAGTTTTCCCTTTCGCCCTGTCTCCCTTGCTGTAGCATCTAGCTTCGGTATGGCCTTTCTTCCCACACCCCGTGCAGGTCGGCGCCTTGGGGCAGTCACGCCTGAAATGTCCCTTTGCTCCACAGGTGTCGCAGATTATTCCCACCGTACAATCCCTCCGAAGATGTCCTTGCTCTCCACATTTATGGCAGCGTCTCGGGTCTTCCGATGGCCTCTCTTTCCGCTCTTCCTCTCCCCTTCTTCCTTCCATAGCTGCCCAGGCCGGCCGTCTCCGCTCGTTCGGTCGGCTGGAACTCGACCCCTGCATGCCATCATAAAATCTCTTCCCTTCCTCCACTTCTTTCGCCACCTTGTAGACTTGCCGCAGCGTGGCGCGTACTCCCAGGACGTACAGCTGACTCCTCATGTCGCCTATCAGGTCCTTGTCCAGACCGTTGACAAATTTCGTCACCAAGAGGCGCTCCTCCATACACCCCATGTCCTCTGCCAGCTCCAGCAGCCTGTTGTAATAGGCTAGCAGCGACTCCGAAGTGGCACGCACGAAGTTCTGAAATTCCGCCATCCGTTCCGCCGAGTGCCCCGGGAATTGCTCCTGCAAACTCTCCAGAAATCGGTCCGTTATCATTGCTGGTGAGAAATCGCCTCTCTTGCACTGCATCAACAGCCCCTGCCTTTCCACGCGGTAGTGAGTCAGGGCCTCGCCTTTCAGAGTTCGTCCCAAACCTCTAAAGAACTCGATAGGGTCTAAGCCCTCCCTCCCCCAAAGGTAACGCAGGTCGTCTATCATCATCAAGTAGTTCTTGAGCGTGGGCTCCTCCCCTGGTGTCCCCGAGAAACGGTCCGGCACTTCAATTTTCGGTAGAGCTGCATTCATCGTGCGGCCCGTCCCCCAGCTCGTGTTCCCTCTATCCCCGCTGTCCACCGGCCGACCACCTTGCCTAGCTTCAGTAGCCTCGTATCCACCCGCCGAAAAGCTGTGGTACGCTTCTCCTCCTCTCTGACGGCGTCTTTCTTCGTGATGTTCATCTTCCCCGCGCTGACTGTGCCGTTCTTCTCGAAACTCTTCTCTTCCTTGAGCAGGATTATCCCCTCGAGATCCACTCCTCACATGGCCGATTCCACTCCCGCCAGCGACTGATCCACCAGTAGCGCTAGGCGGCGGCTCCCCTTGTCGGTCGCCCTTCCTCTCTCGATCTGATCCCTGACCCCCGCGCGCGTTAGCATCGCCCTCTTCAGCACGGAATCCAGGTGTCCTGATTGGTAGGCCTTGTCCCTCCATCATCCTTGCAGGGAAACGGAGTCCCGAGCGCAGCTGATGAGTGTGCAGTTCCTGATCGTGCCTACTCATTCCTCACGGCGCATCACCGTGAGCGACTCGAGGCTACTAGCTTATCTCCTGTACTTAAGACAGTCAACAACCTTTTTGCTTGTATGTAGCAAGCGTAACACTCCCCCTCAGGGGCTCCGTCAAATTGCTTATAGCTTCTCCTACTGCTAGTTCCCTCTGGATTAGGAAAACAAATTGCAGTAAATGAGAAACATACAAGCAAAAAGCAAGAAGCCCGAGTGCTACTCCTGCCTACATCTATTCCCACCCCCTGCCTAGGTTGCTTCCTCCACAAGCAAGCTCCTGTGCACCAAGCGAGTCAGCCGGGCTGCTCGCGAGGTCTCCAAGGTGCTAGCTGTGTTCCCACTGGGCCCACTAGGCATGCACTGCCTTCCAGCCTGGTGACTTCGAATTCAATTCCCAGGCTGGCATTGAATTCGCCTTCCAGCCTTGTGACTTCGAAATTGAATTCACAGGCTGGAATTGAATTCGTCTCCACCAACCTCCTTGAATTCGCCTCCCACTAACCACCTCAAATTCCCCAGCTACTCGGCTCTGCAGTACAGTACAATACACTCCAAGCACACAAATGAAATTAGAGTACAAAAGCGGTAAACTATAGTACACCCTCACCTTGGCTGCTGTGGTATTCACACTTAGTTGCCAGCTAAGTGTTAATAACGCGACAGCTGTCGTGAATCTTCCTCTGTCCACCCTCATTCCCTTTCTCCCCTGTGTATCCTACTGACTTCTCCTTCTCTCCTTCCTTCCCTGCCACCCGTACTGCTGATCAGGTTCATCCCTTCTTCCTCCTGGCGTATGTAATCACTCTGTCCTGCACTCCTCCTGGTACCTCAGGCTTCCCTGCCCCCTCCCGTGTCTCAGCGCCCATCTTTGCCGCTCGAGTCACGGGACCCACTGCCTGAGGCTTCCCTTGTCCCGCCCTGGCCACGTTGGTGATGTGTTCCTTGATGATTCCCCCTCGAATATCTTCCAGCACTAACACTCCCGAGCCTCGTATCTCTTTCACCTTCCACCGCTCCGATCCCACCGCTAAGTCCAGCGTGTCCACCTCGTGATTGCTGACAGGAGCTTTTTTCCCAACGGGTCGATGAATTATCCGAACCAGGGCCTCGTGCCGAACGTGCACCCGAACTGGATACCCGGTTATATCGGCAACGCAAATGTTGTAAACAGCAAGGTGAGACAAAGAGGGGTGATTTCTTCTGCTGTTCTTTCTTTCTTTTTTTGCCAATGCATGCCTGTTCTGGATCAAATCGATGTGGTACTGTGATGGATCTCCACCCCCATTTCTGACCAATCACATTGTGTCATTTCCCCAACGTGTTCCCTCAGGTCTGGCCGTTCCTCAACGTTCGGCGAGCGATGCACCGGATTCGCATGGTGAATGCAGCCAACGCGCGCGTTTACAATCTCACCTTCCAGTGCGCCGCACGCGGCGACAACAACTTCAACCCCCCTCTTGGCGGACCCCTGCTGCCCTTCCACCTGGTGAGATCAAGGTTTCGCATGGTGAATGCAGCCAACGCGCGCGCGCGTTTACAACCTCACCTTCCAGTGCGCTGCGCGTGGCGACAACAACTTCAACCCCCCTCTTGGCGGACCCCTGCTGCCCTTCCACCTGGTGAGATCAAGGTTTCGCATGGTGAATGCAGCCAACGCGCGCGCGCGTTTACAACCTCACCTTCCAGTGCGCTGCGCGTGGCGACAACAACTTCAACCCCCCTCTTGGCGGACCCCTGCTGCCCTTCCACCTGGTGAGATCAAGGTTTCGCATGGTGAATGCAGCCAACGCGCGCGCGCGTTTACAACCTCACCTTCCAGTGCGCTGCGCGTGGCGACAACAACTTCAACCCCCCTCTTGGCGGACCCCTGCTGCCCTTCCACCTGGTGAGATCAAGGTTTCGCATGGTGAATGCAGCCAACGCACGCACGCGTTTACAACCTCACCTTCCAGTGCGCTGCGCGTGGTGACTCCAATTTCAACCCCCCTCTTGCTGGACCCCTGCTGCCCTTCCACCTGGTGAGAAGAGAACAAGGCTCCTAGCTGCGTCCGAACGGGTAATTACCCTACAGATGCACTTGCAACAATGATATCATTCAATGCCAAATGATCCACCCTTTCTCCTGTCTCTCACTTCCTGACACCCCTTATTCCCCTCTCCTCTCTACCCTCGCTCCTCGCTCACCCCTCTTGCAGATTGGTTCTGACGGAGTCTACCTCGCCCGCCCGCTGCGCCGCTCCTTCCTGCTCGTTGTCCCGGGCACGCGGCACGATCTCCTACTCGACGTCTCCTACTCAAAATCAGGCTCTCGTCACAACCTTCTTCTCAAATTCAACGCTGCGCCCGGATGGTGCCTTACCTGCGCCCCTCTTCACCCTGTCCCTGCTTCCCTTCCCCATAACACAAACCAGATTGGCTCTGACGGCGGCTATCTCACCCGCCCTGTGCGCCGCTCCTCCCTGCTCGTCTTCCCGGCCACGCGTCACGACCTGCTCCTCGACTTCAACGCTGCACCCGCCTGGTGTCGCCCACCTTCCCTCCCTCCCCCCACGAACCCGGCCAGATAGGTTCCGACGGAGGCTACTTGGCTCGTCCAGTCCGCCGCTCCTCCCTGCTCGTCTTCCCAGGAGTGCCCCCCCCCCCTCCCCCTACCCACTCGGCCAGATTGGCTCTGACGGCGGCTATCTCACCCGCCCTGTGCACCGCTCCTCCCTGCTCGTCTTCCCGGCCACGCGCCACGACCTCCTTCTTGACTTCAACGCTGCGCCCGGATGGTGCCGTGACGTCATCATTGTCAACAGCGCCAACATTCCCTTCCCCAGGGGCCAGCCTCCTGACTGGTTCACAGGCGTGGTGATGCGATTTATCATCAACCAGCGCTCGCCCGTGAAGGCCCCGGCCCTACCCAAGAGCCTTTCAGTCAGTGCCTCTCTTGCTGTTTCCATCTGCGGACCAGTCCCCCCGTCCCCACAAGCAGCTTGCTGACTGGTTCACGGGCGTGGTTATGCGATTCATCACCACCCAGCGCTCGCCCGTGAAGGCCCCGGCCCTACCCAAGACGCTTTCGGTGAGTAACTTTCTCTGTCTGCCGCCCAGTTTGGCATGCCTGGCATGTCTGCCGCCCAGCTTGGCATGCATCAGGCGTTCTTTGCCTCCAACCCCTTTCGAAACTCCTCCCCCGCTTGCAGTACATCCCTTTAATAAACTTTTTCCCAGGCAGAGAGACAGCACTCAAATACTCACTCACTCTCACTCCCTCTCTCTCACTCACTCTTTCCCTTGTGTGCTCACCCACTCACCACTCATCCCTCCCATGCAGCACATCCCCCCAGTGGACCTCTCCCAGGCAGTGAAGCAGCGTTTTCTCGCCGTAGTGTTTGTGATCGACAAGGAGTTGCATGAACCGAGCGGCATGCTGCTGGACGGCAAGCCCTACATGGATCCTGCCACTGAGAAGCCCAAAGTGGTGAGCACAGAGAGTACAGAGCACCCGAGAAGCAATGCTGGCTGGCCATAGTCTTTGGGATTGACAAGGTGCTGCATGAACCAAGTGCCATGCTGTTAATTAGGATGGCAAGACCTACATGGATCCACCCACCGAGAAGCCCACAGTGGTGAGCTCTAGAGGCGCCTCAAAAGGCAGTAGAGCAGCGCTGGCTGGCTGGCCATAGTGTTTGTGGTTGACAAGACAAGGTGTCACAGAAACCGAGCGGCATGCTGCTGGACAGCAAGCCCTACATGGATCCTGCCACTGAGAAGCCCTAAGTGGTGAGCACAGAACACTCAAGTACACCCCTTGTTTTAGTAGTACTTACTTACATACATATTTTTAGTATCTCTTGGTGTTTAGTGCAAGTGAGCTAAAAAATCTGCTAATTTTCCTTTCCTTCCCCTCCTTCGGAAGAGTTGTTTGAATACTTTTGCTTGTGGTGTGCTTTTTGTCACTCCCTGCCTTGCAAATATGGTACACTTTTCATTCCAGGGCACTTCAGAGCTTTGGCACATCGTCAACCCGAGCTTCGAGGCGCACCCCATCCACCTGCACCTCATACGGCACCGCCCCATCTCCCGCCGTCCGATCGACTCCGGCGGGCTAATCAACGGCTCCTGTTCGCTCGATCCCGCCTCCTCCAAGCCCAGCTGCTTCACTGGCCCGGCTCGGCCCGTGCCGCTGCATGAGAGGGGGTGGAAGGACACCACTGTTGCATGGCCGGATAGCGTTCTCACCATCTTTGTGCCGTTCAAGGGGCAGGTGAGATGCGGTGCAGTGTGGTGGGGAGGGAGGTGGTTGGGTGGAAGGACACCATTGTTGCATTCCCAGTTAGTGTTCGCAGCATGAGAGGGGGTGGAAGGACACCACTGTTGCATTCCCTGACATTGTTCTCACCATTTTTGTGCCGTTCAAGAGTCAGGTGAGCTGTATACCCTGGTGTTTAGGTAAGTTCCTGTTTGGTCAGGGTTGAAACAGATGAGGTGTTGGAGAGGGGGGTGGGGAAAAAGGAAGAACACTACTGTCTAATATTTCAACAACTCGCCCCTTCTAATATTTCAACAACTCGCCCCTTCTAATATTTCAACAACTCGCCCCTTCTAATATTTCAACAACTCGCCCCTTCTAATATTTCAACAACTCGCCCCTTCTAATATTTCAACAACTCGCCCCTTCTAATATTTCAACAACTCGCCCCTTCTAATATTTCAACAACTCGCCCCTTCTAATATTTCAACAACTCGCCCCTTCTAATATTTCAACAACTCGCCCCTTCTAATATTTCTGGTGTTTTACCAGCGCCTTCAACTCGTCCCTTCACCTGACCACTCCTCAGTACACTCTCTCTCGTACCTCTCTTCACCAGTCCCATTCCTCTTCTCAACCGTGCTGGCAATGCCATTGCCAACCCTCTGTTTTCCTTGTCTAAATGTGCAGGATGGCAAGCCGTTCCCTTTTGATGCCACCGAGGGCCCGGGCTACGTGTGGCACTGCCATGCAGTGGAGCATGTTGACAACGATATGATGAGGCCGCTCGTCATGACGCAGGCCCCTAGATTCGTTTTGGACCAGGTTGATCCATCGGCTTTGGTACAGAAAAAAACGCTGACAATAAGTGTTAACTAGGAAAAAATCGCTGGAAATTCAGAGATGGTAAAGAACTAGTGCAGAACTCTGTATGAATTGCTTTTTAAAGCCCGCATGCAAAATAGTGACCCCCCCCTTCTAGTTGGGTCCACTAGAAAGCTCATGAAAATTTCCAGAAAGTTAGGTGTTTTTTTCTGAACAGGGCAAGTCCCCAAGTAGTAACAAGACCGATTTGAAGTTGTTTCCGAATTCTGATACGATCAGTCGCAACTTGCACAGAATTGTCGCAAGCTTGCTATGACATTTCCACTTCTCCCACCCATCCAAATCCGCATCGAGCACAACACATCACAAATTTCACAACGGAACCTGCCACCACACACGCAGCATACACACAATGTTGAGCTAACTAACAACACAGAGTGATGCAAGTAGCAAACAGAAGAACGACAAGGTGACTCGAGAGGAGAGGGGCCGACGGGAATTAGAACGGTAAGGGAGGGGGTATAGCGAGGGCGATTTACCGTACAATGGGGGAGATCGCGGGCGACGGAAAATGGAGTAGATCGCGTAGGCGACTGCAAATAGGGGATCGCTATGAGATCGCGTGGGAGATAGCGAGCGCGACGGGGAGAGGGGGGAGAAACAGCGAGCGCGACGGAGTGAAGGGGGGAGATAGCGACGGCGCGGAACGTGATGGGAGATAGCGACGGCGCGAGACGTGCTTGCTAGCTTAAATTATGTCGCGAGACGTGATCGGAGGGGAGGCCATGAGCGCGAAGGCGATGCGAAGACAGGTGCACGTGAGCGCGATGGTGACGGGAGGGCGGAACGTGAGCGCGATGCCGATGGGAGGGGAGGACGTGAGCGATAGGAGATGAAGTGGGGAAGGAGAAAGGCGACGGGAGGGAGAGCGATAAGGCGATGGGAGGGAGAGCGGACAGGCGACGGGAGAGAGAGCGCGAAGGCGAAGGTAGGGAGGGCGGACAGGCAACGGGAGGGAGAGCGCGAAGCAGACGGGAGGGAGGGCGCCGACGGGAGGGAGAGCGCGAAGGCGAGGGGAGGGGGAGCGGACAGGCGACGGGAGAGAGAGCGCGAAGGCGAAGGGAGGGAGGGCGGACAGGCAACGGGAGGGAGAGCGCGAAGGAGACGGGAGGGAGGGCGGACAGGCAACGGGAGGGAGAGCGCGAAGGAGACGGGAGGGAGGGCGCGAAGCCGACGGGAGGGAGAGCACGAAGGCGACGGGAGAGAGAGCACGAAGGCGAGGGGAGGAGGAGCGGACAGGCGACGGGAGAGAGAGCGCGAAGGTGAAGGGAGGGACGGGGGTTCAGGCAACGGGAGGGAGAGCGCGAAGGAGACGGGAGGGAGGGCGGACAGGCAACGGGAGGGAGAGCGCGAAAGAGACGGGAGGGAGGGCGCGAAGCCGACGGGAGGGAGAGCACGAAGGCGACGGGAGAGAGAGCACGAAGGCGAGGGCGGGGGGAGCGGACAGGCGACGGGAGAGAGAGCGGACAGGCGACGGGAGGGGGAAGGGATATCGCGAGGGAAAAGGGGGACATCGAAGGCAACGTGAGGGAAGGGAGATAGTGAGGGCGACGGGAAGGAAGAGGGGACATCGAAGGCGAGGGGCGGGAGAACGGGAAGGCGACGGGATCGGAGGGAAATCGCGAGGGCGAGAGGACAAGAGGGGTGAACGGGAGAATAACAGACCGGGAGGGGAGACCGTGACGACGACGGGAGGGCCGTTACGCGTGTGTTTGCGAGGGCGACGGAAAGGCGACGGGACGGACTAGAGAGCGAGGCGACGGGCAAATTGATTGAGACAGGAAACTGGCACTGCGCTACCAGGCCATGTAAACCTACATTTCACACTCTTGCTAAGTCGACGATTGACGCACTCGTCGGTAATTACGTGGCTATGACACGAACGCCTGTGCTTTCAGCTATACTACTTACTATGCTATGCGGAAACTAGTGATGAATGGAGTGACAGAAATCTAGTAATGCACCCATCACCAGCTTGAAAATGAGGTTGGGCCTGCGATGGGAAACCATCGCCTGGGGTTTGTCGTGCGGATGCGGCACGCAAAAATGCAACGGCTGATATGAGAAAGAAAGTTCATTTTGGCGGGAACCATTACGTTCCATTGTGGCGAGAGCCAATAACATGAGTTCACTCTGCCCATACAAATCGTTTGAAACAGTGTTTTTGATACTGGTTTCATCCTGTTACGGGTGCAATGAATCTAAGTAGCGAGAATTGCACTAAGGTGTCAAACGAGTACAAAGATGTGAGCGAAGGCATGAGCGAACATTTATATGCGAAGCATGCAAACGCTAACGCGGAGCGTGCGAGCTAGCCAGTGCTATGCTGGCAGCGAGGCTCGGGCTAGTCCCGAAGCGTAGGCCGACACGGCCGGGCCAGCAGTGCGAGGTTTGGTGAAACAGTGCGCGCGAAGTCGGCGAAGTTCCGTTAGCAGTAACGGGCGAACAACGGCTGTTGCTGTACGCGATGTAGTCGGGCTCCGTAAGGAATGCCGAGAAAATTCCTTACACTACCCCCCCCCCCTCAAGAAGCCCCCTCCGCTACGCGAGTGCGTGTATGTCGCGGAATCCCCGGCTCCTCAGGTACACTTGCAGGGCAGGGTGGTTTTCAATGTTGGCCAGGGGCACCCAGCTATCCTCAGTTGGCGTGCGGTCCTTCCAGCGAACGAAGAATTCAATCCTCCTGATTCCCGTGGGGTGTCGAATCCGATGGCTCAGGATTTTTTCGGGCTCGATGATCGGCTCTGATGCAGGGCGAGTCATGGATGGCGGGCGGTGGCGAGGCAATTGGCTTGTGGTTGGGATGTATGGGCGAAGCAAGCTGACGTGGAACGAAGGGCTGATGTACCAATCGGTCGGTAACAGTAGGTGCGCAGTTACTGGCGTGATCATGTGGCTGATTTGGAATGGGCCACAGTAGCGCGGTCGCAGTTTTGGTACGTCGGGCAGTCGCAGGTTTTGCGTGTCGAGCAGTACGTAATCCCCTGACTGGTAGGTGACGGGTCGGCGGTGGCGGTCGGCGTTGCGCTTAGCGATGACATTTGCCTTTTTAATTGCTTCTGCAGCTCTGGTGCGGGCAGCTTGCAGAATTTCGGCGAATTGTTGTGCACGTGGTGTCGGATTGTCCGGACTCGGCGTCATGGGCACTGTAGGATTTTGCCCGTAGTTCAGGTAGAAGGGGGACTGCTGCGTCGTCGCTGACGTGGCGTTGTTGTACGCGAACTCGATCAGCGGCAGCTGCTGTTCCCAAGTCGTGGGGTCGTCGCACGTGGCACGAATCAACTGCTCCATCGTCTGATTCGTCCGCTCCGTTTGGCCGTCGGTCTCGGGGTGGTACGACGAACTGAACTGTAGCCTGGTCCCGAACTGCTCCCAGAGGTTTTTCCAGAAGTTGCTGGTAAACTTCGTGTCCCTGTCGCTGATAATCGCTGCTGGTATCCCGTGCAGGCGAACAACGGCTGCGATGAACAGACGAGCGGTCTCCTCGGCTCAGATCGACTTTTTGCACGCAGCGAAGTGTGCCATCTTCGTCAGCCTGTCAACGACGACCATCACCGCGTCGTTACCCCCAGGGTTCGAAGGTAACCCTGTGACGAAGTCCATGGTAACCTGCTGCCAGGCGCGCTCGGGCGGTGGTATCGGTTGCAATTGACCCGCCTTCCGCTTCCTCGAGCTCTTCATCACCTGACACGTGGGGAACGAGCCCACGTGCTGCTGTACGTCGGTCAACAGCTCCGGCCAGTAATAATACCGCTGCAGTTGCTGTCGCGTTTTTTCTACCCCAAAGTGTCCCGAGGTAATTCCGTCGTGTGCCTCCTGCAGTAGCAGCTCCCTCAGTAGTGAGTACGCAGGTACCCAGATGCGGTTGGTGCCTGTTTTTACGTAATAAACTCCTTTAGCTTCTGCCAGTTGCTGTGAGTTTCCAGTCGTGAAAAATGGGTCGGTGCGGTATCCGTGGGTGAATAGGCCTGTTAACAGCGGGTTGGTCTGGGCGAGTAGGATGGCGTGGAGTTGGGCGGTAGGGCGGGTGAGTGCGTCGGCGATGTTGGATGCGCCTTTCTTGTACGTAACCGTGTAGTGGAAGTTGGACTCGAGGTAGTCCAGCCAGCGAATTTGTCGCGGATTGAGATTTGGTTGGGCGCGTAAGTACTGTAGTGATCGGTGGTCTGTCCGTACTGTCACGTCGGCGCCAGTCAGGTAACACCGCCAAACCTTGAACGCGTGCACGATCGCCAACATTTCGCGGTCGTGTATCGGGTAGTTGCGTTCGGGCGGGTGCAGTTTGCGGGACTCGTACGCGATTGGCTGGAGGCCGTTCCCGAAATCCTGCAACAGTACTGCTCCCACAGCGATGTCACTTGCGTCAGTGACGAGCTCGAACGGACGGTGTGGATCGGCGATGTGAAGCACGGGCGGTGAGCACAAAATGTTTTTGAGGGCCGAGAAGGCAGCTTGCTCTTTCTCCCCCCACGTGTACTCAACCCCCTTCCTCAGCAGGTCAGTCAATGGGGCAGTCACCTTCGCCATGTCGGGGACGAACCGGCGCACGTAGTTGACGAACCCCAGAAAACTCTGCAACTCTGTCAAGTTGGTCGGCGCGTGCCACGTCTGAATCGTCGCAATTTTCTTCGGGTCTATTTCCACTCCTGCGGCTGAAATAACGTGTCCCAAAAACTCCAGACGGTCCTGTAAAAATTCACACTTAGACGCTTTTGTCGGTAGGCGGTTCTCACTCAGTATTTTAAAAACTTCTTCGATGTCCTGTAAGTGCTGTGCTCTGTCAGGGCTGTAAATCAGTATGTCGTCCAGGTATACTATGACGCACTTATCTAAGAGTGGGCGGAAAGCTTCGTTCATGGTCATTTTGAAAGTGGCGGGGGCGTTGGTCAGTCCGAAGGGCATGACGGTGTATTCGAAGGATCCGTAGCGTGTTCGGAATGCGGTTTTAGGGCAGTCGGGCGGATTGACACGAATCTGATGGTAACCCCTCCGGAGGTCGATTTTCGAGAAAACCCGGGCTGTGCGCAGTTGGTCGATCAGTTCATCGGCTCGTGGGATGGGGTAACGGGATTTGATGGTAACCCTGTTCAGTGCTCTGTAATCGATGCACATGCGAAATCCCCCGTCTTTTTTCGGTGTAAACAGTATCGGTGCTGCGAAAGGCGACGAACTAGGGCGAATGAACTCCTTCTCGAGCAGGTAATCGAGCTGCTTCCTCAGTTCGTCCAGTTCGGGCTGGGTCAGTCGGAACTGTCGCTGTACTGTTGGCTGTGCCCCCGGTTCCAATTCTATTTTGTGATCGTGCGGTCGCTGAGGTGGCAGTCCCGTCGGTAAGTCGTCCGGGAAAATGTCGCTGTACTGCTTCAACAGTGCTGCCAGGTCACTCGGTACGTCGGTCAGCAGTTATTGCAAATCCCATCCCTTGTCTGCTGCCTCGGCTTCCCGAATGTCGACCGCGTACACGTCAGCTCCCGCCGCTACGGCGCGTTTCATCGTGATCGCGTTGACACGCACCGACGAAGACTCAGGCGAGCCCCAGCGAGGTAGGGCGATGTGGTTACCGTTCACTCGCACGGTGCAGTCACCCGTCGACCAGCCGATTCGCGGATTGTGTCGTCGCAACCAATCACGCCCGAGTAAAATATCGGTTCCGTCGAGGGTCGTTGCGAGCATTTCTTAGCTAAATGTGAAGTTACCCCCGCATCGAATCCGAACCCGGTCTACGCGTTCCCGTATTGCCAGCGGCGTGCCGTCTACCAGTCGTGCGTCGATCTCAGGTAAACATCTGTCCAGTGGCAGTCGCAGTTTTCGTGCTGTAGCAGTGTTGATGAGGCTGTGGCTGGCTCCCCAGTCTACGAAGATTTTAACTAAGTCCGTCCCGATTTTCCCACTAAGCAGTATAGGGCTGTCTACCGTAGTACCCTCCTTATTCGGCCGGGTGTGGTCGATTGCGTGAACCGGCACAATCACTCGGTGAGGGTCGGTTGGGTCGGGCGAGCGGCGTGACCTGTCAGTAGAGGGCCCGTCTGCTACTGACTCCCAGCGTTTCCCTGCTGCTTGGTCTGTTTCTGCTGCTCAGCTTCCCCCTTTCCCTTAGCGTTTTCCGGGCATTCGCTCTTGCGGTGTCCCGGCCGATTACACGCGAAGCAGCGCCCTGTGAACGGTGCGGCAGCGGCATTCGCGGCGACGGCACGTATCGTGGCGCCCTCGTTCGTCCCACGAGACCGATGTCCCCAGTTGCTGCTACTGCCGTAGGACCCCGGTCTCGGTCAGCGGAAGAAGTCGAGCTTCTCCGCCATAGCGAGAATCTCCTGAAAATCGGTGACGCCGCGAAGCTGAATTTCTTGAGCGATGTCGTGCTTCAGGCCGCCGATGTAGCGGTCGATGCGCTCGCATAGCGCCAGAAACCCGCTGGTGTAGTCCTGGACTGAACCGAGTTGGCGCCAAGTGCGGAGCTTCTGTCGCGCCGCGATCGAAGCCGCAATTGGCTCAAATCGAGCGCGCAGACCTGCGCACCACGCGTCCCACGTGCGATATTGGGGCACCTCCACGAAGTACGACGGCGCCCAGGGTCCGGTTTGTCCTTCCCGTGTCGGTAGAGTCGCGTAGTCATTCGGCTTCGTGACGATGACGCGCCACCAGTCCATGGCGGGTCCTCGCAGCAGCGACACGGCGTAGCGAATTTTCGCCGAATCCTCCGAGACTTAGTTGGCGTCGAAAAACACGTTCATCGTGAACAACCACGCCTGAACGGTAGGACCACCCCGTTGACTCGGGTCAAAGCATGGCGGACGCTGCGGCTTCAGCGGCATCGGTGACGGCAGTCCCGAATCGTGGGTCGGTGCCGAAATCGTGACGCGAGGTTGACTTGGGGCCGCATTCGTCGCTCCGGGGTGTGTCGTGCCGTGGTCGTCGTCTCCGTCGGGGCGGACGACGCCATCACTGGCCGCGCTCGCGGGTTGCCCCACACTTCCGTGCTGTGATGTCTGTGGTGCGGGCTGAATCAGAGTGCCAGGTGCTTGGGATTGTGCCCTTGTGAGGTCGTTTTGCAGGGACGAGCGTTCTGCCGTCAGCGTCGCAATTTCCTCGGCGCTCTCGCGGATTTGTCGCAACAGATCGTTCAAATGCTCCTGCGTGAGAGTCGTGACGTCGATGTGTTCGGCCATTTCGAAGGACCTCGGCTCGTCTTAGTCTAGGCGCAGTCGTGGCTGCACGCGTTTACGAGAGAACGCGAGGACAGCGGCTCCTAGGTGCTAAGGTACCGTACGTAAGTCCCTTCGAGTGAAAAATCAAAGTTGATTTCCTGGGGTGCGGAGATGCGCGGTCCGAAAGAAAGGGGCTCTGACACCAAGTGTTACGGGTGCAATGAATCGAAGTAGCGAGAATTGCACTAAGGTGTCAAACGAGTACAAAGATGTGAGCGAAGGCATGAGCGAACATTTATATGCGAAGCATGCAAACGGTAACGCGGTGCGTGCGAGCTAGCCAGTGCTATGCTGGCAGCGAGGCTCGGGCTAGTCCCGAAGCGTAGGCCGACACGGCCGGGCCAGCAGTGCGAGGTTTGGTGAAACAGTGCGCGCGAAGTCGGCGAAGTTCCGTTAGCAGTAACGGGCGAACAACGGCTGTTGCTGTACGCGATGTAGTCGGGCTCCGTAAGGAATGCCGAGAAAATTCCTTACACATCCTCACTTGCAACTCCTCATTCAAGTTGGGACGGGGGTCACTATTTTGCATGCGGGCTTTAAGTAGTACAGAATCAGTGTAACATGGTACTAAAAGTGGCAAAAAGAGTATTGAACCTCAATAGCTTTATTACCAAACAATACCTCACAAGCTCCCATGAAAGAGAACAAACGGATACCTCTACAACGCATTGAGCCTCATTCCTTGGGAGCAAAAGCCAAAAACTAGTAAGGGTTTCATTTCAACAAAAACAAGTTTGCAATACGTGTGACTGTAGTCAACAACACCCACTTGATGACAAAATCAGAAGCCTCACAACAAGGCCTTTGCCTTCATGCTTGAAATCTGTTTTGAGTGAAAAACGGCAGAGCCACATGTGGTGGGTAGGTAGATCTAAGATGTCATGATGAGCGGCCTCATCATGTCGTTGTCCTCGTGCTCCATCGCGTGGCAGTGCCACACATAGCCTGGGCCCTTGGTTGCGTCAAACAGGAATGGCTTGCCATCCTGCACGTGGGGCCACGCGAGGCGATCGAGAGAAGGAAAATAGAGGGTTGGCAACTTGGCATTGCCAGCACGGTTGAGAAGAGGAATGGGACAAGTGAAGAGGGGTTTGAGGGTGTGGCGAGGAGTGGTTCAAAAGGAGGGGTTTCAGGGTTGGATGGTCGAGTCGAAAGAGCTGGAAAAAAGGATGTTGGTAGAATCAATAGTAGTGTTGTCCTTCCTTCCTCCCCATCCCCCTCTACACCGCCTTAACCTGTTCAACCCCCAAACTATACAGGAAGGTCTTACTGTATTTGAAGAGAGGGTATTTTTGAGACGTCTCAAATGCACGCCTCAACCTGTTCAACCCCCAGACTATACAGGAAGGATTTACTGTATGTTGTAGCACCAGCCATGTCCTCCTTACCCTTGAATGGCAGAATTATGATACCTGGGAATGCAAGAGTGGTGTCCTTCACCCTACCACCTTTCTCCCCACCCGACTGCACCGCATCTCACCTGCCCCTTGAACGGCACAAAGATGGTGAGAACGCTATCCGGCCATGCAACAGTGGTGTCCTTCCACCCCCTCTCATGCTGCGGCACAGGCCGGGCCGGCCCCGTGAAGCAGCTGGGCTTGAATGGAGAGGATGGTGCGAGCGAACAAGTGCCGTTGATTAGCCCGCCAGAGTTGATTGGACGGCGGGAGATGGGGCGGTGCTGAATGAGGTGCAGGTGGATGGGGTGCGTCTCAAATGTCGGGTTGATGATGTGCCAAAGCTCCGAAGTGCCCTGAAAAAAAAAGGGTATGAAAGGCAAGAAGTGACAAAATCACATCAGATGGTTTCAAGGAGTTCTCTCACAGGTGCAATCCGGAAGGAGAGGAGAGCTCGCAAAATATTTTACTTCACTTGCGCAAAAACGCCGAGAAATACTAAAGAAATATAAAGATTTACAGTTACCAGATGGGTGTACTTGGGTGTCTTGTGCTCACCACTTTGGGCTTCTCAGTGGCAGGATCCATGTAGGTCTTGCCATCCAGCAGCATGCCGCTCGGCTTCTGTGATGCCTTGTCGATCACAAACACTATGGTCAGCCAGCGCTGCTTCACCGACTGCGAGAGGTCCACCGGGGGGATGTGCTGCCGAGAGGGAGGGAGCAGTGAATGGGTGGGCACAGAAGGGAGTGAGTGAGTGAGTGAGTGAGTGAATGAATGAGTGAGTGCATGAGAAAGTGCTGCTGTTTTGCTTGGGAAAAGTCCACTAGGGGGGTGTACTGCTAGCACGGAGAGGATTCAAAAGGGGAGGGGAGGGAGGGAAGTCAAGGAGGAGTGTAACGCCCAATGCATGCTAGACTGGGCGGCAGGTATGACATGCCAGGCATGCGGCCGACAGAGAAAAGTCACCCACCGGCAGACTCTTTTGCAGGGCAGGGGCTTCACAGACTCATGGAAAGCTTGCTGGTCAGGGCAGGAGGCTTCACAGGTGAGTGCTGGTTGATGATGCATCGCATCACCACGTGTAAACAGAGTTGTTTTGAGACGTCTCAAACAACTCTGTTTACATCAGGCGAGTGCTGGTTGATGATGCATTGCATCACCACCCCCCTGAACTAGTCAGCATTCACTCAACCAACCCAACAAAACAGGCGGGGAACTTACCGACAGCTTGTTGGGCAGGCAGCGCGGGGGGCTTCATTGGAGAGCGCTAGTTGATGATAAATCGCATGACAACACACCCGTGAAGTGAACCACAGTGAAGGCAAGCAAGAGCCTGGTAGACAGACAGAACTAGAAGGACAGAAAGAGAGTCATGCACACACTCACCGAAAGCTTCTTGAGCAGGGCAGGGGCCTTAATCGGCGAGCGCTGGTTGATAATGATTCGCATGACCACGCCAGTGAACCAGTCAGCGGGCTGTCCCGTGGGGACAGACTCACACTCACTCACCGGAAGCTTGTTGGGTAGAGCCAAAAGACTCCTGAGCAGAGCTGTTGGCTTGTTGAGAGCCGGGGGGTTCACAGGCGAGCGCTGGTAAAAAATGATTCGCATGACCACACCCGCGAACCAGTCAGCGGGCTGTCCCGTGGGGAATAAGAGCGAGCGCCATGGCAGACAGACAGACAGAGAGCTGGAGAGGCAGAAATACACACAATCACGCACTCACCGAAAGACTCTTGGGCAGGGCAGGGGGCTTCACGGGCGAGCGCTGGTTGATGATGAATCGCATGACCACGCCCGTGAACCAGTCAGCAGGCCCTCCCATGGGGAAGGGGATGGAGGCGCTGTTGACAACAATGACACTGCGGCACCATCCGGGTGCAGCGTTGAAGTCGAGAAGCAGGTCGTGGCGCGTGCCCGGGACGATAAGCAGGGAGGAGCGGCGCAGAGGGCGGGCGAGGTAACCACCATCGGAACCGATCTGGCAGATGGAGGGAAGTGGGAGGGTGGGGTGGGTGGGGGAGGAGGGGTAACGGGGGTTACAGAGGTTTTGGGATAGGCCACAGGCGGTGCAGCGTTGAAGTCGAGAAAGAGGTCATGACGTGTGCCCGGGACGATGAGCAGGAACGAGCGGCACAGGGGGCGGGTGAGGTAGCCTCCGTGAGAGCCGATCTGGTTATGGGGAAGCAGAAAGGCAAAAGGGAAGCAGATGGGCAAAAGGGAAGCAGATGGGCAAAAGGGAAGCAGAACGGAAGAAGGGAAAAGTGGATGGCGGCACACGTGAGGGGGAAACGAAGGAGAGTGGTGGGTAGAAGAGGGGAAGAGGAGGGGGGAGAGTGGGAGGGGAGGAAGGGTTGAAGAGAGGGGAGGTGGAACTAGTTCCCACCAGGTGAAGAATAGCAGGGGTCCTCCAACAGGTGATCAATCTACTCAACTTGAACGGTGATTAATCGGGTAACGGACGACCTTTTCACATCGGAGAGAGCGAGGCGCCTCTTGATCTCACCAGGTAGAAGGGCAGCACGGGTCCAGCAAGAGGGGGATTGAAGTTGTGGTCACCACGGCCAGCGCACTGGAAGGTGAGGTTATACGTGCGCACGTTGGCTGCATTCACCATGCGAATCCGGTGCATCGCTCGCCGAACACTGAGAAACGGCCAGACCTGAGGGACACCGGTGGGGGAAGGGAATGGCACAACGTGAGTAGTCAGAGATGGGGATGGAGTTAGAACAACAATATCAATGCTTACATGAACCACAAGCTTGCATTGGTAAGAAACACACACAAAGCAAAGCCATCCCTTCGTCTCACCTTGCCGTTTACAACGTTTGTATTTCCAACGTAGCCGGGTATCCAGTTCGGGTGTACATTCGGCACGAAGCCCTGGTTCGGATAATTAATGGATCCGTTCGGGAAAAACATCCTGTCAGCAATCACGAGGTGCAGTTGCCGCTCGCCACGTGGCATCCACATCTTGAGCCGCCTCTCCTCGCCCTGCGGATCGCGGATAACGTAAAGCCCCGCCATCCCCGCGGCCATGTTCAGAGCGGTTATGCCAATCGTGTGGTCGTGGTACCACAGCATCGTAGCGCGCTGCGTGTTCGGATAGGTGTACTCTTCAGATTCGAACTCAGGCCCGTGCTCCCCGAAGGCTGTGTACCACGCCATGGGATGGCCGTCGGATTTGCTTGGCGTCTCACCGCCATGCTTATGGACGACTGCGATGATAACAATGTGAACAGACGGAGGTGGTAGCACGGCGGAGTTTCATGAAAAAAGTTATTGGAAACGCCAGAGACGCGCGCATCGTGTCAGTGAATAAAATGGGGACCGCTTTCTGCCGTACTGGAAACGCGATTCACCACACTGAATCGCTTTCGAAGTGATTCGAAAATAAACGTACCAGCCAACCGACGCTGACAAAGAACTTGAAACGAGGACGGGTTGGTTGGTTGGTGTAGAGAATTGAGATAAGGACAAAAGAGTATGATTGCACACTAGAATAAGACAAGAGTGAACAGTAGAACTGTAGCATATGAGGATGTGTTTGATAGAAGAGAAGATGATACTTAGAACTTGTGCTTATAAAGAGAAACTTGTGTAGGGTGGAATGCTTGATGGGGTAAGAACTCAAAAGAGAAGAAGAGTGTGAGCTTGTTGAGAGAATGAGAGAGGTAATAAACACTTACTTGAGTGAATCTTACTAGGGATAGCTGTAGAAGTAGCTTGAAAGAAGAACTTGAACTTGTATGGTTTACTTGGGAGTGACTTCAAGCCTTGGGTTGGATGATGATCCTCCCTTGAGCTTGTAGCTTGTAGCTTCCTTATACTCTTAAGGAGTATGAGGTAGACTACTCTTCACTTGATAACTACTTTGTAGATTATGTGAGAGAGAGCCTTATGAGCATAAACTTATATTAAAGAGAGTATAGTACAAGCCTTATAGATCCATGAAGGATACATAGGCATGCATAGAAGAGTAACCATCAATGGTAGCCTTAGAAGAGAGTAGCATGAGAATATCAACTTTGGAGACATTGAAACTTGGTTGCTAGTGAGGAGCCTTTGTAGTTGAAGAGGAGATTGAAGGAGAAGCTTGGAATGAGCTTGGAGAGGAGCTTGATGAAGAAGCTTGAGAGGCATTGTTGTCATTGAAGAACCTTCTTGAGAAGTTGTAGAGATGCTTGATGTAGATGAATAGTATTGAAGCATATGGTGGTAGTTGAGCACTTGGTGAGTTGGAGATGTAAGCCTTGTTGAGTTGGAAGAGAGCTTAGTGAGTTGGATAAGGATGATTGGAGGAGATGATGAGCTTTGTTGCCTTGGAATAGGTGGTGATGGGATAATCGTGAAGTCCTTAGGGATGAGGTGGCAACTTTGGTGACTTGGGAAAGGAAGGAAGGAAGGAATAAATGAGAGGCATGTGGAGGTTGATGACTAGGAAGTGGAAGCATGTGCTTGAAGGCACATGGGAGGAGGATAATTGGAGGAGGTAAATGACTTGGGTAAACTTTGATGAGTAGGAAAGGAAAGCACATGGAAAATCATGAGGAGTCATGTGCCTTATGGTGGGACTTGAGGATGAGTATGGGAAGTTGGTTTGAATATTGGTTGAGTTGGACTAGGAAAGGCTATGGTGGTTGGAGATAGTTAAGGAGGAGTTGGTGGGCTTGGCTTGGAAAAGATGAGTTGGAAAAGGAAAGTCTTGGTGGTTGGGTAATTTGAATGGGTTTGGAGGGGTTGGGTAACTTTGGGAAGGTAGGAAGGAAAGTTACGAGAGTGTTTTGAGGAGAAGGGGTTGGAGTGCCAAAGTGGGTAGCACGTGATGCGTGTGCTATTCGCAACACTCCCCCTCACTGCAAGCCCGTACCCTCAAATCCAGCAGCTGGGACTAACCCGGCTTGAACACGGTTGTTGATGAAGATGTCGCGTGCAACGACCTTGGTGAGAAAATCCGCCGCTTGCTCATTCGTGCGGCAAAACAGGGGCTCAACGATTTTCTGCTCCACAAGCTCTCGAACGTAGTGATACTGCGTCGCGATGTGCTTGGTCCTTCCATGGAAGACTGGGTTCTTGGAGAGAGCGATCGTCGACATGTTGTCGATGAAGATGGGAGTAGGGCTCTCTTGTGGGAGGTCAAGCTCCTTCAAAAGACCTCTTATCCACACTGCTTCTCGGGCTCCTTGGGTCGCAGCCATGTACTCTGCCTCCGTGGATGATAAAGCCACATAGCTCTGCTTCTTTGACTGCCAAGAGATGGCCGCCCCTCCAAGCATGAAGATGTATCCTCCAGTGGACCTGCGGGTGGTGATATCCCCAGCCCAATTTGCATCCGTGAAGCCATACAACATGCTTGCACCCTCAAACCCTTGAAAGAGGAGACCAAAGGAAGAGGTTGATTTGAGATAGCGCAGAGCACGAAGTGCTCCACGCTGATGCATGCGAGTGGGTGATGTCATGCATTGAGAGAGCATGGCAACGGTATGGGCGAGATCGGGACGGGTGCAAATGGAGGCGTACATAAGGCTGCCCACTTGGCTCTGGTAGAGTGAGAGCTCAAGAGGTGTGATATGGGATGTGGAGTGTGGTGCGTAGGTGTCATGACCAATGTCCTCAGGAGGCTCAAGGCTCTCGACCTCACCCTCAAGCTCTGTGACCTCTGTCTCAACAGTGGAAGTGTCAATGCTTTGCTCGTGCGAGCTTAGCATGAAGTCTGAGGGGAGTGGGGTCTCAACTGGGTTGCAGTCAAGGAGACCAAACCTTGAAAGGACCTTCTCAGTGTACCTCTGCTGTGAGATGAAAGTGACTTGGTGGTGCGGTCCCTCACGATGTTCATACCAAGGTAGTGTGAGGGCTCACCCATGTCAGTCATGATGAAGTCTTGGGTGAGCATACCTTTGATGCGTGTGAGGAGACTCAAGGATGCTGACACAAGGAGGATGTCGTCCACATAGACTAGGAGCCACAAGGACTCCCCCTCACTTGTGCGTAGGATGTAGAGTGCTGCGTCGAACTGTGACTTGGTGAAACCTTGGGTGAGGAGTGATACCTCAAGGGTGTGGAACCAGACTCGTGGTGCTTGCTTTAGTCCATAGAGGGACTTCAGCAGCTTGCAGACCTTGGTGGTACCATCAGAGTAACCCTCAGGCTGTACCATGTAGATCTCTTCGTCAAGCTTACCATAGAGAAAGGCGTTCTTCACATCCATTTGGTGGATGTGGAGATCCTTCACTGTGGCCATTACCAGGAGGCACCTGACTGTGGTGTACTTGGCTACAGCAGAGAAGGTCTCTGTGTAGTCCGTGCTTGGCATCTGTGAGAAACCTTTGGCTACCAGGCGTGCCTTGAATCGGTCAAGTGTACCATCTCCCTTCACTTTCACTCGGTATGTCCACTTAACCTTTAGTGCTCTCTTACCAGGAGGGAGTGGTGCAAGGACCCATGTACCTTGTGCAAGGAGGCTGTTAATCTCTTCTCTCTCTGCCTTTACCCACTCTGCCTTCTCAGCGCTTGCCAGTGCTTGCTTGCGAGTGGATGGCTCAGGTGGGAGGCAACTGATGGCGTGACACATGGCGACTACCTTGCAGTCCATGCAGTGAGGGTTGGTGCACTTGGCTGTGACTGGGAAGCTTGCACCGACTGCGAGGTTCAGGCGCTGCACTGGCTTGCGTGCTCGCCTGGGGCGTTGTGCATGCTCGGTGATACCTTCGTGACTCGTGGTACCGTCAGGGATGGGTGGAGGTGCTGAAGGCGTGGTTGTCTCAGGAACATCATTTGGTGGTTGAACGGGTTGAAGCGGCTCGTCTGCTGCGTCAGGGATGATGGTTGGAGTGTTGACTGGAGGTGAAGAAGTAGATGGTACGGTTGAAGACAGCTTCTCTGCGGCTGGCTGCCGCTCAGGTGTTGTCTCTCGCGTTAAGGGCTGCTCCATCGAGGGTTGGAGTGAAGACGGCTCGTCGGTGAAGAGTGGTGGTGATGTGTGGTTTGGCTCAGGTTGACTCTGCTGCTGCTCATAAGGAGGTGTGTTGTTCTCAGGTACAGGTGGAGATGGTGTGGTATCTCCAGCAGGTGCACTTGGAGAGGACTCCACTGCGGGTGTTGTGGTGAGTCCTGGTGGAGTGGGGAGAGGGTCTTCGAGAGAGGGAGAAGGAGGTAGATAGTTTAACTTCCATCGAGCGAGGGACATGTCTTCATGGAAGATCACGTCCCTGCTCACAATCTCCTTGGTAAGGAGAGGGTCCCAAAGAATCCAGCCCTTGTTCTCCTTACTCAAGCCAATGTGTACGGCCCAACGTGTCTTGCTCTCAAACTTTCCTCTCTTCTCATCGGGAATGCGATATTGCGCCATGCAACCAAACACACGCAACATGGAAACATCGGGCTTCTTCCCATGCCATGCTTCAAATGGGGTGATACCTGAGGGAAGAGCGATGGTTGGGCGACGGCTCTTGAGGTGGACGGCGTGGTTCACAGCTTCTCCCCACCATGCATCGTCTAGCTTCATGTGCAGGAGAAGAGATCTTGCAATTTCCTGCAAAGTGCGGTTGAACCTTTCGGCGATGCCGTTCTGCTGAGGGGTATAGGGGCATGAAAACTCTTGTGCAATGCCAATGGATGAGAGGTGATTGCGAAATGACTTACTCATGTATTCTCCCCCTCTGTCCGAGTGCAGAGTCTTGACTTGAAAGCCGGTTGTGTTCTTGATGAGTTCATGCCACACTTTGAATGCTTCAGGAACAAGGTCTTTGGACTCAAGAAGAAAGACCCATGCAAAACGTGTCTTATGATCGATGAGGGTCATGATGAACCGCTTGCCCGTACGACTGAGCGTGCGAGTCGGACCAATGATGTCACTATGAACAAGGTCAAGAGGACTTGAGACTTGAACATTGACAGGAGGATGAGGATGATGTGCGTGCTTGGCTTCGACGCATGAAGGGCATGGAGAAAGTGAAGAGGAAGACTCAGGACTTGGTGTGATGCGAAGACCTTCAAGACTTGCATGCGCGGTGATGGACTTGGAGGTTGATGCTCCAGGGTGACCCAATCGACAATGCCAAATGTAGGGTGTGGTAGCCGTACCTAGGTGAGGCTTTATAGTAGTTGATGCGGCGGCGGTGTAGCCATGGAGTCGACGATACTCCGGGTTCACGTCGAGCTTGAGGCGGTAGAGGCGACCAACTCGCTCGCCACGTGCAATGAGGAGTCCCTGGTAGCGTATCTGCACGGTACCACTTTCGAAGGAAAAGATGCAGTCTTTTTCCTCGAGTTGTCCAACCGACAATAGGTTGGCTCCAAGGTTGGGAACGAGGAGGACACCTGAGATGGAAACCGGCTTGCCGGTGGGGTTGAGAAAGGTGAGAATTCCTTCTCCCGCGGTGGGAGTTGACTCCTTGTTTGCGACGGTGACGGACTTGACTCCTGTGGTGGTGATAGAGTGCAAGAGTGAAGGGTTGGGAGTCATGTGTTGATCGCACCCACTATCGAGGTACCAAAAGTCGGGATCGAACGACGATGTGGGCGCGGATGAAGTCATGGCAAAGCTTATGCCCTGTGGGGTGCTTTGGGAGGAAGAAGAGGGTGTTGAGTTGGGGGGAGAAGGATGGGAAGCTTGAGGTAGTAAAGGCGTAAAGCCTTGTGGTGGAGAAAGGTAGAACATAGGCATTGGTTGTGTGGGATAATAGGGAAAGGGATAAGGTTGACTTGGGTAGAGTTGGGATGATTGAGGTTGGGGTAAAGCGAATTGATGAGTCTCATTTTGAGAGCTCACTGCATAAGATAGGGCGGCTCGACCCTTAGAAGTAAGAAGGTGAGGTGGAGGGGTCCAATTGGGAGGTTTTCGAGGACACTTGAACCATGGATGTCCCCATTGATGACAAAAATGACAAGTGAAATTGAATTTCCCCGATTGGGGCTTAGCGGGTTGAGAGGGATTAGATGAGAAAGGTTGATTGGGCGATGAAATTGATGGGGGGTAGCGACCAAGGATAGATGGGTTAGAAGGCTTACTTGCTTGTCGTTGATTCTTGCCTTTGTTGTTGTTGTTGTAGTTGTTGCTGTTGTTGCCGTGACCTTGAGTAGAAACGGCGGCCGACCATGCGGGTTTGTTGTTCTCCTCCTTTGCCTTGGCTAGCTCGCGCGTTTGATGCTCGTTGATGAGGGTGTTGAAGATGAAGTCGCGCGTTGAATCGTGAGCTTGAATCGTGCTCCTCATTTGAATCCATTCCGATGAAAGCCCCGCGAGGAGAATAGTGACGAAGAGCTCCTCGGGAACGGTGACTTCGAGGACGTCGGCGTCGTTGAGAAGAATCTCCGCGCGCTCCAAGTACTCGGGAATCGTCTCCTTTTGCTCCATCCGTAGGTTGGAGATCTTGCCCCACATTTCCGCCTTGGTGCTCTCGGTGCGAGGTTGATGGAGCCTTGTGAGCCTCTCCCACGCGCGCTTGGCACTGTCGGGATGACTTGCGCACGTGAGCAACGACTTGGCATATTGATCTTGGACGGAGTTGAGGAGGTAGAGGTAGGCTTCGGCATTCTTCTTGATCCACGCGGTTTGCTCTGTGGGAGGGGCTTCGGAGGTAGGAGGAGAGAGAGAACCAGAGTAAACGGGCCACCACTCTAGGAGAGTGGAGGCCAATTGGAAGCGAATTCGCCACGCTTGGAAGCCCTTTCCATTGAACCGTGGCACTTCTAGCTTAGGGGTTAAAGAAGAGGGGGTAGACATTTGGGTCTAATTAGGAGAGGGAAGAGTAGGAGATGATGAGGTGTCTTTTCCTCCCGTGTTGCCGCTTACTTCGGAGGAGATTGATTCTCCTTGCGAAGTGGCACTCTTTGGCTTACAGCCTTTGGGAGAGGGAGTCATGGAGAGCGGGTATAAAGCTCTTGTTAAGAGGACACGAGCGAAAGCGAGGAGGTAAGTGGCTCTGATACCAGTAGAGAATTGAGATAAGGACAAAAGAGTATGATTGCACACTAGAATAAGACAAGAGTGAACAGTAGAACTGTAGCATATGAGGATGTGTTTGATAGAAGAGAAGATGATACTTAGAACTTGTGCTTATAAAGAGAAACTTGTGTAGGGTGGAATGCTTGATGGGGTAAGAACTCAAAAGAGAAGAAGAGTGTGAGCTTGTTGAGAGAATGAGAGAGGTAATAAACACTTACTTGAGTGAATCTTACTAGGGATAGCTGTAGAAGTAGCTTGAAAGAAGAACTTGAACTTGTATGGTTTACTTGGGAGTGACTTCAAGCCTTGGGTTGGATGATGATCCTCCCTTGAGCTTGTAGCTTGTAGCTTCCTTATACTCTTAAGGAGTATGAGGTAGACTACTCTTCACTTGATAACTACTTTGTAGATTATGTGAGAGAGAGACTTATGAGCATAAACTTATATTAAAGAGAGTATAGTACAAGCCTTATAGATCCATGAAGGATACATAGGCATGCATAGAAGAGTAACCATCAATGGTAGCCTTAGAAGAGAGTAGCATGAGAATATCAACTTTGGAGACATTGAAACTTGGTTGCTAGTGAGGAGCCTTTGTAGTTGAAGAGGAGATTGAAGGAGAAGCTTGGAATGAGCTTGGAGAGGAGCTTGATGAAGAAGCTTGAGAGGCATTGTTGTCATTGAAGAACCTTCTTGAGAAGTTGTAGAGATGCTTGATGTAGATGAATAGTATTGGAGCATATGGTGGTAGTTGAGCACTTGGTGAGTTGGAGATGTAAGCCTTGTTGAGTTGGAAGAGAGCTTAGTGAGTTGGATAAGGATGAGTGGAGGAGATGATGAGCTTTGTTGCCTTGGAATAGGTGGTGATGGGATAATCGTGAAGTCCTTAGGGATGAGGTGGCAACTTTGGTGACTTGGGAAAGGAAGGAAGGAAGGAATAAATGAGAGGCATGTGGAGGTTGATGACTAGGAAGTGGAAGCATGTGCTTGAAGGCACATGGGAGGAGGATAATTGGAGGAGGTAAATGACTTGGGTAAACTTTGATGAGTAGGAAAGGAAAGCACATGGAAAATCATGAGGAGTCATGTGCCTTATGGTGGGACTTGAGGATGAGTATGGGAAGTTGGTTTGAATATTGGTTGAGTTGGACTAGGAAAGGCTATGGTGGTTGGAGATAGTTAAGGAGGAGTTGGTGGGCTTGGCTTGGAAAAGATGAGTTGGAAAAGGAAAGTCTTGGTGGTTGGGTAATTTGAATGGGTTTGGAGGGGTTGGGTAACTTTGGGAAGGTAGGAAGGAAAGTTACGAGAGTGTTTTGAGGAGAAGGAGTTGGAGTGCCAAAGTGGGTAGCACGTGATGCGTGTGCTATTCGCAACAGTTGGTTGGTTGTTAATGTCAACACTACCACAGTCCTGACTTACTGATTGGCACACCGCCGTTCTTGAGCTTAGGCGTCATGAGCGTCGGGTCAATCGTGAACATGTGTGTCTTGTCCTTGATGTGATTCGCGAACTTCACCTGCGATTGTGAACATATTGAACAAGTAAGCAGGTTGTGGTAAAAGAAGTTACTACACGAAGCGCATCCAAAACAGCCATGATTGATTGACATCATACGATAAGAGAAGCACGAGGGACGGTTTGAAATCACAAGGGACGCTTTAAAGGCTCTCACGAAAGCACAAGGGATGCTTTGAAAGCTCTCAAAGAAAGTTGCTTCCTCCTCCAAAGGTGCGGAGCAGACGAAGGTGCCGCGCTCACCGTGCAGGCCACGCTGCTCTCTCCTTGCAGGTGCTGTCGCGCTCACCTTGGTGGTCGTGCCGCGTTTCGCGACGAGCACGGGACCCGGGTAGCGCGCCGAGCTGCGGGAGACGCCGTACGCATACACCTTGGTGTCGGGCAGGTCGCGATGGAACTTCTGAAAGTTGGGCAGACCGGGGGGACGGGTGGGTGGGGGGGGAGGGAGAGAGGGGGAGAGAGGGGGGTAAAGGGGGGGAGGGGGCGGAAGAAGGAAAGGAGGGAAGAGGAAGCGGGGAGGTGGACCGAGTGAGCGAGGGTTTTTGCGAGTAGAGAATTATCATTGTGGCAGCGGGACGTGGAATGTCGCAAACGCAAATGCGAAAGGAAACGCAAATGCAAATGCGAACCGTCACACTTGCCTGGTAGGCGTCGTAGGCGCCGAGTTTGATGGTTTCGCCGGCCGACGCGTCGAGGAAGGTGAGCGGCGATGCGGCGAGGTCGTCGACGAACTTGCACAACGGCTTCTGCGGAAACCGGTTCACGCACCGCGGCCCCGCCAGGGGTTGCGCGCGCGCCGTCATCAGCACGCTAAGAAGCGCCAAGACGACGGCGCAGAGGCGCGCGAGCGTGGTCGGAGGCATTTTGGCGGTTCGGTTCACGTCTGCTGCCGGTGCTCCGTCACGAGAGTGGAAATTGGACGCCGCCGGCGCGCCGGGGCTCGAATACTATTAGTACTATATCGCACGCCTCTTCTTCCTCTGTCATAGAGATAATAGCCACCCCCGAGGCAGATCAGCTAGGTGAAGGGTGGAAAACAAGGAATGGGAAACGGAACGAGTGGGGCGAGAGGAGATGAGCGACGAGGAATAGCTGGCCGTTCTGATCATCTGATGTACACGCTGAGCGCTGAGGATATGAGCGATCGTACGAACATGCGCACGATCATGCGCACGAATGGCCAGGCTTCCGCCGGGGAAGGAACGAACGAGAGCCTCGCCTTGGAACGTGGGAAGTAGATTGTTTGGGAGAGAACGAGGAGAGCGGCGGAGGGGGATGTGGGGCGGGGCGGGGCGGGGAGAGAGCGAGGAGAGCGGCGGAGGGTGGGGGGGTGTCGGCCGGGCCGACAGCGCGTATTGTTGTCGGGGGTTTCGTATGGCAGCAACGGCTGGGCTCGGAACTGCTGGGAGACGAGTAAGATGCTGCGGCGTCGCGGCTCGGCGCAGCGGAGGGGGGACATTGTGACGGCGGGGCTCGCTACCGGATAGGGACATGCGCTGCGATAGGATGCGATGTGGGTGAATTTACAGGATACAGAGCTGTACGTCGCTGGCTGACATTGCCTCCAGCTTCCTGAATCCTGAACTCGTGTAGGCGGGGGGAATGGAGGGGAAGGAGTCCAGCAGTGTGGTCGGAGGGAGGCGAGGCGAGTCGAGGCGAGTGCACATGACATGAGATGAGGCGGCGATGCGGGTGAGGGGGAAGGAAAATTTTGCGGCGACGGGGTATGGGATCGTGAATGCCACGCAAGGGCAGGTACGCCCGCCTTGCGCGCGGAAAGCATTGAAGGCGCATTGGCAGGCAGGCTCATCAGGGGACATAGCTTCGTTTCGGTTCGGACCCTCAGCTGTCACCGAAAGCTGGGGCGCTCTTGGGAGCTGGGCTGTTGGGTGATGGGGGGGTTGGGGGGGTGTTGTGGTGGACGGAGGGGGGGCGCGGGGAGCGGAGGGGTAGGAAGTTAGGAACCACTTGTGAGGTAGACGACAGAGTGAACCAGCTCATAGTAATCTCTGACCCCTCACAACCAGTTGAGATACGTGTTAGTCAGGGGGAACAGTGACACTCACACCCAAGAAGAGAGGCTGTTAAGTATGACGTGACGGGTCTCTCTCACTGCGACGACGGCGGCGCATTTCGATGGGAGAAGATCATACAGGGGCCGAAAAGTGCCAGAGGGGTGATCAACCAGGGGCCGAGAGGCCCGAAAATTACCAAACCGCTTCGCAAAGAGGAATTAACAGAGAGTCTTCATTTATTGCACGTAATTATGTTACTAGTGGCATGTACCGGCTAGCATTTTCGCTCGCGTGTCGTATAGCGAGCCGACTCTACCTGGAACTCTAGGGCAGCAAAAACAAAACTAAAACTCATTGGGAACCTGGATGCAATTTCGGGATGGATAAACCCTAAAAAATGGACCTTCCTGGTGTTCAGGGTTGATCCCTCCCGAGTCGCATCCGTTTCCGAATGGGTAATATTTTATGTATGCATCACCCAGAATATATTATGTTGTTACGTAATCACGATTTGACACGCCGAATTCAATTCCAGAAGAAGGCGACGCGCGCGCTGTAGTAGGCGGCGGTCAAAACCCTCAATAAACAATACGAACACGAAAATAGGTTTCTCTTAGCAATTATCTTTTACCCGTCATCGCCCGGATATAAGACATATATGTCTTATCTCATACACTAAAAAAAATGCTTGGGTTATCTTGTATTTGGGGAGGTTTTGGGTGTCTTATAAGTCTTATAAATGGAAACTTTTTTAAACTACTTAGAAATATTTTCACGCATCTTGAAAAGAGTCTCATTAAGAGTGTGGATGGTTCAAAGGTGCCACTTCGGCAACCATTGTTCAGGACGCCACGTCATCCCGAATACTTGCAGAGGCAAATTTGGTAGTACGTGAGTCAGCACGTGGCAGAATTCGCGTGTCGCAAGGGTAAAGATGTACGCGGCATTTCAATTTTCACTATAATACATGCAGTTTCGATTATAAGACACATAATGTCTTATCTCGTACACACAAATAGGTGTCGTATAAAAAGGCTAGCCTGTTTATAAGAGACACCCGTATAATAGACAACCCCTGTCTACTATTCAACACTGTCTTATATCCGGGCGATGACGGTACGGTACTTATGGTTCGGCTTGTTTGCCGAGTCATTTGGTCAGCTCCGGGTTGAAATCCTACGATCGAAATTTTCTGGCCCTACTTTGATCACCCTTCTGTCACTGTTCGGCCCCAATATGATCTTTTCCCCATTTCGATCAACCATGCAAGTGTACAGTACGAGGGAAAGGGACAATGGGCAGGGCAAGGCAAGGGTGGGAGGCGATTTGGAAGCTACAGTAGCCGGCAGTGAACTGTACTGTACAGTACTACGTAGTTCGGCTTTGGATTCGTCGTGACGGGTCTCCTTCAATGTACGCACGGCCAGGGCCTCAGATTCGTTTTGGGTGACCCTGAGCACTCAGGGTCCTTTGGGGCTGTAACACTGATCATCAGGGTTGTAAATGGAGAAACACTGATTTCTCAGGGTTAGAAAAAAAAAAACCCTGACACATCAGCGTGAGTTTTAAAAAAACACTGGCGGTGAGAATCCACAACAACTACCGGTATCACAAGTATAATAAGTTAAGAAAAGTTCAAATATGGTTCTAATGAGCTTCTAATCTAACTACAGGCACAGACCACTTGGCGCTCACACCGCACACACAATTCACATCACACACATGTCTTCATCTTCGTCACTACCACCACCATCGCTCATAGAACCGTGCCTGTGCACGGGGGGTCTCTGTCCCCCACCCAGAGCCAGCACCACCAGCATCATCCTCGTCCACCTTCTCTTTCCCCTTAGCACTAGGTTGCTTCTTTGGTGCTGCCACTGTTGTGATGGGCTTGCGCTTCTTGTACGCCCTCCAGATCTTCACCACCTCCGCCCAGTCGGGCTCGTACGGCAGCAATGCCATGCACATGAGGTCCGACAGCCGCGCATCCCAGCCTGAGCTAGCATCTGCTTCTGGTGATTGATGGCCAACTGGTGCTTGTTCGTCGCGGCATGCCGCTTGAAGGCTTGGGTCTGAAGATCGGTTGCACCGTGCCCACTCTTGCCACACTTGCCACCGTCACCTGCAAAGTCGATGCACAATCTGCACTTGAACGCAGGCATGCCAGCAGTGTTTTTTATGAGGATGAGCCATGGGTAGTCGGTCGACCACGTCGACTTGAACGTTTCAAGGGCCTCTTCGTAAATCAGAGTGGTTAGTGACGGTTTTTTAGAGTTAGATGGCGTGGGCGTAACGTGGTTTACCGACTCGCCGGCATCAGCGAGAGGACGTCCAGGATCTGTAGGATCGGCCCAACGGAGCACGACCTGCTTGTAACGAGGCGGAGGCTTCGACGACGACGCACGAGACGCTCGGTCCGGCTGCTGACGGCACGGCCGGCTTAGCAGTATGCGCGGGCTGGGGACGATCGTCTCCGCGGCAGAGGCCAGACGCTTCACCAGTGTTTGCTACTGAGGCGACGGGACATGGCTTCTCTTTTTCATGGGAGAGCGCGGAAACTAGAAAATCTAGTCCCGTTCTGGCCTCCAGCATCTCGGTGGCGGCGTAAAGTGCATCGTCGTCATCATCACCGCAGCTGTTCTCACCGGTGATCGCCATGGCGCGTTCACGTCACCTTCCTGAATCGGTGAGTAGTAACGAGAAACCCTGGGAGAGAGAGAGCCTGCCGAGCAGGCTTCAGGGAGACTGCAGAGATTGATGTTTCGGAAAGGGATGGAGTCTGGAGAGCTGGAATGGCAGAATCACGAGACCCCCTGCGTGGGGTGCCTGAGCGGGCCACCCCAGCACGCCCTGCCTTGGTGGAAAGAACAAGGCAGACTACTGGCCCACTGGGCCACTAGGCTTGGTTGTTTGTGCACATCAATGGAAAGTAATGACAAGTGTAGGTTATCCAACGTGACAACGGTACATTGCTTCAGCTGGGACAGCCAATCTCTTTACGCCGTTTTGCCAACACAGCCCGAAATTAACCCGTTCAACTGTATCTGGGCGCGCCGCAGGGTGGCGTCGGTGCAGGGTGGGTTCATGCATGATGACGGCGCGCAAAACTGCGAGAATCACGGAGTTTTCGGTTTCAGGGTCGTCTCCGATACAACACTGACTCGTCAGTGTCGACAAACTAGAAACACTGGAAAATCAGGATTAGGAAAAGAAAAACACTGATTCATCAGGGTTGTAAAAACAAAAAGGCTGATTCATCAGGGTTACAATAAAAAAACCGGGGTCAAACATCAGGAAATCAGGGTAAAATTCCTGGAATCTGAGGCCCTGCGCACGGCTCCAAACCATATCACGTATTAAATCCTTATCCCAGCTGCAATGCATGTTCTTCTCTTATGCGAATGTGGGCCCATTCTCTGTAGGGCCGTCCACACTCACTTCAAGAGCATGGCTGTCGTTGTTACTGGGAAAAAATAATCTTCCTCTCTGTTCATGTAGAACCGTAATACAAAGTTATTGGTTGGCTGTGCCCGCATGACCTTCGCGACCAGCCTCACCATGTATCGTGTCTCTACAACCAGCTTCACGTGCACTTCTGGTAATTCCAGGGGCCACCCTTTCCCCTTTGGCAGCTTCTGTTGCCTTCACAGTCAATCTTACAGCAAATCCTGGACCACCCTTCCCTAACATAGCCCCTCTGCATCACTCCAGCACAACATACTGTATACAGCTTTCTTTGCAGGAATTACACCCTTCCAAGCTCTGCTTATACCGCTGCTGATCACATCGCCTTCACAATCATTCCCACAACGTACCCTGTCTCTCCCACCATCTGCCCACTGCCTCACACCCACACAGTCAGCTTCGACGGCTCAATTCCCCACCATTTCAGACTTTGCTTCCCTCCTTGACAGCACGCACGGCTCTTTGATCACCCCACAGCGTACCCCGTCTCTCCCGCCATCTGCCTTCGAGCCACCTGCCTACAGATTGCTTCAAAAACCACCTGCCCCATCACTCCCTGATCTGCTTCCCTCCTTGGCAGCTCGCACGGCTTTCATGGTCGCCCTCACAGCATACCCTGTCTCTCCCGCCATCTGCCTGCAAGCCACCAGCCTACAGCTTGCTTCGAGACTCAGCCACTCTGCCATTCTACTTGGCAGCTGGCATTGCCTTCATAGTCTCCCTCACACCATACCCCGTCTCCCCCACCATCTGCCTCTGTCCCCACACCGTATACCCTGTAACCCTGTCACTCCCGCCATCGCCAACAGTTTGCTTTGAGACCCAGCTCTCCCACCCTTCTTTGATTCGCTATTCGCCTTGGCAGAACACATGGCTTTCATCGTCATTCTCACAGCATACCCTGTCTCTCCCGCCATATGCCTCTGTCCCCACCTCACACCCCTACAGCTTGCTTCGAGACCCAGTTATCCCACCGCTTCCGGCCTTGCTATTCCCCTTGGCAACACGCATGGCCTTCATTCATCGTCACCCTCACAGCATACCCTGACTCTCCCGCCATCTGCCTGCGAGCCAGCTGCTTACAGTTTGCTTCGAGACCCAGCTGCCTTGCCATTCCCTTTGGCAGCTCGCATGGCCTTCATGGTCTCCCTCACAGCATAACCTGTCTCCCCCGCCATCTGTCTCCGAGCCAGCTGCCTCAGCTCCTCCGCCACCACCGCCTCCATGTCAGGATGACGTGGCGCTGAGTCACCCAGTGGCTGGCGCAGCATGCGCTTGAAGATGGGGAGGGACTGCTGGACGAGAGCCTGCTGCTGGATGTCGGAGAGAATCGCCAGCACGTCTGCAGGGGGGCATGTAAGAAAGACAAACACGGGCACAGACAACAAAAAGGAGGCATTTCGCTGAGTTGAGTCAATGTCGGTGGCTGGCGCAGCATGTGCTTCAAGATTGGGAGGGACGCTTGGAAGAAGCCTGTTGCTAGGATAGGATGTCAGGAGGCGTGTAAGGAGAGCACGGGCACAGGCAACAGAACGGAGGGACAGTGAGACAAGAAATGCAAAAGGGGGGAGTGCGGTAGAGAGGGGGGGGAGGGAGGAGAGAGACGTTATTAGAATTAAGCAGACTTCAGAAACAATCCCTGCAGTTTTTGGATTTCCACGATTGGCTCAAGAAGAGAGCATTTCTTGAGACACGCTGTCGTTGGCTGAAGCGCGTGCCATCCCTTAGAATAACTTACCACTCTGAAGGGTCGCATCCGGGAACACTCTCGAAACAAGACCGTTTCTGCACGCCTCGTCCGCAGTGAGCACCCGCGACGTCAGCAGGAGATCGTTCGCCAGGGGTCGACCGAGCAGCTGCGGGAGAGTGACGGAAGAGCCGAACTCGGGGACGAGCGCGATGCGGAGAAACGGCACCCAGAACGTGGCGGAATCCGCGGCGAATACGAGGTCGCAGTGCGGAAGGAGCGTCACGCCGATCCCGATGGCGGGCCCGTTGACTGCTGCGACCAGGATCTTGGAGAATCGCAGCACGCCGCGCATGAACTGGCCCACAGGGCTGGCGAACGGGTCGAAATCCGCGGGGAGATCGACGGTGGAGCTGGCTTGTGGTGTGGATCTAACGGTTGGAACTGAGCTTCCTTCCGGTTGTCCTGATGATCCAACGGCTGCTGTTGATTCCTGGGATCGTTTCAGGGCCTCGAGTCTCTCGACGGTCTGCATGAACTCGAGCATGTCTGTCCCGCTGCAGAAGTACTCGCCAGCACCCGTTATAAGCAGAATCGATACTGTGTCATTGGCGTCTGCGTCGGCTAGAGCGCGTGCGAGCTCGAGGTATGTTGCGTTGTTGATGGCGTTGAGGTTTCGGAGACGGTTGATGGTTACGGTTACCACTGCTCCTTGTTGGCTTACCAACAGGTTATTGTAACAGGAACCGTCCATCTTGTAACGGGGACGTACGAACAATGCTCACTACACACAATTCTCACTACACACAATGCTCACAATGCGCGAATGATCCTGTGGAGTGGGAGAAGACTCTGAACTGTCAGGGAAGAAAGGCGTCCGTTCTTGGAACCGCGGAAGAGGCTCTTTCCTGATTGCTGTTGGATAAGCGATTCGGCGACAACGCGAACTGGAGTCGCAGATATTACGGAAAACTAAATAAGCATATGGACGGCTGTCAAAGCAGTAAGGTAATGTGATGTGACGGAAGCGTCTAATTAGAGGTGGTGCGACCTATGTAAAACATAAACTATCAGCTGATCGGTGAACATTCAAGGCCGCATTGTTCGGAACTGTTTCTATGAGGCGGATAAGGCATCTTACTAGCCATGCCACATAGCGTGTGGTACCCCAGCCTACGTGGAATCACAGCTAGGTGCGTTGGCAGACAAATGACTCGTTTGGAAGCAGCTTCGCATAATAAGGTTGTTATGGTCGCGTATTGGGGCTCTTTTCTTGTAATGCAAAAGCAAAATTGACCCAATGAAAAGCCCTTCACAAAGAGTATGGAATATAATAAGCCCCAAAAGAGGGGCACTCCTGCTAAGGGTAGTGTCTCTCATCAGAGACAGTATTTAAAAACATGTGATATAGGCTCATATCGCTGAGCGTTGCGCCCATTGTCAGATTTGCATTGCAGTGAGCAGGAGCCTGAAACAGAACACTAAAACGCAAACGCGTTTTTCAGCAGCGAAGAGTCGACGACCTAATCTCTAGGCCGCAGTTTGCCCATCACTCTCCTTTGTGATAGGGTTTCGTTTCATCTCAGCTAATCAACCGCGAGCGCCTTGGATCCGAAACGCCACCTGGTTGGGGTGGGGGACCCAAACGCGCCGCCGTCGCAAGTTTAGATGTTGCGAGGCCGGCCGAATTTTCGCGCAACCCGTGGGCACGGGCAACAACAAAAGCAGTCCTCGCTCCCATCCTTCCTGCATCCCCACTACCAGCCAAGCCCTTGCCTTCTGCTGGGACCCAAAACTCGCCTTTTTCACGCAGCCCCTGTCGGCATTCGGGCAGCAAGAAAAGCATTCCTCGCTCGTTTGCAGGCCGTGTTGCGTCCGCCCCACCGGCACAGCCCCTTCCTTCATCGGGATGGGGTGAAGGGAAACCCCTCTGAGCGTACTGTACTGCTCGTGCGGGTGCGCTGCGCTGCCACTCCTTGCCTCTCCTCGCCCCCTCCCCTCCTCTCCGCCTGGCCAGTCAACAAACTATTTTTGACAATGACAGCCTTGGCATTGTGCAATGCTGCACTGGACAGCTTTCAATACAAAGCATCTCAGTTAGTGCCACTGCTGCAAAGCTTTGTTCCAGTTGAGTCCCCGAGCCGACCCACACGCTGGTCTGCACATTTGCCAGCTCACACTACTCTCGACGCTACTTTCGCGACTCGCTCGACTCGCATTGCTACACGGGTGACGAGCACACCGCGCGTCACCGACGGCCAAGGTTGACTTGATGGGGCGGCCCGCGGGGTCTCGTCCGAATGCCGCTGCTCGGCGTGGAGAGAGCACCATTCCCGCGCGCCTCTGCGCCTTGGCGCTTCTCAGCGTGCTGATGACGGCGCGCGCGCAGCCCATGGCGGGGCCGCGGTGCGTGAACCGGTTTCCGGAGAAGCCGCTGTGCAAGTTCGTCGACGACCTCGCCGCGTCGCCACTCACCTTCCTCGACGCGTCGGCCGGCGAGACCATCAAACTCGGCGCGTACGACGTTTACCATGTGAGCCTTACGGGGAGGGAGGAGGAGAAGGAGGGTAGGGGGGCGGGTGACGTCGTACGACGTCTACCACGTGAGTCTGACGTGGGGGGGGTGAAGGGGGGGGGGAACGGGGGCGGGTGGGGGAAGGGTGGGGGTGGTCGTCGTACAACGTTTACCAGGCGCGTGTGATTGCTGGGTGATGGTGGCGCGTCATATGATGATGCTACGCGGTGCTTCCAAGTTTTCACATTGAGTGAAGGTGGCGCGTGCGACGTGTGCCAGGCGAGTGCGATTGCTGAACAGGGCGAATTTGTGGGTGCCTGCAGACAGCTATTGGAGGTCGTGCGTCGTGCTGCAGGCAAGTGCAACGGCCGCTTGACGCGGTGTTCCGTACAATAAGCAGATCGTGGTGGAGCTATCTATATATGAGCGCGGTGCGACTCTTGGCTCGCGCGGCTCGCAGAAGCGCATTCGCGTTTTCGTCACAGTGATACTTTTCACCGTCACATGATTTTTCACCGTCACTGGGCGTGCTTTTCCCCATCGCTCCCATTCTCTTCCACCTCGCTCCATCACTCGCTCTCCCTCCTCCATTTCCTCTTTCCCACTCCTTCACCCCCCCTTCCCCCGGCCGGCGCAACGAGCAGAAGTTCCATCGCGACCTGCCCGACACCAAGGTGTATGCGTACGGCACCTCTCGCAACTCGGCGAGTTACCCGGGCCCCGTGCTCGTCGCGAAGCGCGGCGTTACCACCAAGGTGAGCGCGGTTTAGAGCGCCACCACACAGGTGAGCGTCGTCATCTATCAGTAGCTTTACGGTTGCTCGCACTTTGGATGGCTTTATTCGTCAATAGCTTCACAGTTGCTTGCGCTGCTTCACTTGACGACGTAATCTCGAGTACGAGCACGAGCGGCAGCATGAGCACGAGCGCGCGCGCTGTCGCGGAGAACTGCTGGTGATTGGAGCTCGAACACAAGCACGGGTACAGCGCTGCTGCATGGGGGGCTCGTCGCGCAAGCAGCTTCACGGTTGCACTGCTGGTCTGGCGCAAGTGGTGGCACTCCTCCACCGCCGCCCCCACCTGCCCTGCCACCCTTGCCGCCCCTGCCGCTGCGACGCTTCCCACTAGGAGCGGAAGCAGCCCCGACCTCCTCAGCACCAAGGTAGTCGTGAGCAGCAGCTGCGGAGGCGTAGGAGGGGGTGAGAGGGGAGGGGGAGCACCCCTCAAAGAGGGGAGAGCGAGGAGTGCCACGAGCAGCACCTACAGCGAGGATGTTCTTCTCTGCTGCGAGGAGGTGCTTCTCGAAGTCGTCGACAGTGAGAGTGGGGGGGTCTAGCGCGAGGAAGTGGTCCCTGACTGAGCTAAGAGTGTCAGGGAGGCGGGTGACGAGGAAATAGAGAGTGAAGTACATCGGGGGGGGGGGGGGGTTAGCGGCGCAGAACTCGGCTGAAAGGGCGGCACGAAAACGAGTGTCAGTAGCGCGCAGGTGGGAAATGAGGTCCTCAGCAGTGGTGAACGAGGAAAGGTCGGGGAACAGGTAGGGTAGCATGAGTCGACCTATGGCTGCAGTGGCCGGGGAGGAGTAGCACGCGACTACAGCATCGTACAGCTTCTTAGCAGTTTTGTGCTGGCTGAAATGCGCGCGCTCAGTGATCGGCAGATGGTTCCTAATAGCTAGGCGTGCAGCAGCATCACGAGTCTGCCACTGCGAGCGTTCGAGAGCAGGAGCATCGGCAGCAGGAGCAACGGCAGTGCCAGACACGTAATCGAACAGTGAAACGCCCTCTTTGGCATCGGTCAGAAGGAACAGTTGCAGGTCGTCTAGCCACACAGCGAACTCTATGGGGCGACCGTCAGGTTCGAACGCGAGAACATTAGGCGTCGTCATAACGGCAGCAGGCAAAGGCAGCAGAAAGCAGGCATGCAGTAGACACGAGGCAGCAGGCAGTAGACAGCAGGCTAAGACAGAGGCAGTAGGCAGTAGGCAGTACAGGCAACGTGCAGGGCAGTAGCTTGCTGCACTTGAGCTCCTAAGGTGGGGCTCTAGACAGTAGCAGGCCGCACAGTTCTAAGGCAACGGGCTCGGCAGCAGTGAGCCTCACAGGCAGGTACACGAGTAGGGCGCGCGTGGCTGCTGGCTGCGTGCAGCTAAGGGCTGCGCGTGGCTCTCTGCTGCGCGTGGCTACGTGTTGCGCGCGGCTCCTGGTTGCACGTGGCGACGGGCAGCGCGCGTAGCTGCGGGCTGCGTGCGGCGACGGGCCTGAGCAGGCTGCGCGCGGGCGGCGTAAGGGGCGCGCGAGCTCTACGCGGGCTGCGCGGGCGACGCGGGCCGGCGCGCGGCTCTGCAGCAGTGGCGCGCGCTATAAAAAAGTGATGCGCGCGCTAGAAACCGAGGCGCGCGCGGAAAAAAAAGTGACGCGCGCTGCAGCCGAGGCGTGCGCGAGCAGTAGGCAAGGCAGGCAGTTAGGTGGGCCCGATTCGTAGGTCCTAGAGACCTCCTGCTCTAGTTACCATGTTAAGAACTAAGGCAAGGATGATGGGATTAGGTGAAGGGGTGGGTACAAGACTAGGGTATCGAGAAAGTTTCTGTACCCCCTAGTGCTAACCCCCATGCAGCCTAGATAACCTAAACAAGTATATACAATTTGACACGATACTGAGACTCGAGACTACAGGGAGCAGGCGTTGAATTTCTCCCTTAGCGACTCGCCCGCCCCTTCGTCGCGGCCCGCCCGCCCCCCCCCCTTCGTCGCGGCCCTGAGCGGCTCGCCCGCCCCTTCGTCGCGGCCCGACGCGGCCCGCCCGCCACTTCGTCGCGGCCCAACGCGGCCCTGCCCGCCCCTTCGACGCGGCCCTGCCCATCCCTTCGACGCGGCCCTGCCCGCCCCTTCGACGCGGCCCTGCCCGCCCCTTCGACGCGGCCCTGCGTGGCCTGCCCGCCCGTCATCGCGGCCCTCCACGGCCCGCCCGCCCTGTCGTCGCGGCCCCTACCCTGCAGCAGCAACCGTCGCCCGCCCCTGCTGCCGCCGTCGCGCCTCCAGCCGCCAGAGCGACCGCCACTGCCGTCGCCGCTACGGCCCCGTCGTCGCGGCCCTGCCCTGCTGCCCTGACGCGGCCCTGTCCTGCCGCCGAGCCGCGGCCCTGTCCTGCCGCCGAGCCGCGGCCCTGCCCTGCCGCCTCGTCGCGGCCCTTACCCTGCTGGCGCGCCACGGCCCTGCCCCACCAGTCACGGCCTCTCCCCTCCCGCCACTGGTAAGCACACCGCCGCACCCGCACCGCCCTACCGAGCCGTGCTGCCCCTGCAAGTTGCGCTGCTCCTGCTGCTACTGCTGCTGCTAGGCTACTGCTGCTGCCCCTGCAGTCATGGCTAGCCCTAATGTCCTTACCTTCGATGCTGAGGGTCAAGCGGTCGATTTTGAGGTCTGGGTCGATGATCTGCAGCTATTTCTGCAGTGCGATAGCAAGGATGGAGTCTCGCTTTTTTATCTCACGTCTGGCACCTCTGCTGCACCTGCTGCTAATGCTGACAGTACTGTTCGCTCACAGTGGACCACACGCTATGCTGCTGCCCGTCTTGCTATTCGTAGTCACCTGCCGTCTGCTGAGCGCGCGCACTTTAGCCAGTACAAGACCGCTAGGACTCTGTACGACGCTGTTGTTGCGCGCTACTCCTCCCCTGCCACTGCTGCCCTTAGCCGTCTCATGCTGCCGTACCTGTTCCCTGACCTAGCCACTTTTGCCACAGTCGCTGACCTCATTACGCACCTCCGCACTAGTGATACCCGCTACCGCGCTGCGCTTCCTGCCGAGTTCTGCACCGCGAACCCCCCCCCTATGTACATCACTCTCTACTACCTTGTCACCCGGCTCCCTGACTCCCTTCGCTCGGTCAGGGACCACTTCCTCTCCCTTTGCCCCACCACACTCACCGTTGACCTCCTCGAGGAGCGCCTCCTAGCAGCTGAGAAGAGTATAGTCGCTGTAGGAGCCTCTCGTGGTGACCCTCGTGCCCCTTTCTTTGAGGGGTGCTCCCCCGTTCCCCTTTTGCCTTCTGTTGCCTCTGCTGCTGCTGTCGACCTCGTTGGCACCGAGTCGGTCGGCGCTGCGTCTGCTCCTAGTGGGAGGCGCCGCAGCGGCAGGAGCAAGGGGGGCAAGGGTGCTGGAGGAGACGGCGGGGGCGGCGGTGGTGGCGGTGGAGGCGGCGGAGGGGTGGGGGGTGCAGGAGACGGCGGGGGCGGCGGTGGTGGCGGTGGAGGCTGAGGAGGGGGTGGGGGTGCAGTGGGGGCTTCGGTGGCGGCAGTGGAGGTGGAGGCGGCGGAGGCAGCGGCAGTGGGGGTGGAGGTGGCGGCGGCGGAGGCGGCGGCGGTGGGGGTGGCGGCGGCGGTGGTGCTGGTCGAGGTGGCGCTGTGCAGTGGGGAGGCTTTGGCGGTGGACAGCGCCAGCAGCAGCAGCGCCCTCGTGAGACCCTGTCGCCCCAGCAGCTTCGTGAGTGGTACGCTGGGCGTGGGAGGTCTGGGGGTGCTGGTCCCTGCACTTACGTTCTCCGCACCGGCGACCGCAGTGGGGAGACGTGTGGAGGACCGCACGCCACACTGCGCTGCTTTGGCCGCCTAACTGACGCTTGGCGTACGCAGTTTCCCGACTCCTCTGAGATCCCTCGCTGGGGTGATCTGCTTAAGTCGGGGGTTGCTATCTTTGATCTAGATTATGATGCTATCCTTGCTGCTATGTATACTGTGTCTATTAGTGCTGAGGGTGACTGTTACCTGTGTGTTCCGCCCAACCCGGGCATTGAGGCAGCTGCTCTAGGTGCTAGTGAGTCTGCTGCTCCAAGTGCTAGTGAGTTTGCTGCCCCAGGTACTGGTGAGTCTGCTCTCTCAGGTACCGTGTCGGCTCAGGCCTTACACACTTTCACCCTTGACTCGGGTGCTTCCCGCTCCTTCTTTCGCGACTGCACCACACTCTCGCCACTCAGTCGGCCGGTGGCAGTCTCTTTGGCTGACCCCTCTGGGGGTCCGGTCCTTGCGCACTCCTCCACGGTCCTGCCGTGTCCGGCGGTCCCGTCTGGCTCTCTGTCTGGCCTCCACCTCCCCTCGTTCTCCACGAACTTGGTGAGTGGAGCTGACCTTCAGGACGCCTGGGTTGACCAGTTCACTCCTGGAGGTCAGCGGGTGACCCAATGTTCGTGTACTCGGACGGGCCGTCACCTGGCCACGTTCAATCGTCAGTCTGGGTCGAGCCTGTACACCCTGTCTACTGTGTCTCCTCCGGTTGCTGAGTCTGGTCAGGTAGCTGCGTCGGGTCAGGTGTTTGCTGCAGCTTCCCGGTCTGGTCCTGAGTCTGCCCCTTGCTCGTGTCGCCTCCTGTCTCACCAGACTCTCCTCTGGCACCACCGCCTTGGTCACCCCTCCCTGCCTCGTCTCCGAGGCATGGCCTCCCGTGTCCTTGTCACTGGTCTTCCCCGTTCTCTCCCTCCCCTTCCCCCGGGGCCTGCCCCTACCTGCGTTCCTTGCGTCGAGGGGCGGCAGCGCGCCGCCCCTCACTCTTCCGAGTTTCTTCCCACGGAGGCTCCCTTGCAGACTCTTCACATGGACGTGTGGGGCCCAGCCCGCGTCCGTGGTCAGGGTCACGAGCGCTACTTCGCCACCCTCTTAGTCGCATACTAGTGGGAAGGTCGGTGTCTCCCTGGCGCAACAAGGCGCGCAAGGACGCTAAGAGGGTAAGCTAGGTCTGGGCGAGTGCAGGTCATCAGGTACATGAGACAACCCACCAGCTCAGGATATGGAGCACTGGACTCAAATGGCTCGTTCGAAGGTGGAGACGTGAGCCCATGATCCACACCAAGAGGGGTGAGCTGTACCTTGGAGAACGGGAAGCGAAACCGCGTGAGGATCTGCTCGACCATATGCGACTGAGTCAGCGTAATGGTGCAAGCTGCCCTGTCCCTGGTGATCTGCAGGCCAAGGTAGTGCTGCAGCTCACCAAGGGCAGTACAAGTGTGTCTCCTCTGCAGTTCCTCCTTCACGGAGGCCAGCGCGCGCCGGTCGGGAGTGGCGAACACCAGGTCGTCGACACGAGTTCGAGAGAGTGAGTCGATGCGAGTTATAGAGAGTGAGTTGACTCTCAACACTAGTTTCAGAGAGTGAGTTGACTCAACACTAATTCGGCACGGGCAAGACGAGCATGATCGGCCTCGCCGTCTGCCAAGTCGTCGATACGAGCTCGAGAGAATGAGTCGATGCTAGTTCTAGAGAGTGAGTGGATACGTCCTCCAAAGAGTGAGTTGATACGAGTTTCAGAGAGTGAATTGACTCAACACTAGTCCGGCACGGGCAAGACGAGCATGATCCGTCTCTCTGTCTGCCAAGTCGTCGATACAAGCTCCAGAGAGTGAGTCGCTGCGCTGTGCCACCGCAACGGGAGCGTGCAGCTCTCCGCGGCGCGCCGAAGAGCAACCCCAGAGGGCATGCGGGGCTTAAGTTGGATGCAGCAAATGAGATCTCGCGCTTGTCAATAACTCATGCTTTTCTCCAAGCTTTGTACGCGCCTCGGTGTGCTACAGCACTTCTTTCCTCGCGCTCACCCCTCCTCACATCCCCTTCTCACCCATCACCCCCCCCACCTTCCCCCCCGCTCCCGCCCGCGTTCCCAGGACGCAGGCGTTAATCCTCTCGCCAACGCGCGAGCTGGCGGTGCAGACGGAAAAGACGGTGCTGTGCACCAGTTTTGAGACTTGTCAAAAAGTGTCACAGCGCTTTTTTGCTGCGCACTCTCCCCTCTTTAGACCCGCTTCCATCCCCCCCTCGCTTCCCTCCCCACCCCCCTCACCCCCCCTTCCCTCCCGCATCCCCCTCTCCCCCTCTCTCCTCTCCCCACGTGCCCAGGACACAGGCACTAATTCTTTCGCCAACGCGCGAGCTGGCGGTGCAGACGGAGAAGACGGTGCTGGCGGTGGGCGACTTCATGAACGTGCAGGCCTACGCCTGCATTGGCGGCCGCTCCATTGGCGAGGACATCCGCAAGCTCGAGTTCGGCGTGCAGGTGCGACTCGAGTTCGGCGTGCAGGTGCGACTCGAGTTCGGCGTGCAGGTGCGACTCGAGTTCGGCGTGCAGGTGCGACTCGAGTTCGGCGTGCAGGTGCGACTCGAGTTCGGCGTGCAGGTGCGACTCGCATTGCGCTGTATGTGTGGCGCGCGTCCGCGGTGCAGGTGCGATGAGGAAGCGAGGGGAAGGTTCAGCGGCGCGCAGGTAGGGAGTCACACGCGCGATTTCATGAACTTGCAGGCCTACTCCTGCATTGGCGGCCGCTCCATCGACCAAGATATCCCGCAAGCTCAAATTTGGTGTTCAGGTGCGACGCGCATCTGCGCCGCTGCAGCTGGGAATCCCCCCTGCGCGGGCGAGTGAGGTGGTGCGGCGTGGATTTCAGTGAGCGGCAGTGAGTGGTGGTGCAGATCGTGAAGGGGCGTGAAGATGATAGGGGGAGGCAGTGAGCGTGGGCGCAGAGAGGTGGAGTGTTGGTGGCACTGGCAGGTCTCGAGAGATTGAGTGGTGTGTTGTGTGGTGGCCGCGCGGCTCACATGCCACCTTTTCTGTGCGCGCTCGCTCCCACGCACTTACCCGCACCCCCTATCCTTACTCCCATGCCCACTCCAACTACTCTTTTCACTCCTTCCTCCCATGCGAGCATGCCCGTGTGGGCGTGGTTATGTGTGTGGGCGTGGCCATGTGTGCGGGCGTGGCCATGTGTGTGGGCGTGGCCATGTGTGTGGGCGTGGCCATGTGTGTGGGCGTGGCCATGTGTGTGGGCGTGGCCATGTGCGTGGGCGTGGCCATGTGCGTGGGCGTGGCCATGTGTGCGGGCGTGGCCATGTGTGTGGGCGTGGCCATGTGTGTGGGCGTGGCCATGTGTGTGGGCGTGGCCATGTGTGTGGGCGTGGCCATGTGTGCGGGCGTGGCCATGTGTGCGGGCGTGGCCATGTGTGTGGGCGTGGCCATGTGTGCGGGCGTGGCCATGTGTGTTGATGCAACGCTCAGGTGGTATCGGGCACGCCAGGGCGAGTGTACGACATGATCAAGCGCCGCAGCCTGCGCACAAGAGCCATCAAACTCCTCATTCTGGTGCGGGCCCCTGCCTCTCCTCTTCCCTCCCCCCCTCCCCCCCCCCTCCCTCCCTCCCTCCTCCTCCTCCTCCTCCTCCTCCTCCTCCTCCTCCTCCTCCTCCTCCTCCTCCTCCTCCTCCCCCGCCTCCGTCCGTCCATCCTCCTCCTCCTCCTCCTCCTCCTCCTCCTCCTCCTCCTCCTCCTCCTCCTCCTCCTCCTCCTCCTCCTCCTCCTCCTCCTCCTCCTCCTCCCCTCCCTCCTCCTCCTCCTCCTCCTCCTCCTCCTCCTCCTCCTCCTCCTCCTCCTCCTCCTCCTCCTCCTCCTCCTACTGCACTCCGGTGGAATGACGGCAGGGACGGGGAGAGTAGAAGGAGAGTAGGGGGAGAAGAGAGAGGAAAGGGCGGTAGATAGAGGAAAGAGGCACGAGAGGGACGAACGGAGAGAGGGGAGAGGGGAGGTGAAGGGTGAGAGGGTGGAGGTAAACAAGATGGTGGTGGAGAGGGCATGTAGGGGAGGTAGAGGAAGTGAACACTTCTCCTATCCCACCCCCTCCTTTCCTTCTCTGCTCTCCCTCTCCCATCCCCTCCTTCCCCCACACCATGCAACTCCCCTCGCCCATTCCCCCTCCCCCCTCTGCTCACCTCTTTCCCTGGTTTGAGCTCCACAAAAGCCCCGTAAGGAACGACAGTCTTCACCACACAGTCACTGCAAGGGGAAGCGGGCGAGGAGAGGGCAGGAGAGCGGGTGCAGAATGAGTTGCTTAGAAAGTGATTCACACACCGGGCTGCTTTCAGAATTCTCCAAGGGAACGCGAGAGACGCAAGACGCAAGACGCAAGACGCAAGACGCAAGACGCAAGACGCAAGACACAAGATGCAAGATGCAAGATGCAAGATGCAAGATGCAAGTGAGAGATGCAAACGCGAGAGATGCAAACGCGAGAGATGCAAGCGCGAGAGATGCAAGCGTGAGAGATGCAAGCGTGAGAGATGCAAGCGGGAGACGTACTTTCAATCGCTCAGTATGCCCCCTAGTCTGTCGACTCCAAACGCAAAGCCCACAAGCACACCCACCACAGGCACCATACACCCACCGGTAGATCTGCCCCACTTCCGGCACCATGGTGAGCCCCTCTATGCGCGCCCTTGCAAGTTCCAGTGCCGCCTCCGTTGCACCCATACTCACATAACCATCACACCCACACCATACCACACGCACATCACACCACAGTCACACCCACCAGTAGATCTGCCCCACTTCCGGCACCATCGTGAGCCCCTCTATGCGCGCCCTCTCGTGACGCACCCACTAGTCACACATACCCTACTTCCACTCCTCACAGTCACACCCATACCAGTGACACCCTTGCTACAGTCACCATACACCCACCGGTAGATCAGCCCCACTTCTGGCACCATCATGAGCCCCTCTATGCGCGCCCTCACCCTTTGGGACACCCATGAACTACCCATCACATGCATAGTCACACACCCATTAGATTCACACCCATTACAGTCACACCCACCGGTAGATCTGCCCCACTTCCGGCACCATGGTGAGCCCCTCTATGCGCGCCCTCGCCAGTTCCAGTGCCGCCTCTGACCGCGCATATATGCGCAGCTGGGGGGGGGGGAGGAGGGGGTTGAGGTGGGGGGAAATGAATGGGATGGGGTGTTAAAGGTGACTCTATGCGCGCCCTTGCCAGCTTGCGCCCTCGCCAGCTCCAGTGCCGCCTCCAACCGCGCATATACGCGCAGAGAGGGGAGACATTGAATGGGGGGGTGTGGAGAGTGAATGAGGGGGAGAGGGAGGAGGGGATGTTCAAGGTGCCCCTCTATGCGCGCCCTCGCCAGCTCCAGTGCCGCCTCCGACCGCGCGTATATGCGCAGCTGTGGGGTTGAGTGGGGAGATGTGGGTTGGGGGGAGGAGAGCAAGGAAGGGGTGTTGTAAGAGCCCCTCTATTCGAGCCCTCGCCAGCTCCAGTGCCGCCTCCGACCGCGCATATATGCGCAGTTCCAGTGCTGCGCATATACGCGGAGGAGAGGGAGAGGAAAGCGAGAGGAGGAGAGGAAGGAGAAGGGCGAGAGGGAGGAGAGGGAGGTGGAGGGGGGGGACAAGAGGGACGAGAGGAAGGAGTGGGTGATTATGATGACTATGAAGTCACCTTCCCAGTTCCAGTGCTGCATCTGACCGCGCATATACGCGCAGCTGTTGTGGGGGGGTAGAGACTGAAAAGGGGGGGTGGAGATGGGGGGGTGGAGATGGGGGGGTGGAGATGGGGGAGGGGAGAGAGTGGAATTGGTAGGAAGAGAGGGGGCCCTATACGCACGCCCTAACCAGCTGGTAAAATGGTGATTCGGTCGACTTCAGACTCTTCAATTGGTGGTAACCTTGCACATATAACTATGCACTGGTGGTAAACGCATGCTGTTAACCAGAACAAACCATACCTGTCCCCCATCCTCGATGTTGATTGAGTCAACTCCCGACTCTTCGATTATACTCTTTATGGTCTTGCCACCGCTGCCAATAATGAGATTCACCTTCTCTGGGTCAACCTGTCAGGAGAGAAACGAGGGGAGGGATGGGGGAGTCAGGAGGGGAGAGAGAAGGGGGGGGAGGAGGGGAGAGAAGATGGGAGGGACGAAGGGAGAGAGGAGGGGATAGAAGAGGGGAGAGAGGAGGGGAGACAGGAGGGGAGTCAGGGGGGGAGAGAGGAGGGGAGAGACGAGGGGATAGAGGGGATAGAGGGGATAGAGGAGGGGGATAGAGGAGGGGAGAGAAGAGAAGAGAGCAGAGAATCGAACAAACGAAGAAACAAAGGAAGGAAGTGATGAGGCTGTCAAAGTTTTTTTAGGCGCCTCAAAGTTGCAAATGGATGTTTCGCATGGTGATGGTGCCGTATCAATATTTCCCCCATGCCTCCATCCCCCAACTCTGCTCACGAATGCTCACCTGCATGCATGCCCCCACCAGACTCCACCCCAGACCACCCCCGCATACCACCCTACCCCATCGCACCTCACCGCACCCCACCGCACCCCACACCACCGCACCACACCCCACCCCAGCGCACCACACCCCACCCCACCGCACCGCACTGCGCACCTGGATGGATTCGCATCGGGGAGCGTATAGCGAGAGGCAGTTCGACGGGGGAGGATGAGCTTTCGCCATCTCGCCTGCATGGATGCATGGGTGCATGCATGGGTGCATGTAGTGCATGAGTGTACAAATGTTTAGGCACATCAGAAATCGTATACCGAGAGGCGGTTGGATGGGGAGGATGAGCTTTCGCCATCTCACCTGCATGGATGCATGGGTGGGTGCAAGGGTGCATGTGAGCAGGGGTGCTCGGTGCATGGGTGCATTGGCACATGGGTGCAGAGGCGAATGGAAGAATGGGAAATACACACGCATAACGAGAGCAGGCCGAATCTGTTTTTTAAGAATTCTGAAAAAACATGGGTGCATGGGCGAATGGAAGTATGGGAAATGCACACGCATAACGAGAGCAGGCCGTCACTCACGTCACCCCTCCCCCCCCCTCTTGCACTGCCCGCCACCTTGAAGTCCATGTCCCCCAGCGCATCCTCTGACCCCAGGTAGGAGAAGGGTGCTTTCAGTAAGAGGGAGACTTTTGAGGCGCCTCAAAAGTCGCCTCAAGAGGCGCCTCAAAAGCTTTCAGTAAGAGGGAGATCCCTTTCTTGCCTGTCACACTCACTCACCCAGTATGTGCAGCCTCCCCTGCTTCGCCCGCTCCAAAGCGGTCCGCATCACGTCAATCGTGTCCAGAGGACGGGGACACCACCGCTGCCACTGCCTCCACCACCTCCGCCACCGCCGCCACCACCTCCACCACCGCCACTGACGCCCCCACTCCCGGTACCATCCCCACCTCCACCGCCACCCCCTCCGCCTCCTCCACCTCCTCCACCGCCTCCCCCGCCGCCCCCTCCACCACCCTTGCTCCCCTTGCCCTTGCTGTTGCGGCGTCTCCCATTAGGGGCAGACGCAGCACCGACCTCCTCAGTGCGAACGAGGTCGACAGCAGCAGCAGAAGCAACAGAGGGGAGAAGGGGGACAAGGGAACACCCCTCAAAGAAAGGGGTGCGACGGTCGCCGCGAGAAGCACCTACAGCTAAGATACTCTTCTCAGCTGCAGTAAGGCGCTCCTCTAGCAGGTCGACTGTCAGTTCGGTGGGGCAAAGGGAGAGAAAGTGGTCCCTGACTGAAGCAAGTGAGTCAGGGAGGCGGGTGACTAGGTAGTAAAGGGTGATGTACATGGGGGGGGGGGTTCTTGGCACAGAACTCAGTGGGAAGGGCAGCGCGGTAGCGGGCGTCACTAGTGCAGAGGTGAGCAGTGAGGTCAGCGACTGTGGCAAAGGCGGCAAGGTCAGGGAAAAGGTACGGCAGCATGAGGCGGCTGAGGGCAGCAGTGGCAGGGGAGGAATAGCGCGCAACTACAGCGTCGTACAAAGACTGAGCAGTCTTGTACTGGCCAAAATGCGCGCGCTCAGCAGGTGGCAGGTGACTACGAACAGCAAGACGAGCAACAGCGTCACGAGTGGTCCACTGCGAGCGAACCGTACTGTCAGCACTGGCAGCAGGGGCAGTAGAGACACCGGATGTGTGATCGAAAAGGGATACCCCATCCCTAGAGTCACACTGAAGAAAGAGCTGCAGGTCGTCAACCCACACGTCAAAGTCAACTGCACGTCCCTCAGCATCAAAGGTGAGAATAGTAGGGCTAGCCATAACAGCAGTAGCAGTAGCAGAAGCAGAGGCAGCAGTAGCAGCAGCAGCAGCAGCAGCAGAGGCAGCAGTGGCAGCAGTGCAGGCAGGGCAGTGCGGCTCAGTAGGGCGGCGCGGCTCGGCTGGGCGGCGCGGCTCGGCAGAGCAGCGCGGCTTGGCTGGGCGGCGCGGCTCGGCTGGGCGGCGCAGCTCAGCCCCTGGCGGCGCGGTGTAGCAGGGCGGCGCGAGTGCTTACCAGGGGCGGGTGCAGGCAGGGCCGCGACTGGGGCGGCAGCAGGGCAGGGCCGCAGCGGGCGGCTGCAGGGCAGGGCCGCAACGGGCGGCGAAGGCAGGGCCGCGAAAGGGCGGCTGCAGGGCAGGGCCAGCGACGGGCGGCGACAGGCAGGGCCGTAACGGGCGAGCGACGGGCCAGCGACGGGCGGCGACGGGCCAGCGACGGGCGACGACGGGCTGGCGACGGGCGGCAACGAGCCGGGACTGGCCGGCGACGGGTCTGGACGGGCCGGGACGGGCCAGTGGCGGCGGCGAAGGCAGGGCCGCGGGGCAGGGCCGCAGCACGCGGCGAAAACAGGGCCGCGACGGGCGGCTTAGGGCCAACGACGGGCGGCTAAGGGCCGCGACGGGCGGCGAAGGGCCGTGAAGGGCCCCAAAGGCAGGGCCTCGACGGGCCTCTAAGGCAGGGCCGCGACGGGCGGCGAAGGGCCGTGACGGGCCCCAAAGGCAGGGCCTCGTCGGGCCTCTAAGGCAGGGCTGCGACGGGCGGCACTAGGGTAGGGCCGCGACGGGCCTCTAAGGCAGGGCCGCGACGGGCCTCTAAGGCAGGGCCGCGACGGGCGGCACAAGGGCAGGGCGCGCGACGGCGCAGGTGAAACAGGCGCGAGGCGCGCTTCGGGCAGGGCAGGAAAAAAAATCGTGGTGGGCCCCTAAAAAAAAAGTTACCATCTGAACCCACGGTTGCAGAAGGGGGAGGAGGAGGAGGAGGAGGAGGAGGAGAGGGGAGGAGGAGGAAAAAATCGTGGTGGGCCCCTAAAAAAAAAGTTACCATCTTCCCTAGAATAACATGCCATAAAGCTCTGGCGGCTGTGGATGGGTGTGTATTCAGTCTGACGCCTGCTCCTTTGCTCAATCCGTCCAGGGCGATGGTGATCCATACCCACTTTGGTGAGGGCGACGATGGTGATCCGCCCCGCAGCCCTTCCCTGTGGGGCTCAACGCTGACTGGTTCACTGGCGTGGTGATGCGCTTCAAGATCAACGAGAAAACGCCAATCAGAGCACCCGTGCTGCCCAAGAGGCTTTCGGTGAGTGAGTGGGTGGGTGGGTGAGTGGGTGAGTGGGTTGGAGAGCATGTGGGACTGAGTGCCGACTGGTTCATTGGTGTGGTCATGCGCTTCAAGATCAACGAGAAAACGCCAATCAGAGCACCCGTGCTGCCCAAGAGGCTCTCGGTGAGTGTGCGTCAGTGTGGGTGAGTGCATGGGAGAGTGTGTGGGGGGAGTGTGTTGGGGGGGAGTGCGTGGGAGAGTGTGTGGGCACGAGTGCATGGGTGGGTGCGTGGGTGAGTGCGTGGGTGAGTGCGTGGGTGAGTGTGTGGGTGAGTGTGTGCAGGGTTGTGTGAACGAGTGCATAAGTAATGTTGACTGGTTCGCAGCACCATCATCTTTCTCTCCCAGCCGGGGAACATTACTTATCCACCATCATCTTCCCCAGCACCATCATCTTTCTCTCCCAGCCGGGGAACATTACTTATCCACCATCATCTTCCCCAGCACCATCATCTTTCTCACCCAGGCGGGGAAGCAGCGCTTGCTCAATAGCTCTTTCTGTTGCCAAGGCTCTTCTTATTGTCACCAAATCCACCGCACTGCACCCCTCTGCCTGCCACTCCTTGCTCCCCTCCCTTTCAGCACATCCCCCCAGTGAACATCTCCCAGGCAGTGAAGCAGCGCTGGCAGGCCATAGTCATTACTCTCGACAAGGCACTCAACAGAACCACCTACATGCCCTTACCCCACACCCACACCCCTCTGTCTGCCACTCCTTGTTCCCCTCCCTTGCAGCACATCCCCCTGGTGAACATCTCCCAGGCAGTGAAGCAACGCTGGCAGGCCATCACCATTCTAGTGGATAAGGAGCTGAACAAGACCACCTACATGCTGTTCAACGGCAAGGGATACGAGGAACCAGCCACTGAGACGCCCAAAGTGGTGAGCATAAAGTGCTTGCTTTGCTTTCAGGAGTGATTTTCATGGTTTGGAATATTCTTGATAAGCTCCTCATTCTCTTGAACTTCTATTTTCAGCAATTGACTGCTTGTATAGGTTTTTCTGTGACCTCCTATTCTCGCCCTTTTCCTACTTTTGTATCTCCTATTTCGCTATTTTCCTCTAATACTTTCTCCCAAACCCTTTAGTTTCTTTCCTCTCTCGTCCACCCTGTTAATGCAGGGCACTTCGGAGCTTTGGCACATCATCAACCCGACATTCGAAACGCACCCCATCCACCTGCACCTCATACAGCACCGCCCCATCTCCCGCCGTCCGTTCAACTCCACCGCGTATCTCAACGGCTCGTGTTCTTTCGAGCCCTCCTCCCCTTTCAAACCCAGCTGCTTCACTGGCCCGGCTCGGCCCGTGCCGCAGCATGAGAGGGGGTGGAAGGACAACACCGTTGCATTCCCGGATAGTGTTCTCACCATCTTTGTGCCGTTCAAGGGGCAGGTGAGATGCGGTGCAATGCGGTCGAGAGGAAGGTCCTTGGGTGGAAGGATAGCGTTCTTTGATACGTTTTCAGCATCTTCGTGCTGTTCAAGGGTCCGGTGAAATGCGGTGCAGTGAGGTGGGGTGGAAGGTGGTAGGGTGATGGATGGCTCTGACGGCTTGTTCGTGCTCAACCCCTTGTGTCTTGGCCAAACCGCCACTTATCCTTGCTTGGCCCAAACCGCCACTTATCCTTGCTTGGCCCAAACCGCCACTTATCCTTGCTTGGCCCAAACCGCCACTTACCTTGCTTGGCCCAAACCGCCACTTATCCTTGCTTGGCCCAAACCGCCACTTATCCTTGCATGTCCCAACCGCCTCTCACTCTTGCTTGTCCCAACCGCCTCTCACCCTTGCATGTCCCAACCGCCTCTCACCCTTCCATGGGCAGGATGGTAAGCCGTTCCCCTTCGACGCAACCAAGGGGCCGGGATATGTGTGGCACTGCCACTCATTGGGACACGAGGACAACGACATGATCTCTTAGAACCGTTATGACTAGACCGTTGATCTGAGCGTCAATGGGAGGCTAATGCGGTTTTGGTTATCACTGCTGTCCCCGGATTGTCTGGCTACTGTATCTTCCTTCCTAGAGGCTGTAGCTGGGGTTCTAACTTGACTAGTGAAGTGGAAATAAATATTTTGAGTGGGATGGGATCTGAAGGAGCTGAAAAGCTAAGCTTCGTGCCTCTTTTCTAATGTTTGGTGCAAACGCGCTTACTAGTAATGATCAAGATCTTTTGATGTCAAATTATATGCATGATATATATGGTTAGGCTGTAGTGGGGTAGCCAATATGGGGTACAGTCCCGTTTAGGGTTTCATACTTGTATCCAACTCTTTCATAGTGCATTCATTCTTGCTGCTAGATTCTGACATGGTTTCAGAGCACTAGGTCCGTAGGACCGTCTAGTTTTTTCCGGGCCCACCTACCGTTGCGGTTACCGCGCTACCCCACGTGTTGTCCTGCGCGCCCCTTCCCCTGCCTTGCCTTGTGACGAGCTGCGCTGCGCGCGCCGTCCTGCAGCCCTCGCGCTGCCTACTGTTGCCCTAGCTACGCGCGCACCGCCCTGCAGACCCGTAAGGCCAGCGCGCCGCCCCTGCAGGCCCGTAAGGCCAGCGCGCCGCCCCTGCAGGCCCGTAAGGCCCGCGCGCCGTCCCTGCAGGCCCGTAAGGCCCGCGCGCCGCCCCTGCAGGCCCGTCACGCCCGCGAGCCGCCCCTGCAGGCCCGTCAGGCCAGAGCGCCACCCCGCCCTGCAGCCGATGCGGCCCCGCCAGGCCGCTGTCGCGAACCCGCCCTGCCGCTGACGCGGCCCCGCCCTGTCGCTGACGCGGCCCCGCCCTGCCGATGTCGCAGCCCCGCCCTGCCGCCGACGCAGCCCCGCCAGGTCGCTGTCGCGGCCCCGAACTGCCGCTGACGCGGCCCCGCCAGGCCGCTGTCGCGGCCCCGCCCTGCCGCTGACGCGGCCCCGCCCTGCCGCCGACGCGGCCCCGCCCTGCCGCCGACGCGGCCCCGCCCTGCCGCCGACGCGGCCCCGCCCTGCCGCCGACGCGGCCCCGCCCTGCCGCCGACGCGGCCCCGCCCTGCCGCCGACACGGCCCCGCCCTGCAGCAGCTGCCGCGGCCCTGCCCTGCCGCTGTCGTGGCCCCAGCCCTGCAGCTGACGCGGCCCTACACTGCTGCCGCTGTTGCGGCCCCGCCGTCGCCGCCGTCGTGCGCCTACCCTACCGCCGTCCGCCGAGCGCCGGCCGTGCTCGCCCGGCGAGCGCCTGCCCTTCCCGCCACTGGTGAGCACATGCCCTACCCGTGCTTCCCGCGCGCCCGCCTTGTTAGCGCGCTGCCGCCCCATCTGCCTGCCTGCCTGCCTGCCTGCCTGTCGCGCCTGCCCTGCCAGCACTGCAACTGCTGTTACTTCTGTTACTGCTGCTAGGCTGCTGCCGCTGCTATTGCTGCTACTGGCGGTGGCCAGATGCAGCTCCAGCGACGTCAACGCGAGTCTCTCACGCCCCAGCAGCTTCGTGAGTGGTACGCTAGTTGGGGTTGTGGTGGTAGCCGTCGTGGTTGTCGCTCTGGAGCTGGTCAGTCGGGAGCGTCTGGCAGTGGCCAGCTGCAGCTGCAGCGGCGTCCGCGCGAGACACTTACGCCCCAGCAGCTTCGTGAGTGGTACGCTCAGAGTAGAGGGTCTCGGAGTACCGTTCGCTGCCCGTACGTCATTCGCACAGGTGATTGGGCTGGTCAGGCTTGCGGGACGCTTCGTCACACACAGTCCCGCTGCTTCGCCCGTCTGAGCGACGCCTGGCGTACCGAGTTTGGCGACGAGGCTGAGCTCCCCACCTGGCTGGAGCTGCTTAGGCAGAGGGTAGATATATTTGCTCTTGACTATGATGCCATTCTCACTGCCATGTATGCATTGCCTACTAGTGCTGACGGTGCCTGTTACCTGTGCGTACCGCCTGACCCAGGTTTAGAGCCTGCTGCTCTAGGTGCTGGTGAGGCTGCTGCTCTAGGTGCTAGTGCGTCTCCTGCTCTAGGTGCTGGTGAGGCTGCTGCTCCAGGTGCTGGTGAGTCTACTCTCTCTAGTACTGCGCCTGCTGAGGCCTTGTACACCTTCACACTTGACTTAGGTGCTTCCCGCTCCTTCTTTCGCGACAGCACCACCCTCACGCCGCTCAGTCGGCCAGTTGTAGTCTCCCTGGCAGACCCCTCTGGGGGTCCGGTCCTTGCGCACTCCTCCACGGTCCTGCCATGTCCGGCGATCCCATCTGGCTCCCTGTCAGGTCTTCACCTCCCCTCGTTCTCTACGAACTTGGTGAGTGGTGCTGACCTCCAGGACCAGTGGGTTGACCAGTTCACTCCTGGAGGTCAGCGCGTGACCCACTGTACGTGTTCCAGGACGGGCCGGCACCTGGCCACGTTTACCCGTGGGCCTGGCTCGAGTCTGTACACACTGACTACTGTGTCCCCTCAGGTCGCTGCGTCTGCATCTGCGTCAGTTCAGCTAGCGGCCCCCTGCTCATGTCGCGCTTTGTCGCACCAGACCCTCCTTTGGCACCACCATCTTGGTCACCCCTCGGTGCAACGCTTTCGTAGCATGCACCGCCGTGTTCTTGTCTCTGGTCTTCCCAGGATTCTCCCTCCCCTCCCACCCTCGCCTGCTCCTCCCTGTCTTCCATGTGTCGAGGGGCGGCAGCGCGCCGCTCCTCACTCCTCCTCGTTTCCCCCGACGACTGCTCCCCTGCAGACCCTGCACATGGACGTGTGGGGCCCAGCCCGCGTCAGGGGGCAGGACCGCGAGCAGTACTTTCTGCTGGTTGTTGACGACTACTCGCGTTACACCACGGTCTTCCCCTTGCGCACCAAGGGTGAAGTCCCTGATGTTTTGATCCCTTGGATCCGTGCTGCCCGTCTCCAGCTCCGCGAGCGGTTCGGGACGGAGTTTCCCGTCCTGCGTCTGCACTCTGACAGAGGTGGGGAGTTTTCCTTTGACCTTCTGCAGAGCTTTTGTCGTGGGGAGGGCATTCGCCAGACGTTCACGCTTCCGGCCTCTCCGCAGCAGAATGGGGTTGCTGAGCGCCGTATTGGCTTGGTCATGGAGGTCGCTCGTACCTCCATGGTCCATGCGGCTGCCCCCCATTTACTGTGGCCGTTTGCGGTCCGCTACGCCGCGCATCAGCTCAACCTCTGGCCCCGTGTCTCCTTGCCGGAGACCTCGCCCACACTGCGGTGGACGGGGGAGGTTGGCGATGCGTCGGTGTTCCGGGTCTGGGGTTCTCGTGCCTGCGTCTGCGATACCTCCGCGGACAAGCTCTCCGCCCGTGCTGTTCCCTGTGTCTTCCTTGGCTTTGTCCCTGACGCGCCTGGTTGGTAGTTTTACCACCCCACCTCGCGCCGTCTCTTCCCCTCTCAGGACGTCACGTTCGACGAGTCGGTTCCCTTAAACAGTCTCTTCCCCTACCGCACTGCCCCTCTCCCCCCCCCCCGCCGCTCTTCCTCGCTCCAGGTGCTCCCTAGGTAGACCCCCTCCCCGCTCCCGGTCCTGCTCCTTCAGGTGTGTCTCAGGTAGACCCTCCTCCCTTGACTGCGCCGGTTGAGGTCACTAGTGACTCAGGTCCTGCTGAGGGTGGTCCTGCTCGGGGTGCGGAGCCTGGGGGTGCTGAGCCTGGGGTTGCGGAGCGTGGAGGTGCTGAGCCTGGGGGTGCGGAGCCTGGAGGTGCTGAGCTTGGGCGTGAGGAGTCTGGGGGTGCTGAGCCTGGGGGTACTGAGTCTGGGGGTGCTGCACCTGGGGGCGCTGAGGCGTCTGGTGAGCAGTCTCCCTGGAGCGGCCGTCTCCGTAGTCGCTCCGCTGGTGCCTCGCCGCTGCACTCTCGTCGTCGTCTCCCTCTCTCCCCACAGCAGCTGCGTGAGTGGTACGTTAGCCGTCAGGGTCGAGCTGCTGGAGCTGGGGGCCCTGCTGCGGGAGACGCTGGTGTTGGAGGCACAAGAGTCGGTGCTGTCCCTCTCTCCCCACAGCAGCTGCGTGAGTGGTATGTTAGCCGTCAGGGTCGCGCTGCTGGAGCTAGGGGCCCTGCTGTGGGAGGCGCTGGAGCTGGTGACTCAGCTACTGGAGTTGTTTCTACTGGAGTTCCAGGAGCAGCTGGTCCCCGAGGTGCTAGTACTGGAGGTACTGGAGCTGCTGGGACTGGAGGTCCTGCTGGACCTGGAGGTGCTGCTGTCGACTCTGAGGTTGGAGGCCCTGGAGCTGGAGGTGCCGGTTCTGGGGGTGCTCGTGCTGGTGGCGCTGGTGTTGGAGGTTCTGGAGCTGCTGCGGGTGCTGGCGCTGGAGGTTCTGGAGTTGTTGGAGGTGCTGGCGCTGGTGGCGCCGGAGCTGGAGGTTCTGGAGCTGCTGCGGGTGCTGGCGCTGGAGGTTCTGGAGCTGCAGGAGGTGCTGGAGCTACTAGTGCTGGTGGCACTGCACCGCCGCGACTGTTCTTTGCTCCGCCGTCACCTTCGTCTCTGCCACCGCCTGGCTCCGTGCTTCGCCAGGTTCTTAGCCTCCCGTCTTCTTCTGGTCTTCCGTTACAGCCTTGCTCACAGTTGCCTGCTCCTTCTCCTTACACTGAGCTGAGCGTCGTGAGCCTGCGTCTCGTCTTGTCTCGCTTGTTTGCACTGGTCATACTGGTCGTCGTGTTCCTCGTGAGCGTCCGCCGGCTGTCCCCGGCACACACCTCATGGCCTTGCGTCCTTCCTCTGCTCTGCATCGTCTTCCCCTGCCGTCTCCTCCTGTGTCTTCTCTGCCTGTCGTTGCTGACCCTGAGTCTGACCGGTTTCGTACTGAGCACCCTACTGTCACGTGTCTACTAGCCACTGTTGTCACTGACCCGTCGTTTGAGTCTGCTGCTGCGTCTGCCTTAGTCGCTGAGCTTGTTGACTTTGTTGCTGCCTGTCGTCTAGACTACGCCGCTAGCCTTGTTGCTGACTCTGAGTCTGTCTGTCCTCCGTCCGTCGGGGGTGAGTGTGCTCTTGCCACGGACGTCCTTGAGGACAGGCAGGAGGACCTTGAGTGTCTTGCAGCCGCTGCGCCTCATCTCGTGCCCATGCTGCTTGCCCCTGAGGGAGACCCGGATGCACCAGACATCCCGACTCCGCGTTCTTACGCTGAGGCGATCGCGGGTCCCTACTCCTCTCAGTGGCAGTCAGCCATGGACGCAGAGATGGCATCCTGGAAGTCCACAGGCACTTACGTCGACGAGGTTCCCCCTCCTGGGGCGAACATCGTCGGTGGCATGTGGATTTTCCGGGTGAAGCGGCCCCCAGGTTCTCCGCCTGTCTTCAAGGCACGTTACGTTGCTCGAGGCTTCAGACAGCGGGAGGGAGTCGACTTCTTTCAGACCTTCTCCCCCACCCCGAAGATGACCACTCTTCGGGTGCTGCTGCACGTTGCCGCTCAGCGTGACTACGAGCTTCACTCTCTTGACTTCAGCACAGCCTTCTTACAGGGCAGCCTGCACGAGGAGATCTGGCTGCGCCGCCCACCTGGCTTCACTGGGTCGTTCCCTCCTGGTACCCAGTGGAGCCTCCGGCGGCCAGTCTACGGTCTCCGCCAGGCGCCACGTGAGTGGCACGACACACTGAGGACGACACTTGTGGCTCTTGGGTTTGCTCCGTCGACTGCTGACCCGTCGCTGTTTCTGCGCACCGACACTTCGCTGCCGCCATTCTACATCCTCGTGTACGTTGACGACTTGGTCTTTGCCACTGCTGACACTGAGGCTCTCGCTCACGTGAAGTCGGAGCTGCAGAAGAGACACACGTGCACAGACCTGGGTGAGCTGCGCAGCTACCTTGGCTTGCAGATCACCCGGGACAGAGCACGCCGCACCATCACACTGACTCAGTCACACATGGTGCAGCAGGTCCTTCAGCGCTTCGGCTTCACCTTGTCCTCGGCACAGGCCACTCCTCTGGCTACAGGTCACTCGCTCTGAGTTCCACTTTTGGACGAGTCCGTAGAGCCGAGTGGTCCTTACCCAGAGCTAGTGGGCTGCCTCATGTACCTGATGACCTGCACTCGTCCTGACCTTGCGTACCCTCTTGGCCTTCTGGCTCGCTACGTGGCTCCTGGTCGGCACCGAAAGGTGCACATGGATGCTGCTAAGAGGGTACTACGCTACTTGTGCAGTACATCGGGCATGGGGCTCGTGCTCGGAGGACGGGGCGACGTTGTCCTCACTGGCCACACAGACGCTTCTTGGGTTGACGACTTGGCTACGCAGCGGTCGTCACAGGGTTACACCTTCTGCCTTGGCTTTGGCTCTGTTTCTCGGCGGTCTACACGCTCTTCCTCTGTTCTCAGCTCCAGTTGCGAGGCTGAGATCTACGCCACAGCCATGGCTGCACAGGAGTTACGCTGGCTTATCTACCTACTAACCGACTTGGGAGAGCGGCCTCGTTCTCCTCCAGTGCTGTACGTAGACAACAACGCCGCCATCGCCTTGTGTCAGAAGCACAGACTGGAGCACAGAACGAAGCACATCGCTCTGCGTTACTTCCTTGCTCGAGAGTTGCAGCAGCGTGGTCAGCTTCGACTTGCTCACGTGGCCACTCAGGCCAACACTGCTGATATATTCACCAAGGCACTTCCGCCAGGTGATCATCAACGCTTTTTTACTTTGTGGGGCCTTGTGCCTACGTTTCCTCACTTGCTCCTGGTACGTAGAGATCACTGTGCTGTTGTTGTTGCATATATACCTCTGCATGTGAACTGGCCTTGTGGCCCTTTGCTTGTGCTCAGTATGTGTGGTGACGTTGTGATCCACCCTGAGCTTGCTTTGCTTCTCTAGACTGGTCTTGTGACCCCTTGCTCTCCCCCACTTTGCCTATGGGGGTGTGTCACATTGTATGCATGATAAATATGGTTAGGCTGTAGTGGGGTAGCCAATATGGGGTACAGCCCCGTTTAGGGTTTCATACTTGTACCCAACTCTTTCATAGTGCATTCATTCCTGTTGCTAGATTCTGACATTTGAAACCAGCATGCGGAATACAGGCACAGCCCAACCAAGCTGGTTTTGTGTCCTACTGTTACGGGTGCAATGAATCGAAGTAGCGAGAATTGCACTAAGGTGTCAAACGAGTACAAAATGTGAGCGAAGGCATGAGCGAACATTTATACGCGAAACATACAAACGGTAACCCGGTGCGTGCGAGCTAGCTAGTGCTACGCTGGCAGCGAGGCTCGGGCTAGTCCCGAAGCGTAGGCCGACACGGCCGGTCCAGCAGTGCGAGGTTTGGTGAAACAGTGCGCGCGAAGTCGGCAAAGCCCCGTTAGCAGTAACGGGCGAACAAAGGCTGCTGCTGTACGCGATGTTGCAGGGCGCGCTAAGGAATATCGAGAAAAATCCTTACAGTAACCCCCCCCTCAAGAAGCCCCCTCCGCTACGCGAGTACGTGTATATCGCGGAAACTCCGGCTCCTCAGGTACACTTGCAGTGCAGGGTGGTTTTCGATGTTGGCCAGGGGCACCCAACTGTCCTCAGTTGGCGTGCGGTCCTTCCAGCGAACGAGGAATTCAATCCTCCTGATTCCCGTGGGGTGTCGAATCCGATGGCTCAGGATTTTTTCGGGCTCGATGATCGGCTCCGATGCAGGGCGAGTCATGGATGGCGGGAGGTGACGATGCAGTTGGCTTGTGGTTGGGATGTATGGGCGGAGCAAGCTGACGTGGAATGAAGGGCTGATGTACCAGTCCGTCGGCAACAGTAGGTGGGCTGTTACTGGGGTAATCATGTGGCTGATTTGGAACGGTCCACAGTAGCGGGGTCGTAATTTCGGTACGACGGGCAGTCTTAAGTTCTGTGTGTCGAGCAGTATGTAGTCTCCTGACTGGTACGTGACTGGGCGGCGGTGGCGGTCAGCGTTGCGCTTAGCGATGACATTGGCTTTTTTAATTGCTTCTGCGGCTCTGGTGCGGGCAGCTTGCAGAATTTCGGCGAATTGCTGTGCACGTGGTGTTGGGTTGTCCGTACTCGGCGTCATGGGCACTGTAGGGTTTTGCCCGTAGTTCATGTAGAAAGGGGTTCCAGAAGTTGCTGGTGAACTTCGTGTCGCGGTCGCTGATAATCGCGGCTGGTATCCCGTGCAGTCGAACGACGGCTGCGATGAACAGGCGAGCGGTTTCTTCGGCTGAGATTGATTTCTTGCACGCAGCGAAGTGTGCCATCTTCGTCGACCTGTCAACGACGACCATAACTGCCTCGTTACTCCCAGGGTTCAAAGGTAACCCTGTGACGAATTCCATGGTAACCTGCTGCCAGGCGCGCTCCATGCAAACGGTAACGTGGTGCGTGCGAGCTAGCTAGTGCTACGCTAGCAGCGAGGCTCGGGCTAGTCCCGAAGCGTAGGCCAACACGGCCGGTCCAACTATGCGAGGTATGGTGAAACAGTGCGCGCGAAGTCGGCAAAGCCCCGTTAGCAGTAACGGGCGAACAACGGCTGCTGCTGTACGCGATGTTGCAGGGCGCGCTAAGGAATATCGAGAAGATTCCTTACATCTACCTAATGTAGATAATGTAAGGCGAAATCATGACTTCGTCTTTGTACATTTTGCGGGTGGTAACCGTAACATCTTCTCATATCGCTTGCCGTTGAGTTCGCGCGACAACACCTTCGTCCTGCACCCACGGTTTTGCGATTCAGATCGACGAATGTTAGGTGCCGCCATCCGCCGTGAACCAATCGGATAGCTGACAGGATTCCATCTTGAACAGAACAATATTCCTTCATCTTGGCAAGATTCCTTCTCTGAAATATTCCTTCCATGCCGAAGCGCACATCAATGTGGTTCTGCCGTTACAGCGAAAAATGTGACGACAGACCTCGTTCAAATTCGTGAAGACATGTTTAACGACGACTTTGGGATAGGTAACTGGGCGTCGTATCCAATTGGTAATCCCATCTGTTGCGATAATACGGTAACCATTGAAAGATTCCTTTGTCGCCAGTGTAGAGTGTCACCCGACCCGAATGGGACTCGGCAGCTTTCCCCCCCCACGCCCCAGCCCGTGACCCCGAAGCGCGCAATTGGAAATGTCAAGCATACATAAATCGACCCCTCTACTCCAAATGTCATCACTCTCTCAGTTCCTGCACTCTCTTCTATCTTACAGTGAGCTTTGTTCCGATCAAACCCTGAGTCTTTCTACCTTCAGGGCACCATGGCTCACTCCCTTCACACCCTCGCGGTGGCTCTCCTGATCGCTTCTTTCTCGTCGAATGCGTTCGCTGGGTTCATGGGCGGAGCATCAACCTTCGCAGGGGTAAGCCTTCATAAAACCGACCCCTTCCCCCCTCACATTGCATATCGTCTCGCTCAGCTAGCGTTAATTCCATCTCGTAAGTGCATAGCGAATGCGGCACCGGCTTACATTTTCCACTGACCCAATTCTTGTTTGCGTTTCCCTATTCATCCTTACAGGCCGGCAAGGCATTGGTGGATGCGTATAACAGAGGCAAGAAACCCGCCCAGCAAGTCGTACCATACGACCCGGTGGGATCCGGCGCCGGAATCACCGGCTTCAACGGCGGCACGTACCAGATCGCCATCTCCGACGACCCTATGACCTCCACGCAGGAAGGGAGCGCTCCCCCCAAGATCACCGTTCCGCTCTGCGTCTCCACCTTCAGTTTCTTCGTAAACGGCGCGCCCGGCGTCGTCCTGACGGTGGCCCAGACGTATTCTATCTACAAGGGAGACATCACCGTGTGGTCCGGCGTCGCCGGCGCAAAGGGCAAGGTCGCGGGCGCTATCACCCGCGTGGCGCGCAGCGACAAGTCTGGATCTACGGCGATTGTGAAGACTCTGTGGAGCAAGGCTCTGGGCGCCACGTACACCGAGAACACGGACGTCACTGCGATGGGTTACACTGGCCTCACTAAGGTGGACGGTACGACGGGCATGTGCACTGCGATTGCCAAGACCAAGGGCGCCATTGGTTACGCGTTCACCGGTTCCTGCGCCCCGCGTTACCTTACGTTTCTGAGGAACGCCAACGGTGCGGCCGTCAAGGCCCCTGCTTGGAACCCCTCCCTTGCCATCCCCGCCACTCCTCCCGCCGCGCCTGACGCGTCGTGGGCGAGCGTTGATTTCGTGTGGAAGGCCGGAGCCAAGACCCCTCCCATGGTGTCCATGGAGTTTGCCTTCATCAGGAAGTCGCCCTCCACCCCGGTCGCAAAGGCCTTCATGCTGTATATGATTGGCGCTATGAGGACAAACAAGTATGGGTTCAACCCGACGCCTCCTGCTTGGATCAACCCGTCCAAGGCCATGGTGGTCGCGATTAAGTAAATTACTAGCAGTGTGAGGAGATGATGGCTCTGGGCCATGGCTAGCTGGACCGGCACGTGCATGCGATGCGTTGTCAGCGATTTTGTTCTCTTCGAGGCTTCATGCGATTTTATGTGGTTTCCCTTTATCCCCCGCAACGTGATTGGTAGAACATCGGTGAGATGTGATGTATGCATGCATACTTATCTGAAACTTTGCGAGCCAATACTAGAATAACATGCCATAAAGCTCTGGCGGCTGTGGATGGGTGTGTATTCAGTCTGACGCCTGCTGCTTTGCTCAATCCGTCCAGGGCGATGGTGATCCATACCCACTTTGGTGAGGGCGACGATGGTGATCCGCCCCGCAGCCCTTCCCTGTGGGGCTCAACGCTGACTGGTTCACTGGCGTGGTGATGCGCTTCAAGATCAACGAGAAAACGCCAATCAGAGCACCCGTGCTGCCCAAGAGGCTTTCGGTGAGTGAGTGGGTGGGTGGGTGAGTGGGTGAGTGGGTTGGAGAGCATGTGGGACTGAGTGCCGACTGGTTCATTGGTGTGGTCATGCGCTTCAAGATCAACGAGAAAACGCCAATCAGAGCACCCGTGCTGCCCAAGAGGCTCTCGGTGAGTGTGCGTCAGTGTGGGTGAGTGCGTGGGAGAGTGTGTGGGGGGAGTGTGTTGGGGGGGAGTGCGTGGGAGAGTGTGTGGGCGCGAGTGCATGGGTGGGTGCGTGGGTGAGTGCGTGGGTGAGTGCGTGGGTGAGTGTGTGGGTGAGTGTGTGCAGGGTTGCGTGAACGAGTGCATAAGTAATGTTGACTGGTTCGCAGCACCATCATCTTTCTCTCCCAGCCGGGGAACATTACTTATCCACCATCATCTTCCCCAGCACCATCATCTTTCTCTCCCAGCCGGGGAACATTACTTATCCACCATCATCTTCCCCAGCACCATCATCTTTCTCACCCAGGCGGGGAAGCAGCGCTTGCTCAATAGCTCTTTCTGTTGCCAAGGCTCTTCTTATTGTCACCGAATCCACCGCACTGCACCCCTCTGCCTGCCACTCCTTGCTCCCCTCCCTTTCAGCACATCCCCCCAGTGAACATCTCCCAGGCAGTGAAGCAGCGCTGGCAGGCCATAGTCATTACTCTCGACAAGGCACTCAACAGAACCACCTACATGCCCTTACCCCACACCCACACCCCTCTGTCTGCCACTCCTTGTTCCCCTCCCTTGCAGCACATCCCCCTGGTGAACATCTCCCAGGCAGTGAAGCAACGCTGGCAGGCCATCACCATTCTAGTGGATAAGGAGCTGAACAAGACCACCTACATGCTGTTCAACGGCAAGGGATACGAGGAACCAGCCACTGAGACGCCCAAAGTGGTGAGCATAAAGTGCTTGCTTTGCTTTCAGGAGTGATTTTCATGGTTTGGAATATTCTTGATAAGCTCCTCATTCTCTTGAACTTCTATTTTCAGCAATTGACTGCTTGTATAAGTTTTTCTGTGACCTCCTATTCTCGCCCTTTTCCTACTTTTGTATCTCCTATTTCGCTATTTTCCTCTAATACTTTCTCCCAAACCCTTTAGTTTCTTTCCTCTCTCGTCCACCCTGTTAATGCAGGGCACTTCGGAGCTTTGGCACATCATCAACCCGACATTCGAAACGCACCCCATCCACCTGCACCTCATACAGCACCGCCCCATCTCCCGCCGTCCGTTCAACTCCACCGCGTATCTCAACGGCTCGTGTTCTTTCGAGCCCTCCTCCCCTTTCAAACCCAGCTGCTTCACTGGCCCGGCTCGGCCCGTGCCGCAGCATGAGAGGGGGTGGAAGGACAACACCGTTGCATTCCCGGATAGTGTTCTCACCATCTTTGTGCCGTTCAAGGGGCAGGTGAGATGCGGTGCAATGCGGTCGAGAGGAAGGTCCTTGGGTGGAAGGATAGCGTTCTTTGATACGTTTTCAGCATCTTCGTGCTGTTCAAGGGTCCGGTGAAATGCGGTGCAGTGAGGTGGGGTGGAAGGTGGTAGGGTGATGGATGGCTCTGACGGCTTGTTCGTGCTCAACCCCTTGTGTCTTGGCCAAACCGCCACTTATCCTTGCTTGGCCCAAACCGCCACTTATCCTTGCTTGGCCCAAACCGCCACTTATCCTTGCTTGGCCCAAACCGCCACTTACCTTGCTTGGCCCAAACCGCCACTTATCCTTGCTTGGCCCAAACCGCCACTTATCCTTGCATGTCCCAACCGCCTCTCACTCTTGCTTGTCCCAACCGCCTCTCACCCTTGCATGTCCCAACCGCCTCTCACCCTTCCATGGGCAGGATGGTAAGCCGTTCCCCTTCGACGCAACCAAGGGGCCGGGATATGTGTGGCACTGCCACTCATTGGGACACGAGGACAACGACATGATCTCTTAGAACCGTTATGACTAGACCGTTGATCTGAGCGTCAATGGGAGGCTAATGCGGTTTTGGTTATCACTGCTGTCCCCGGATTGTCTGGCTACTGTATCTTCCTTCCTAGAGGCTGTAGCTGGGGTTCTAACTTGACTAGTGAAGTGGAAATAAATATTTTGAGTGGGATGGGATCTGAAGGAGCTGAAAAGCTAAGCTTCGTGCCTCTTTTCTAATGTTTGGTGCAAACGCGCTTACTAGTAATGATCAAGATCTTTTGATGTCAAATTATATGCATGATATATATGGTTAGGCTGTAGTGGGGTAGCCAATATGGGGTACAGTCCCGTTTAGGGTTTCATACTTGTATCCAACTCTTTCATAGTGCATTCATTCTTGCTGCTAGATTCTGACATGGTTTCAGAGCACTAGGTCCGTAGGACCGTCTAGTTTTTTCCGGGCCCACCTACCGTTGTGGTTACCGCGCTACCCCACGTGTTGTCCTGCGCGCCCCTTCCCCTGCCTTGCCTTGTGACGAGCTGCGCTGCGCGCGCCGTCCTGCAGCCCTCGCGCTGCCTACTGTTGCCCTAGCTACGCGCGCACCGCCCTGCAGACCCGTAAGGCCAGCGCGCCGCCCCTGCAGGCCCGTAAGGCCAGCGCGCCGCCCCTGCAGGCCCGTAAGGCCCGCGCGCCGTCCCTGCAGGCCCGTAAGGCCCGCGCGCCGCCCCTGCAGGCCCGTCACGCCCGCGAGCCGCCCCTGCAGGCCCGTCAGGCCAGAGCGCCACCCCGCCCTGCAGCCGATGCGGCCCCGCCAGGCCGCTGTCGCGAACCCGCCCTGCCGCTGACGCGGCCCCGCCCTGTCGCTGACGCGGCCCCGCCCTGCCGATGTCGCAGCCCCGCCCTGCCGCCGACGCAGCCCCGCCAGGTCGCTGTCGCGGCCCCGAACTGCCGCTGACGCGGCCCCGCCAGGCCGCTGTCGCGGCCCCGCCCTGCCGCTGACGCGGCCCCGCCCTGCCGCCGACGCGGCCCCGCCCTGCCGCCGACGCGGCCCCGCCCTGCCGCCGACGCGGCCCCGCCCTGCCGCCGACGCGGCCCCGCCCTGCCGCCGACGCGGCCCCGCCCTGCCGCCGACACGGCCCCGCCCTGCAGCAGCTGCCGCGGCCCTGCCCTGCCGCTGTCGTGGCCCCAGCCCTGCAGCTGCCGCGGCCCTGCCCTGCCGCTGTCGTGGCCCCAGCCCTGCAGCTGACGCGGCCCTACACTGCTGCCGCTGTTGCGGCCCCGCCGTCGCCGCCGTCGTGCGCCTACCCTACCGCCGTCCGCCGAGCGCCGGCCGTGCTCGCCCGGCGAGCGCCTGCCCTTCCCGCCACTGGTGAGCACATGCCCTACCCGTGCTTCCCGCGCGCCCGCCTTGTTAGCGCGCTGCCGCCCCATCTGCCTGCCTGCCTGCCTGCCTGCCTGTCGCGCCTGCCCTGCCAGCACTGCAACTGCTGTTACTTCTGTTACTGCTGCTAGGCTGCTGCCGCTGCTATTGCTGCTACTGGCGGTGGCCAGATGCAGCTCCAGCGACGTCAACGCGAGTCTCTCACGCCCCAGCAGCTTCGTGAGTGGTACGCTAGTTGGGGTTGTGGTGGTAGCCGTCGTGGTTGTCGCTCTGGAGCTGGTCAGTCGGGAGCGTCTGGCAGTGGCCAGCTGCAGCTGCAGCGGCGTCCGCGCGAGACACTTACGCCCCAGCAGCTTCGTGAGTGGTACGCTCAGAGTAGAGGGTCTCGGAGTACCGTTCGCTGCCCGTACGTCATTCGCACAGGTGATTGGGCTGGTCAGGCTTGCGGGACGCTTCGTCACACACAGTCCCGCTGCTTCGCCCGTCTGAGCGACGCCTGGCGTACCGAGTTTGGCGACGAGGCTGAGCTCCCCACCTGGCTGGAGCTGCTTAGGCAGAGGGTAGATATATTTGCTCTTGACTATGATGCCATTCTCACTGCCATGTATGCATTGCCTACTAGTGCTGACGGTGCCTGTTACCTGTGCGTACCGCCTGACCCAGGTTTAGAGCCTGCTGCTCTAGGTGCTGGTGAGGCTGCTGCTCTAGGTGCTAGTGCGTCTCCTGCTCTAGGTGCTGGTGAGGCTGCTGCTCCAGGTGCTGGTGAGTCTACTCTCTCTAGTACTGCGCCTGCTGAGGCCTTGTACACCTTCACACTTGACTTAGGTGCTTCCCGCTCCTTCTTTCGCGACAGCACCACCCTCACGCCGCTCAGTCGGCCAGTTGTAGTCTCCCTGGCAGACCCCTCTGGGGGTCCGGTCCTTGCGCACTCCTCCACGGTCCTGCCATGTCCGGCGATCCCATCTGGCTCCCTGTCAGGTCTTCACCTCCCCTCGTTCTCTACGAACTTGGTGAGTGGTGCTGACCTCCAGGACCAGTGGGTTGACCAGTTCACTCCTGGAGGTCAGCGCGTGACCCACTGTACGTGTTCCAGGACGGGCCGGCACCTGGCCACGTTTACCCGTGGGCCTGGCTCGAGTCTGTACACACTGACTACTGTGTCCCCTCAGGTCGCTGCGTCTGCATCTGCGTCAGTTCAGCTAGCGGCCCCCTGCTCATGTCGCGCTTTGTCGCACCAGACCCTCCTTTGGCACCACCATCTTGGTCACCCCTCGGTGCAACGCTTTCGTAGCATGCACCGCCGTGTTCTTGTCTCTGGTCTTCCCAGGATTCTCCCTCCCCTCCCACCCTCGCCTGCTCCTCCCTGTCTTCCATGTGTCGAGGGGCGGCAGCGCGCCGCTCCTCACTCCTCCTCGTTTCCCCCGACGACTGCTCCCCTGCAGACCCTGCACATGGACGTGTGGGGCCCAGCCCGCGTCAGGGGGCAGGACCGCGAGCAGTACTTTCTGCTGGTTGTTGACGACTACTCGCGTTACACCACGGTCTTCCCCTTGCGCACCAAGGGTGAAGTCCCTGATGTTTTGATCCCTTGGATCCGTGCTGCCCGTCTCCAGCTCCGCGAGCGGTTCGGGACGGAGTTTCCCGTCCTGCGTCTGCACTCTGACAGAGGTGGGGAGTTTTCCTTTGACCTTCTGCAGAGCTTTTGTCGTGGGGAGGGCATTCGCCAGACGTTCACGCTTCCGGCCTCTCCGCAGCAGAATGGGGTTGCTGAGCGCCGTATTGGCTTGGTCATGGAGGTCGCTCGTACCTCCATGGTCCATGCGGCTGCCCCCCATTTACTGTGGCCGTTTGCGGTCCGCTACGCCGCGCATCAGCTCAACCTCTGGCCCCGTGTCTCCTTGCCGGAGACCTCGCCCACACTGCGGTGGACGGGGGAGGTTGGCGATGCGTCGGTGTTCCGGGTCTGGGGTTCTCGTGCCTGCGTCTGCGATACCTCCGCGGACAAGCTCTCCGCCCGTGCTGTTCCCTGTGTCTTCCTTGGCTTTGTCCCTGACGCGCCTGGTTGGTAGTTTTACCACCCCACCTCGCGCCGTCTCTTCCCCTCTCAGGACGTCACGTTCGACGAGTCGGTTCCCTTAAACAGTCTCTTCCCCTACCGCACTGCCCCTCTCCCCCCCCCCCGCCGCTCTTCCTCGCTCCAGGTGCTCCCCAGGTAGACCCCCTCCCCGCTCCCGGTCCTGCTCCTTCAGGTGTGTCTCAGGTAGACCCTCCTCCCTTGACTGCGCCGGTTGAGGTCACTAGTGACTCAGGTCCTGCTGAGGGTGGTCCTGCTCGGGGTGCGGAGCCTGGGGGTGCTGAGCCTGGGGTTGCGGAGCGTGGAGGTGCTGAGCCTGGGGGTGCGGAGCCTGGAGGTGCTGAGCTTGGGCGTGAGGAGTCTGGGGGTGCTGAGCCTGGGGGTACTGAGTCTGGGGGTGCTGCACCTGGGGGCGCTGAGGCGTCTGGTGAGCAGTCTCCCTGGAGCGGCCGTCTCCGTAGTCGCTCCGCTGGTGCCTCGCCGCTGCACTCTCGTCGTCGTCTCCCTCTCTCCCCACAGCAGCTGCGTGAGTGGTACGTTAGCCGTCAGGGTCGAGCTGCTGGAGCTGGGGGCCCTGCTGCGGGAGACGCTGGTGTTGGAGGCACAAGAGTCGGTGCTGTCCCTCTCTCCCCACAGCAGCTGCGTGAGTGGTATGTTAGCCGTCAGGGTCGCGCTGCTGGAGCTAGGGGCCCTGCTGCGGGAGGCGCTGGAGCTGGTGACTCAGCTACTGGAGTTGTTTCTACTGGAGTTCCAGGAGCAGCTGGTCCCCGAGGTGCTAGTACTGGAGGTACTGGAGCTGCTGGGACTGGAGGTCCTGCTGGACCTGGAGGTGCTGCTGTCGACTCTGAGGTTGGAGGCCCTGGAGCTGGAGGTGCCGGTTCTGGGGGTGCTCGTGCTGGTGGCGCTGGTGCTGGAGGTTCTGGAGCTGCTGCGGGTGCTGGCGCTGGAGGTTCTGGAGTTGTTGGAGGTGCTGGCGCTGGTGGCGCCGGAGCTGGAGGTTCTGGAGCTGCTGCGGGTGCTGGCGCTGGAGGTTCTGGAGCTGCAGGAGGTGCTGGAGCTACTAGTGCTGGTGGCACTGCACCGCCGCGACTGTTCTTCGCTCCGCCGTCACCTTCGTCTCTGCCACCGCCTGGCTCCGTGCTTCGCCAGGTTCTTAGCCTCCCGTCTTCTTCTGGTCTTCCGTTACAGCCTTGCTCACAGTTGCCTGCTCCTTCTCCTTACACTGAGCTGAGCGTCGTGAGCCTGCGTCTCGTCTTGTCTCGCTTGTTTGCACTGGTCATACTGGTCGTCGTGTTCCTCGTGAGCGTCCGCCGGCTGTCCCCGGCACACACCTCATGGCCTTGCGTCCTTCCTCTGCTCTGCAGCGTCTTCCCCTGCCGTCTCCTCCTGTGTCTTCTCTGCCTGTCGTTGCTGACCCTGAGTCTGACCGGTTTCGTACTGAGCACCCTACTGTCACGTGTCTACTAGCCACTGTTGTCACTGACCCGTCGTTTGAGTCTGCTGCTGCGTCTGCCTTAGTCGCTGAGCTTGTTGACTTTGTTGCTGCCTGTCGTCTAGACTACGCTGCTAGCCTTGTTGCTGACTCTGAGTCTGTCTGTCCTCCGTCCGTCGGGGGTGAGTGTGCTCTTGCCACGGACGTCCTTGAGGACAGGCAGGAGGACCTTGAGTGTCTTGCAGCCGCTGCGCCTCATCTCGTGCCCATGCTGCTTGCCCCTGAGGGAGACCCGGATGCACCAGACATCCCGACTCCGCGTTCTTACGCTGAGGCGATCGCGGGTCCCTACTCCTCTCAGTGGCAGTCAGCCATGGACGCAGAGATGGCATCCTGGAAGTCCACAGGCACTTACGTCGACGAGGTTCCCCCTCCTGGGGCGAACATCGTCGGTGGCATGTGGATTTTCCGGGTGAAGCGGCCCCCAGGTTCTCCGCCTGTCTTCAAGGCACGTTACGTTGCTCGAGGCTTCAGACAGCGGGAGGGAGTCGACTTCTTTCAGACCTTCTCCCCCACCCCGAAGATGACCACTCTTCGGGTGCTGCTGCACGTTGCCGCTCAGCGTGACTACGAGCTTCACTCTCTTGACTTCAGCACAGCCTTCTTACAGGGCAGCCTGCACGAGGAGATCTGGCTGCGCCGCCCACCTGGATTCATTGGGTCGTTCCCTCCTGGTACCCAGTGGAGCCTCCGGCGGCCAGTCTACGGTCTCCGCCAGGCGCCACGTGAGTGGCACGACACACTGAGGACGACACTTGTGGCTCTTGGGTTTGCTCCGTCGACTGCTGACCCGTCGCTGTTTCTGCGCACCGACACTTCGCTGCCGCCATTCTACATCCTCGTGTACGTTGACGACTTGGTCTTTGCCACTGCTGACACTGAGGCTCTCGCTCACGTGAAGTCGGAGCTGCAGAAGAGACACACGTGCACAGACCTGGGTGAGCTGCGCAGCTACCTTGGCTTGCAGATCACCCGGGACAGAGCACGCCGCACCATCACACTGACTCAGTCACACATGGTGCAGCAGGTCCTTCAGCGCTTCGGCTTCACCTTGTCCTCGGCACAGGCCACTCCTCTGGCTATAGGTCACTCGCTCTGAGTTCCACTTTTGGACGAGTCCGTAGAGCCGAGTGGTCCTTACCCAGAGCTAGTGGGCTGCCTCATGTACCTGATGACCTGCACTCGTCCTGACCTTGCGTACCCTCTTGGCCTTCTGGCTCGCTACGTGGCTCCTGGTCGGCACCGAAAGGTGCACATGGATGCTGCTAAGAGGGTACTACGCTACTTGTGCAGTACATCGGGCATGGGGCTCGTGCTCGGAGGACGGGGCGACGTTGTCCTCACTGGCCACACAGACGCTTCTTGGGTTGACGACTTGGCTACGCAGCGGTCGTCACAGGGTTACACCTTCTGCCTTGGCTTTGGCTCTGTTTCTCGGCGGTCTACACGCTCTTCCTCTGTTCTCAGCTCCAGTTGCGAGGCTGAGATCTACGCCACAGCCATGGCTGCACAGGAGTTACGCTGGCTTATCTACCTACTAACCGACTTGGGAGAGCGGCCTCGTTCTCCTCCAGTGCTGTACGTAGACAACAACGCCGCCATTGCCTTGTGTCAGAAGCACAGACTGGAGCACAGAACGAAGCACATCGCTCTGCGTTACTTCCTTGCTCGAGAGTTGCAGCAGCGTGGTCAGCTTCGACTTGCTCACGTGGCCACTCAGGCCAACACTGCTGATATATTCACCAAGGCACTTCCGCCAGGTGATCATCAACGCTTTTTTACTTTGTGGGGCCTTGTGCCTACGTTTCCTCACTTGCTCCTGGTACGTAGAGATCACTGTGCTGTTGTTGTTGCATATATACCTCTGCATGTGAACTGGCCTTGTGGCCCTTTGCTTGTGCTCAGTATGTGTGGTGACGTTGTGATCCACCCTGAGCTTGCTTTGCTTCTCTAGACTGGTCTTGTGACCCCTTGCTCTCCCCCACTTTGCCTATGGGGGTGTGTCACATTGTATGCATGATAAATATGGTTAGGCTGTAGTGGGGTAGCCAATATGGGGTACAGCCCCGTTTAGGGTTTCATACTTGTACCCAACTCTTTCATAGTGCATTCATTCCTGTTGCTAGATTCTGACATTTGAAACCAGCATGCGGAATACAGGCACAGCCCAACCAAGCTGGTTTTGTGTCCTACTGTTACGGGTGCAATGAATCGAAGTAGCGAGAATTGCACTAAGGTGTCAAACGAGTACAAAATGTGAGCGAAGGCATGAGCGAACATTTATACGCGAAACATACAAACGGTAACCCGGTGCGTGCGAGCTAGCTAGTGCTACGCTGGCAGCGAGGCTCGGGCTAGTCCCGAAGCGTAGGCCGACACGGCCGGTCCAGCAGTGCGAGGTTTGGTGAAACAGTGCGCGCGAAGTCGGCAAAGCCCCGTTAGCAGTAACGGGCGAACAAAGGCTGCTGCTGTACGCGATGTTGCAGGGCGCGCTAAGGAATATCGAGAAAAATCCTTACAGTAACCCCCCCCTCAAGAAGCCCCCTCCGCTACGCGAGTACGTGTATATCGCGGAAACTCCGGCTCCTCAGGTACACTTGCAGTGCAGGGTGGTTTTCGATGTTGGCCAGGGGCACCCAACTGTCCTCAGTTGGCGTGCGGTCCTTCCAGCGAACGAGGAATTCAATCCTCCTGATTCCCGTGGGGTGTCGAATCCGATGGCTCAGGATTTTTTCGGGCTCGATGATCGGCTCCGATGCAGGGCGAGTCATGGATGGCGGGAGGTGACGATGCAGTTGGCTTGTGGTTGGGATGTATGGGCGGAGCAAGCTGACGTGGAATGAAGGGCTGATGTACCAGTCCGTCGGCAACAGTAGGTGGGCTGTTACTGGGGTAATCATGTGGCTGATTTGGAACGGTCCACAGTAGCGGGGTCGTAATTTCGGTACGACGGGCAGTCTTAAGTTCTGTGTGTCGAGCAGTATGTAGTCTCCTGACTGGTACGTGACTGGGCGGCGGTGGCGGTCAGCGTTGCGCTTAGCGATGACATTGGCTTTTTTAATTGCTTCTGCGGCTCTGGTGCGGGCAGCTTGCAGAATTTCGGCGAATTGCTGTGCACGTGGTGTTGGGTTGTCCGTACTCGGCGTCATGGGCACTGTAGGGTTTTGCCCGTAGTTCATGTAGAAAGGGGTTCCAGAAGTTGCTGGTGAACTTCGTGTCGCGGTCGCTGATAATCGCGGCTGGTATCCCGTGCAGTCGAACGACGGCTGCGATGAACAGGCGAGCGGTTTCTTCGGCTGAGATTGATTTCTTGCACGCAGCGAAGTGTGCCATCTTCGTCGACCTGTCAACGACGACCATAACTGCCTCGTTACTCCCAGGGTTCAAAGGTAACCCTGTGACGAATTCCATGGTAACCTGCTGCCAGGCGCGCTCCATGCAAACGGTAACGTGGTGCGTGCGAGCTAGCTAGTGCTACGCTAGCAGCGAGGCTCGGGCTAGTCCCGAAGCGTAGGCCAACACGGCCGGTCCAACTATGCGAGGTATGGTGAAACAGTGCGCGCGAAGTCGGCAAAGCCCCGTTAGCAGTAACGGGCGAACAACGGCTGCTGCTGTACGCGATGTTGCAGGGCGCGCTAAGGAATATCGAGAAGATTCCTTACATCTACCTAATGTAGATAATGTAAGGCGAAATCATGACTTCGTCTTTGTACATTTTGCGGGTGGTAACCGTAACATCTTCTCATATCGCTTGCCGTTGAGTTCGCGCGACAACACCTTCGTCCTGCACCCACGGTTTTGCGATTCAGATCGACGAATGTTAGGTGCCGCCATCCGCCGTGAACCAATCGGATAGCTGACAGGATTCCATCTTGAACAGAACAATATTCCTTCATCTTGGCAAGATTCCTTCTCTGAAATATTCCTTCCATGCCGAAGCGCACATCAATGTGGTTCTGCCGTTACAGCGAAAAATGTGACGACAGACCTCGTTCAAATTCGTGAAGACATGTTTAACGACGACTTTGGGATAGGTAACTGGGCGTCGTATCCAATTGGTAATCCCATCTGTTGCGATAATACGGTAACCATTGAAAGATTCCTTTGTCGCCAGTGTAGAGTGTCACCCGACCCGAATGGGACTCGGCAGCTTTCCCCCCCCACGCCCCAGCCCGTGACCCCGAAGCGCGCAATTGGAAATGTCAAGCATACATAAATCGACCCCTCTACTCCAAATGTCATCACTCTCTCAGTTCCTGCACTCTCTTCTATCTTACAGTGAGCTTTGTTCCGATCAAACCCTGAGTCTTTCTACCTTCAGGGCACCATGGCTCACTCCCTTCACACCCTCGCGGTGGCTCTCCTGATCGCTTCTTTCTCGTCGAATGCGTTCGCTGGGTTCATGGGCGGAGCATCAACCTTCGCAGGGGTAAGCCTTCATAAAACCGACCCCTTCCCCCCTCACATTGCATATCGTCTCGCTCAGCTAGCGTTAATTCCATCTCGTAAGTGCATAGCGAATGCGGCACCGGCTTACATTTTCCACTGACCCAATTCTTGTTTGCGTTTCCCTATTCATCCTTACAGGCCGGCAAGGCATTGGTGGATGCGTATAACAGAGGCAAGAAACCCGCCCAGCAAGTCGTACCATACGACCCGGTGGGATCCGGCGCCGGAATCACCGGCTTCAACGGCGGCACGTACCAGATCGCCATCTCCGACGACCCTATGACCTCCACGCAGGAAGGGAGCGCTCCCCCCAAGATCACCGTTCCGCTCTGCGTCTCCACCTTCAGTTTCTTCGTAAACGGCGCGCCCGGCGTCGTCCTGACGGTGGCCCAGACGTATTCTATCTACAAGGGAGACATCACCGTGTGGTCCGGCGTCGCCGGCGCAAAGGGCAAGGTCGCGGGCGCTATCACCCGCGTGGCGCGCAGCGACAAGTCTGGATCTACGGCGATTGTGAAGACTCTGTGGAGCAAGGCTCTGGGCGCCACGTACACCGAGAACACGGACGTCACTGCGATGGGTTACACTGGCCTCACTAAGGTGGACGGTACGACGGGCATGTGCACTGCGATTGCCAAGACCAAGGGCGCCATTGGTTACGCGTTCACCGGTTCCTGCGCCCCGCGTTACCTTACGTTTCTGAGGAACGCCAACGGTGCGGCCGTCAAGGCCCCTGCTTGGAACCCCTCCCTTGCCATCCCCGCCACTCCTCCCGCCGCGCCTGACGCGTCGTGGGCGAGCGTTGATTTCGTGTGGAAGGCCGGAGCCAAGACCCCTCCCATGGTGTCCATGGAGTTTGCCTTCATCAGGAAGTCGCCCTCCACCCCGGTCGCAAAGGCCTTCATGCTGTATATGATTGGCGCTATGAGGACAAACAAGTATGGGTTCAACCCGACGCCTCCTGCTTGGATCAACCCGTCCAAGGCCATGGTGGTCGCGATTAAGTAAATTACTAGCAGTGTGAGGAGATGATGGCTCTGGGCCATGGCTAGCTGGACCGGCACGTGCATGCGATGCGTTGTCAGCGATTTTGTTCTCTTCGAGGCTTCATGCGATTTTATGTGGTTTCCCTTTATCCCCCGCAACGTGATTGGTAGAACATCGGTGAGATGTGATGTATGCATGCATACTTATCTGAAACTTTGCGAGCCAATACTAGAATAACATGCCATAAAGCTCTGGCGGCTGTGGATGGGTGTGTATTCAGTCTGACGCCTGCTGCTTTGCTCAATCCGTCCAGGGCGATGGTGATCCATACCCACTTTGGTGAGGGCGACGATGGTGATCCGCCCCGCAGCCCTTCCCTGTGGGGCTCAACGCTGACTGGTTCACTGGCGTGGTGATGCGCTTCAAGATCAACGAGAAAACGCCAATCAGAGCACCCGTGCTGCCCAAGAGGCTTTCGGTGAGTGAGTGGGTGGGTGGGTGAGTGGGTGAGTGGGTTGGAGAGCATGTGGGACTGAGTGCCGACTGGTTCATTGGTGTGGTCATGCGCTTCAAGATCAACGAGAAAACGCCAATCAGAGCACCCGTGCTGCCCAAGAGGCTCTCGGTGAGTGTGCGTCAGTGTGGGTGAGTGCGTGGGAGAGTGTGTGGGGGGAGTGTGTTGGGGGGGAGTGCGTGGGAGAGTGTGTGGGCGCGAGTGCATGGGTGGGTGCGTGGGTGAGTGCGTGGGTGAGTGCGTGGGTGAGTGTGTGGGTGAGTGTGTGCAGGGTTGCGTGAACGAGTGCATAAGTAATGTTGACTGGTTCGCAGCACCATCATCTTTCTCTCCCAGCCGGGGAACATTACTTATCCACCATCATCTTCCCCAGCACCATCATCTTTCTCTCCCAGCCGGGGAACATTACTTATCCACCATCATCTTCCCCAGCACCATCATCTTTCTCACCCAGGCGGGGAAGCAGCGCTTGCTCAATAGCTCTTTCTGTTGCCAAGGCTCTTCTTATTGTCACCAAATCCACCGCACTGCACCCCTCTGCCTGCCACTCCTTGCTCCCCTCCCTTTCAGCACATCCCCCCAGTGAACATCTCCCAGGCAGTGAAGCAGCGCTGGCAGGCCATAGTCATTACTCTCGACAAGGCACTCAACAGAACCACCTACATGCCCTTACCCCACACCCACACCCCTCTGTCTGCCACTCCTTGTTCCCCTCCCTTGCAGCACATCCCCCTGGTGAACATCTCCCAGGCAGTGAAGCAACGCTGGCAGGCCATCACCATTCTAGTGGATAAGGAGCTGAACAAGACCACCTACATGCTGTTCAACGGCAAGGGATACGAGGAACCAGCCACTGAGACGCCCAAAGTGGTGAGCATAAAGTGCTTGCTTTGCTTTCAGGAGTGATTTTCATGGTTTGGAATATTCTTGATAAGCTCCTCATTCTCTTGAACTTCTATTTTCAGCAATTGACTGCTTGTATAAGTTTTTCTGTGACCTCCTATTCTCGCCCTTTTCCTACTTTTGTATCTCCTATTTCGCTATTTTCCTCTAATACTTTCTCCCAAACCCTTTAGTTTCTTTCCTCTCTCGTCCACCCTGTTAATGCAGGGCACTTCGGAGCTTTGGCACATCATCAACCCGACATTCGAAACGCACCCCATCCACCTGCACCTCATACAGCACCGCCCCATCTCCCGCCGTCCGTTCAACTCCACCGCGTATCTCAACGGCTCGTGTTCTTTCGAGCCCTCCTCCCCTTTCAAACCCAGCTGCTTCACTGGCCCGGCTCGGCCCGTGCCGCAGCATGAGAGGGGGTGGAAGGACAACACCGTTGCATTCCCGGATAGTGTTCTCACCATCTTTGTGCCGTTCAAGGGGCAGGTGAGATGCGGTGCAATGCGGTCGAGAGGAAGGTCCTTGGGTGGAAGGATAGCGTTCTTTGATACGTTTTCAGCATCTTCGTGCTGTTCAAGGGTCCGGTGAAATGCGGTGCAGTGAGGTGGGGTGGAAGGTGGTAGGGTGATGGATGGCTCTGACGGCTTGTTCGTGCTCAACCCCTTGTGTCTTGGCCAAACCGCCACTTATCCTTGCTTGGCCCAAACCGCCACTTATCCTTGCTTGGCCCAAACCGCCACTTATCCTTGCTTGGCCCAAACCGCCACTTACCTTGCTTGGCCCAAACCGCCACTTATCCTTGCTTGGCCCAAACCGCCACTTATCCTTGCATGTCCCAACCGCCTCTCACTCTTGCTTGTCCCAACCGCCTCTCACCCTTGCATGTCCCAACCGCCTCTCACCCTTCCATGGGCAGGATGGTAAGCCGTTCCCCTTCGACGCAACCAAGGGGCCGGGATATGTGTGGCACTGCCACTCATTGGGACACGAGGACAACGACATGATCTCTTAGAACCGTTATGACTAGACCGTTGATCTGAGCGTCAATGGGAGGCTAATGTGGTTTTGGTTATCACTGCTGTCCCCGGATTGTCTGGCTACTGTATCTTCCTTCCTAGAGGCTGTAGCTGGGGTTCTAACTTGACTAGTGAAGTGGAAATAAATATTTTGAGTGGGATGGGATCTGAAGGAGCTGAAAAGCTAAGCTTCGTGCCTCTTTTCTAATGTTTGGTGCAAACGCGCTTACTAGTAATGATCAAGATCTTTTGATGTCAAATTATATGCATGATATATATGGTTAGGCTGTAGTGGGGTAGCCAATATGGGGTACAGTCCCGTTTAGGGTTTCATACTTGTATCCAACTCTTTCATAGTGCATTCATTCTTGTTGCTAGATTCTGACATGGTTTCAGAGCACTAGGTCCGTAGGACCGTCTAGTTTTTTCCGGGCCCACCTACCGTTGCGGTTACCGCGCTACCCCACGTGTTGTCCTGCGCGCCCCTTCCCCTGCCTTGCCTTGTGACGAGCTGCGCTGCGCGCGCCGTCCTGCAGCCCTCGCGCTGCCTACTGTTGCCCTAGCTACGCGCGCACCGCCCTGCAGACCCGTAAGGCCAGCGCGCCGCCCCTGCAGGCCCGTAAGGCCAGCGCGCCGCCCCTGCAGGCCCGTAAGGCCCGCGCGCCGTCCCTGCAGGCCCGTAAGGCCCGCGCGCCGCCCCTGCAGGCCCGTCACGCCCGCGAGCCGCCCCTGCAGGCCCGTCAGGCCAGAGCGCCACCCCGCCCTGCAGCCGATGCGGCCCCGCCAGGCCGCTGTCGCGAACCCGCCCTGCCGCTGACGCGGCCCCGCCCTGTCGCTGACGCGGCCCCGCCCTGCCGATGTCGCAGCCCCGCCCTGCCGCCGACGCAGCCCCGCCAGGTCGCTGTCGCGGCCCCGAACTGCCGCTGACGCGGCCCCGCCAGGCCGCTGTCGCGGCCCCTGATGCACCGTCCCTTGATGCACCATGTAACGCGCGAGATGGTTTCGCAGGATTTCGCGACGAGCAGAGAAATTCGGTTTCGAGGACACTGGGAATATGTTTACAGCGATGGCGCTGAATGGCAAGCGGTGCTGCTTATAACGGGTATTTGTTTTCTGATTAGCAAACCCTGTAACGAGGCGAAGGATCTCGTGGGGACAAGAGAAGCGGCCCGAAACGGAGGGCAACTGTACACTGACTCGGTGAGCCGTTGTGAACGGTTGTGAACCGTTGATGTTTACGACGTGACTAATGCGAAGTGCGTAGCGTAGCGTAGGGTTACTCGAGAATAACAAAAAGCGAACTCTTGAATAGACCGAGAGAACGGCAACACTCTAGGCTGACGCGTCGCACGGACTGAAGGCAGGCGTTGGATCTGCGCCGCGCGAGAGTGAGAGAGTCGACGATGAATCCAAGCGAAGATGCGCCGGAAACTGCGGGCATGGCGACTCGGATATACAGCATTGAGCCCCCTATCTATGGAATGTGACGGCGGGACCTAACTACTGACAAGGGACATTCGGTACTGAGTTCGCGTTACAGTATCTAATTTTCCAATCAGATGTCGCTCTATACAGTAATACTAGAGTAAGCAGGATTCAGATCCAGCGTGTTACAGTATATTGTTTTCGCACAGTCTTTCGCGAAATCGTGCTCCCAGCCATGGAGTCCCACCCACAGTGACAATTTCGAGGGTCCTACCAGCGATGACGTGTCAAACTTGTAGCCACGAAGTTTCCAATCCATACTCCGACAATTCGCAGTCAGTGGTAACCATTGCACCCATTCAGTTATTATTTGCATTCCAGACTGTTAGTCAAGGCCTGTTAGTCAAGGTGGTTTTGAGTGCCAATTCAACGCGAATATTTCTGTGGATACGCTCAGCATCGCTCCGACAGGCTGCTTGTTAACCCTTGCGGTCTGGGAGGGTGCAGGTACGTTGTTGTACCGTACGCTGCTGTTCTGTACGCAGGGGGAAAACAACTCAAAGCCAAGACCCGCTTTTTCCTTCCGAACTTTTGTCGAGCGCGTTTTGGCGTACGGGCTCGACACGTACAGCCCAGAATTTGTCATCGTCCCAACCCCAACCCCGTATCTGAACACACTGTATCTTGCCTTTAACCCCGTTCCCGCCTCTTCCCCTCCCCCCCACGGGGGCGCGGCGCCCGCCACCCGCCGTGCCACCGCGCAGCCAGCGGCGAGTGCGTCGAGTGCGGCGAGCGCGGCGAGTGCAGCGACTGCGCACCATCATGGCGGGGGCCGCCGGGGCGGTCGAGAGCGCGGCGGCAGCAGCGCTACGGGCTGTGCTGCAGCGAGTGGCGCAGGCAGCAGAACGGGCTGGCAGGAACGCTGGGCAGGTGTGATTGCGCGTGGTGTGATTGTGAGTGGTATGACTGTGAGTGGTGTGATTGTGAGTGGTGTGATTGTGAGTGGTGTGATTGTGGGTGGGTTGGAAGGGGTTGTATGCATGTGCAGAGGCAACAGCAGCCGCCCTGCCGTGCAGGTGCTGCAGCGAGTGGCGCAGGCAGCAGAACGGGCTGGCAGGAACGCCGGGCAGGTGAGTTAGTGGGCGGTGTGATAGTGGGTGGTGTGATAGTGGGTGGTGTGATAGTGGGTGGTGTGATAGTGGGTGGTGTGATAGTGGGTGGTGTGATAGTGGGTGGTGTGATAGCGTGTGGGGTGATAGTGGGTGGTGAGATAGCGTGTGGGGTGATAGCATGTGGAACGGAAGGGGTTATTCGGCAATCCATGTGCAGAGGCAACAGCAGCAGCCCATGCATGCAGGTGCTGCAGCGAGTGGCGCAGGCAGGCAAGCAGCAGAACGTGCCGACAGGAACGCAGGGCGGGTGTGGATGGGGTGGTGTGATGTGATGGTAGGGTAGGGGTGATTGTGGATGGTGTGATTGATGGGATGGTGTGAAATGCTGGGCGGATGTGTTGGGCTGATTCTGATCTGAACCGCAGTCAACCTGGCTAATCTCATTTCACTGCCACCAGTCTCTTTGGCCAGGCAAAAGTGACTCATTGTGCTCCCTGCGTCCGGCCGGCCCTCAGGTTCGGGTGGTGGCAGTGAGCAAGACCAAGCCTGTGTCGCTGCTTCGGGAGGTGTACGACGCGGGGCAGAGGCACTTTGGGGAGAACTACGTGCAGGAGATAATTGACAAGGCGCCTCAGGTGGGCCTCAGGTGGGCCTCAGGTGGGCCTCAGGTGGGCCTCAGGTGGGCCTCAGGTGGGCCTCAGGTAAGCCTCAGGTGGCTTTTGAGGCACTTTGGGGAGAACTACGTGCAGGAGATCATTGAGAAGGCCCCTCAGGTGGGCCTCAGGTGGGCCTCAGGTGGGCACCAGATGGGCCTTAATTGGGTCACAGGTGGCCCTCTGCTGGGCCGAAATCTGGCCTCAGGTGAATCTCAGGTGGGTTTCAGGTGGCCCTCAGCTGAGCCTGAGGTGCGTGTGAGATGGTTCTTACCGGACTCACCTTCGCGTGGGCGTCTAGTCTAGAGTTGTGTGTTTAACAGCTTCCAGCAGGCTCCAAGTGGCATTTCATCTTGTGAAAATTCTCAAAAGTAAAACCAACATAGATTGGGGGGTTGGATGGAATTCATTCTTGCCTGCCTGTGTGTGTGTTCAACAGCTCCCGTCAGACACCAAAGGCATATCATCTGTTGAGAATTCTCAAAAGTATAACCAACATAGCTTGGGAGGTTGGGTGGTATTCTCTCCTGCCGGCCTGCCTGTGTGCATGTGTGTGTGTTCAACAGCTCCCATCAGACACCAAGTGGCATTTCATCGGGCACCTTCAGAGCAACAAGGCCAAGAGTCTCGTGTGTGAGTTGTTGCACTCACACTCGACTGTCTATGAGTCACACAGTCACGCAGTCACGCAGTCACACAGTCACGCAGTCACACAGGTCACACAGTCACACAGTCACACAGTCACACAGTTGCACAGTCACACAGTTGCACAGTCACACAGTTGCACAGTCACACTGTAACCATGTCATGACTGACCATGTCATGACTGACCATGTCATGACTAGTCATGACTAACCATGTCATGTATAGCTATGCTCGTCGCGCCTCGTCACATATCCGGTGTAATTGTTGTCTTGCATAGATTGCCGACTCTGCTGTACCTTTAAACACCCTCTCCCACTCTTCCTCTCATCCACACCTTTTGCACCCTCCCGCTCTAATGCTGCCGCCCCGCTTCTGCGCTTGCTTCTCTGCCTGCCCCTTTGCCCGCCCCTCTGCCCGCCCCTCTGCCCGCCCCTCTGCCCGCCCCTCTGCCCGCCCCTCTGCCCGCCCCTCTGCCCACCCCTCTGCTCGCACAACAAATCCCGCATCACCGCATGCATGCTGCCGCCGCCAGCAGGAGTGCCGAATCTCCACATGGTGGAGACAGTTGATAGCAGCCGGGTACGTGTGGGTGTGTGGGTACACGTGGGTGTGCCTACATGTCTGTGTGTGACTGTACATGCGTGCATGCACATGTAAATAAGCAGCAGGAGTGCCGAACCTCCACATTGTGGAGACAGTCGACAGCAGCCGGGTACGTGTATGTGGGTGTGTGTGTGGTGTGGGGGGGGAGGGAGGGGAGAGTGTATGTGTGCATGTGCGCAAGGTTGCCACCGAGGTGACTTTTGGGTCGACTCAAAAGTCACCATGTGCGCAAGGTTACCACCGCCAGCAGGAGTGCCGAACCTCTACACGGTGGAGACAGTCGACAGCAGCCGGGTACGTGCATTGAGGGAGGGGGGGAGAGGGTGGGGCAGGCAGTATGCGCGTATCTGTGTGCGCATGTGTGCATGTGTGCATGCATGCATGCTGCCGCCAGCAGGAGTGCCGAATCTCTACATGGTTGAGACAGTCGATAGCAGCCGGGTATGTGCGTGCGGGGGGGGGGGAGGTGTGTATGCATGCTTGCGTGGGTGGTTGGCCGGATGGGAAGGAGGGGGTGAGAATGGGTGCGTTGTGTGTTCAATGTCACTTCAACTAAAGCCTGCTCCCCCGCTCTTTTCAGACCGGCAACTATCGCAACAAGGCCGTGGGTGGGTGGCAGCAGCACCCTGTTATGACTTTTGAGTCGACTCAAAAGTCACCCCGTGGCACCAGCAGCAAGGGGGCAGCTCCTGTTGTCCCCTTTTGCCTCATGTTGATTCATGATCGAATCTCCCGCATATCTCGTCCGCCTCTCCCTTCCTACTCTCCGCACCGTCCACTCCCCATCAGATCGCCAACTATCTGAACAAGGCCGTGGCAGCAGCACGGCGGTCGCCTCCCTAGGAGGCGACCTCATCGCCTGCCTAGGAGGCGACCTCATCGCCTGCCTAGGAGGCGACCGCCCTGCGCCTGCCGTGTTATCTACTTCTCCTGCAGAACAACAGGTCGTTTTTGAGGCGCCTCAAAAACGACCTCATCGCTTGCCTAGGAGGTGTGTTTTCTACTTCTCCTGCAGAACAACAGTTCAACCCAAACCCCTGCTACTCCTCTCCTCCCCCCTCTCCCTCTCCCCACCCTCCTCTCCCCTTCAGATCGCCAATTATCTCAACAAGGCCGTGGCAGCAGCAGGGAGGCCGCCCTTGCGTGTGCTGGTGCAGGTCAACACGAGCGGCGAGGAGAGTGAGTAGTGGGGGGTAGAGAGAGTAGCGGGGGGGAAGCATGTGGGTCTATGTGTTTCCCGTGCGTGTGCTGGTGCAGGTCAACACGAGCGGGGAGGAGAGTGAGTGGAGCAAGGGGGGCAGGCAGGGGGGGAAGGGCAAGAGTCCTTGCTTGGGGGCAGTATCAGGGGAATGATGTGCTTCCCTTGTGTGTGTTTTGAGACGTCTCAAAACATGATGTGCTCCGAGGCCCCGCCTCTTGAGGTGCTCCGAGGCCCCGCCTCTTTCTCGATTCTCCCTTTTCCTTGGTGATTCTCTGCCTTTACACTGTCTGTCGCTATCCCTCCACCAGGCAAGCACGGAGTGCATCCATCGGCCTGTGTGGACCTGGTGCGGCATGTCACAGCGGAGTGCCCCAACCTCGCCTTCTCAGGGCTCATGACCATTGGCATGCCTGACTACTCCTCTTCTCTCTTTACCCTCTTCCCACCTACCACACTCCCACCAGGCAAGCACGGAGTGCATCCATCAGCGTGTGTCGACCTTGTGCGGCACGTCACAGCTGAGTGTCCCAACCTCGCCTTCGCAGGGCTCATGACCATTGGCATGCCTGACTACTCCTCCCGCCCGGAGAACTTTGAGGTTCAAGCTCTCATCCCTCTCTTGCCCCTTCAATCCCTTCTCCTTCTCACTGCTCACTGTTTCTCTCTCTTTGACACTTGCCTTGCTCTCTGTTTCTCTCTTCTCAGTGCGCGCTGTTTGTCTTGCTCACGGTACTTCCATTCTTCTCACCCTCGTTTTACAACCCCCAAAATTTCTTAACTTTTTGTCCTCGTTTCATGCTCCAGCTTTTTTTCCTAGGCTCTCCCAACTTCGTTTCTTCAAGTATCTTCATCTCATCTCAAGACATCTCAAAACTAACAAGTCATCATTTCCTTTCAAATCATTCATCCCAGCCTCATTTCATACCATGCTGTAGCTTCCTCTTGATTTCCTCTGATTCGCAACCCTGCATTCCACCTCTTCCCCATCCGTCCACTGCATTTTATACCCTTCCCATCCACCAATAGGCGCTTGCCAGGTGTCGAGCGGAGGTGTGTGAGCAGCTAGGTCTCGCCCCAGGCGAGTTGGAGCTATCCATGGGCATGTCCAACGACTTTGAGCAGGCGGTGAGTTGCTCCTTTGAGGTTGTAATGGCACATGGGCAGTCTCGATCCAAGCCTGGAACTTGCGAATGTAGGCCGCTCATGTGTGTCACCCCAGGCGAGTTGGGCATGTCCAACGACTTTGAGCAGGCGGTGAGTGCCGGTGCATTGAGGTTTGAGCAGGTGCTGAGTGATGCATTGAGGTTTGAGCGGGTGCTGAGTGATGCATTGAGGTTGTAACTGAACAAGGACCTATCAATACTAGTGACTCGAGTTGGAGCTATCCATGGGCATGTCAAACAACTTTGAGCAGGCCGTGAGTTGAAGGTCGAGTTGAGGTTGACAGTCTCTCTGCAACCTAGAACATGCGGACGTAAGCCGCTCATGTGTGTCAGTCCAGGCGCGTTGGAGCTATCCATGGGCATGTCCGACAACTTCGAGCAGGCGGTGAGTCTTTCATGTGCAGTTGTATTTGGGAGAGTGCTGGTGGTGGCTTGAGTTGTGGCATGAGTGAGTTGAGTGCAATTCATGGGCATGTGGAGTGGAAGGTCTTTGACCAAGCGACACGTGCTGGTGCATTGACCATTGGATCCTTGTATGTCGGCCTTTTGCCATGCTTATCATTGCCACTGTTTTACCTTGTTGCCACTCTTTTCGCTTGTCCCCTTACCAAGCCTCATTTGTCTTGTTGCCACTCCTTTGTGGTTTACCTGGAAACCATCAATGCTCATAATAGCCTGCAGGTGGAGATGGGTAGCAGCACCAATGTGCGAGTGGAGCCACCATAACAGTGTTCCCATGCCATAACTTTCATTCCATGCCATGCCATGCCATGCCATGCCATGCCATGCCATGCCATAACTTTCATTCCATGCCATGCCATGCCATAACTTTCATTCCATTTCATGCAATGCCATGCCATGCCATGCCATGCCATAACATCTCATTCCAGTTCATAACTCATGCCACGCTGCTCATGTGTCCCCACGTGCCTTGCAAGTCGGAATGGGCAGCAGCAGCAGCGTGCGAGTGCGTATATCAAGTCGTGCACCCAACTGTTTCTCACCCATGTGCCTTGTGGCTGGCAGGTGGAAATGACTTTTGAGTCGGCTCAAAAGTCACCTCATATATCAAGTCGTGCTCCCAACTGTTTCTCACCCATGTGCCTTGTGGCTGGCAGGTGGAAATGGGCAGCACAAACGTGCGGGTGGGATCCACAATATTTGGTGCAAGAGACTACTCCAAGTCATGAGCACACCAATCGTGACCATTCAAACCGAATCCTCACCGATTTGTGACTGATGATTGTTGAGAAGATGGCATTTGGCCGATCAGTAACCGCACAAGCTCTGCTAGACACACACATTTAGGTGGATGGATGGATGGATCGCAAGGGTTAGTTTGAATGCTAAGTTGCCAGGGATAGTCGTATTGGGTTTTAGAAGAGTGGATGGGAATTCGGAGAATGGCTACAATAAGTTTCACAAATTGGGCATTCTTCTGTAACCGTTGTCTCTTGAAACCATATGGGCTTTCCTGCAGGAACGGGGCTGCATAGTAGAAAATTGTTACAATATGAAGTTTTGTGAGAAGGCATTCCTGTATGCTGCAGGAGCCGACTCTACCGAGTACGAAGTCGAAGAGTCAGAAGAATCGAAACGACACAGCAACCGTCTGACCAAGACCGATGCAGGCAGACACACGTGAAGTGAAAAGAGCGGGAACAGGTTTGAAACGGGTTCCCGCGCCGCACGGTTTGAATTTCTCGCTGCAATAAGGGAATGTACCCCTTAGAGTACATGGCTAGTCTAGGTCCTTTCGCATTCCCCTGTGCGCTTATATAAACTCGATGTATGCATGCTTTTATCAACTCAGTCATTTACATTCACTCTGACCTGAGATTCAAACTTCCGCTGCAACACTACTCTGCGATCAACCCTGAGCGATCCTTCGCTAAGTTCCCCTTGGGATTGTAACATGGTATCAGAGCTACTCAGGGATTCTTCGCAACTTCACTTCCGTGAAATTCGCCGAACCCAGATCTGGCGAGCGGCACACGCTCCAAGACCAAGATGGCCGGTGGATCCGGAGGCCAAGCAAATCTGACGGCCGAAGGGCAAACCAATCCGGCTGCGACAAATGAGGCGACAACTACGATCGGCACTGCCGCACTCGAGCAGTTATTCGCTCGACTTTCAACTACGGAGAAAGAACTCCAAGACCTGCGCAAAGGCGATGCGGGAACCTCTTCCCAACCAGCTCAACCTGGACAACCGGCTACGAAAAGCCGTGATACCGCCGCGCACACCTTCTCCCTTGACACAGACAAATCAACAACAACAGCCCCCCGTCCAAGTGATGAAGTCAAGACTATTGCCGCATTCGACGGCAAGGATTTTTACACATGGAGTTTTGAGCTTGAGCTCCTCCTACAAACGGCGCAGATCTACCACTACTTCGACGGCTCCTACTCTAAACCGGTGGAAGACACCGACGACGCAAGGGCTCAGTACTACAGCGAGTCCCTCATGGCGTACAGTGTGCTGCTGTGAAACATGACGCCTGCGGAACAACTTAGCATCCGCTCCTACAAAGAGAGCACCGCTCCAGCCTTGGAAGCCTGGAAGCACCTCGTTGAGGTTTATCAGCCGAAGGACTCGGTCACCGCCAGCAGGCTCCTGCAGCAACTCATGGAGACAAAGATGGGGCACGGGGAGAAAGCGAATTCTTATATTAACCGCTGTCGGAACATCCGTGACCAGATCATGAAGCATGGGAGCGCAATCTCGGAAGAGATCTTCGTTAACATAGTCCTTCAAGGACTCGGGCCAGAGTTGAAAACCTGTAAAGCGCTACTCCGACAGCGAGGGATTATCTCAGAAGCCGCGTTATGCGCCGCACTCTTGACTGAACAGCAGGACATGGACTCGAGCAGAACAAGCTCCGCGCCACGCCGAGAGCGCCTCACCTTCTACGCAGACAACCGTGAAGAGCGACGACAACCAAGGCGCCATTATTGCAAAATATGCAAAGTCTTCGGACACTCAACGGATCGATGCAAATCCCGATCCAACTATCGCCACCCAAATTCCACTCACCACAACAACTGGGTCGGCCGACAAGACGCTCGTCACTCTCAGCCTCAGCATCAGACATCTCGTTCTCCTGCACAACACCAACATCAGCAAACTCAAGGACCTCAATCGGGAGCTCCTAGAAACATCATCGCAAATATGGCGACGCGCCGACGTCGCACTGCTGAACCTGACGAAGAAAACGAGATCCAGGGAAGACTTCTTGAGCCAGAAGAGGGTTGGAATAATCCCCTCACTGAAGACCACCATTACCTATACGACGAAGACGAGCAGGATTGGAATCAGCCAATCACACTGCGGGAGAGCCCGCCACATGACAATCAACACTACGTACCGGTGGGATGGAAGGAAGACGAAGACCCCTTCTTCCACAGGCGCTACAAGGCAACACTGGTGACTCCACGACTGGCGCTAGCTCTGTGCAGAAACAACACCGACAATTACAACACCTGGTACCTAGACAGCTGCTGCGGGCAACACATGGTGGGATCCACGCGATACGTCTCAAACCCGAGCCGCGCTCCCGCAACTTACGTCACCGTCGCCAACAACGAGCAACTACGCGCTAATGCGCAAGGCATCGTGGTCCTGCGAGCATGAGACAGCAACACACACATCTCGTTAAATGACGTACTCTACGTCCCAAACCTTCGCTTCAACCTCCTCTCGGTAGGACAACTTCGCGACTGCGGTGTCATCCTCACCACGGACCTCGCCACACGCGACCTCATTCTCACCTACGCTCCCCCTGACACACCGCCCGAATCGTTCAAATACCTCGGACGAGCCCGCTCAATCAACGGGATCTACATCCTAGACTTCGATGTACCTTCCTGCCAAGCATCATCCGACGAACTCGTGGACCTCGTCCCTCTCAAGTTCGCCTACATGGATGAGAAAGCATGGGAGCACCCAGACGGACGACCGTGGGTTCGCCGCAGTCCTCATCCCCGCAAGATCAACCCGCATGAGCCAGACATCAATGGCCTCTGCACAACATGTCACACACCCACGGCGAGCCACACGAAGCAAGTTGAAAAGGAGTACACAGCAATCCAGGAAGCGGAGAGTGCCGAGGCAGAACCTGCAGGCATGGCTGAAGAAGAACTCGCTGTGTCATCTTACCACATCTTCAGTGAGCCAAACAACAATCTCGGACATCATCGGGTGGAGAGACCAAGGCCCTATTCGGAAACGCTCCGGTTCGTCCTCGAAGCCAACACCAGCACCTTCGACGAAGAAGGACGACCACGCCCGTACACTCGTGAAGTCTACCGCCGCGAGATTGACCCGGCCTGGAAGGATCCTGACGCAGAAGGGGAGCTGAGCGTCAAGGAAGAAAAGGATAAGGCCCGGGCAGAAAAGAAACAAAAGTTGTATGAGGAGCGTATCGCGGCAGGATGGGACGAAGAATCAGCCCGACGAGGAGAATGGGGAGACGAGGATTTCGAACCGGAAGGCGGCGCAACCTGGGCATCCGCCACTGGAGCATGGGGAGCTAGCGCAAGCGGCATGGTCACCACGAGAGGATGGGGAACAACAGAGCCCGAAGAAGGGGAGCTCACACAAGAAGAACTGGAGGAAGCTGAACGAGAGATGAAAGCTGAGCGCGGAGAAGAATCACCACGCGTTGCCATTCCTCTCGGACGACCCCCACGCACACGCGAACGACCTCGCTTACCTCACCGCTGGAGTGTTCACTGGTCGGAGATTGAGGAGGGGAATATACCACCATTTCCTCCGCGGGACTCACTTGGTCCAATCTCTTGCCCAGATCCGTTCGCTCGCTTCATTGAAGGCACCACGACCCCACTCACCGTCATCCCCGACCGTGAATTTCTCGCCCTCTATCTCACAACGGCACCTGCAGAAGGAGAGACAACGGCAGAAGCAGAAGCAGAGGAGACGGACAATAAAGCAGAACCAGGAGAAGAGGAAGAACCCCCACTCCAGATCCCGCAACTTACCGAAGAAGAAGTAGCGGAACACTACGCACGCTACAAGCGCACCTCCGGCATCCGCGCCGAAGATGACCTCTGGCACCAACGGCTGGGGCACTCCTCGCGCCAGACCCTCGCCAACTGCCTCCACGCCAAAGTGTTTCTGCCAGGAGCACTACTGCGCCCCGATGGAATAGAACCGCACAACACTTCACACCAAATCACTTGCACCGTCTGCCCCACAGCTGCGCTCTCCCACAGCGCCTACCCCTCTCTGGAGCTGAGCACCAACCGTTACAAGAAGCTGGAGAAGGTGTACAGCGACTTCATCGTGCTCACCTGCGACGGACTCAACGGCGAAAAATACATGCTGACCTTCATCGACGCCTACTCGCACCACGTGTGGATCGCCAATGTCGACGCTCGCTCCAAGGCTCCGGAAGTGTTCCGCATCTTCCTCGCGCACGCGCAGCGACAGTCAGGAAGGAACCTGAAGATCTGGCAGAGCGACGGGGCCAAGGAATTTTGCAGCAACGAACTGGAGAGTGTCCTCACCGAGAAAGGGATCAAACATGAGATCTCTCTCCCCTACGCTCACCAGCAGCAAGGCGTCGCAGAGAGGGTCAACCGCACCCTCATGACAAAAGTCCGCGCCCTCATGAACCAGTCCGGCCTGCCAAAGAACTTTTGGCCCTACGCCATGAACCACGCGGTGCGCCTGCACAACCTTCTCTCCACCATCGCCAACAGGGACAACCTGTCCCCTCACATGAAGTGGACCGGCTCAAGGGGAGATCCCTCCATGCTGAGGGTTTGGGGGTGCATGGTGCAGTACCGGCCGACCTCGGCCACAATCGGCAAGTAGGTTCATCGCGCGCGCTGGGGAATTCTGTCAGAATGAGAGAAGTGTTTGGACCAGTGAGATTGGGAGTACAAGTAGGAAACCCTAGAATATTGTACCCCCTCAGGCTAAACCCACTGTAGCCTACACAACAGCAACATATATAATGTTAGACACACCCCCATAGGCTAAGTGGGGGAGAGCAAGGGGTCACAAGACCAGTCAAGAAAGACAAAGCAAGCTCAGGGTGGATCACAAAGTCACCACACGCACTGAGCACAAGCAAAGGGCCACAAGGCCGGTTCACATGCAGAGGCATATATGCAGTACAAACAACACAGTGATCTCAATCTAGCAAAGCAAGCATGCAGGTATA